AAGGCGGAGATGAACTGATCGGCGGCGCGTGAATCATACTCTTCTTCTCCTCCTCCGCCGCTGCCGCTTGAAGATTGCATGCTACTACTATTACCGGACTCCATCTTCTTCTGACCAAACAAAACAAAGAATTTTGTTTGTTTGTATGATTTGATTTTGATGAGAGAAAACCTAAGAAGTGATTTGGATGAGAATAGATACTCGAGTTAAACAGTTTATGAGACATTATGTTATTATTATGGTAATTAAGATATTTGGTGTGACGTGATTTTTTTCACTTCACCCACACGGCGTAATTTTGGTTGGTTACCCTCACTCGTTTATACATGTTGTCGAGTTTTCCTTTATTTCTAAACTATGAAATTGATAATCCATGTACAGTTTATTTGTATGGCAAAAATGAAAAGACGCACATTAAAAACCAACGATCAACTTAGATCAGCGTAATGATTACGATTAAACCATTATCATCTAATTAAATGTTGTCTGAGTCCATACATTTTTTTTTGAATGATTCATCATCATATTAACCACATTATGTTAGTCTTATTTTGTAGGTCAACGCCGGATTATGCTAGTGACAAGAAAAATATTAGTTTTCTAACCTAATAACAACAGGTTGTAGACATCCAAAAATGCGACCCGGCATTATAATACTTGACATTATAAGTCCAAATTCAGATTTTTGCACAAGGATTGCATGTAGTGTCACATCTTTATCAATGATTTGTCCACAATACTTCTTAACTCAGGAGTGGTCTTATGGACTCTTATCTATATATTTTAGTTTGGTATATCATTTATATTGTGTTAAACTTATATGAAGAGATGATATGCTAGAAACGGAAGCATATGAAATTTCAGATATTTTTGAAAGTACATCCACAATTGATAAACCAAAAGCGCAGATCACGGTGGGAGGAAATCCACCGCATGGACGGCTCCCTTACGATTAGAATAGCTTCCGATCAACTTCTCTCTTATGTAATCTCACATCTCGATCCTGTCACTTTCGAAAACCGTGATTATCAAGGGTTTTTCATGATGAATGGCAATTCTATTCACTCTGGAGTAAAGATCATGGTTCCAAACCCTCAGGCATTTGGTCATTGTCGCTATGGGAAAGCTTCGGAGAAAAATGTTGGGAAAAAATCTTTGAAGAAAGAGCGTTGAGTGGTCAGAGTCGAGTATTTCTTTCTCATCTCATATGAGAATCTATTTTCATTCTCCTTTAGTTATTTTTTGTTTTTTTATATTAAAATTTTCTTATGAGAATCTACTGTAGATGCTCAAACATCATTTTATAATTAAGATTTAGAGTTAATGAGAGGAGAGTTTATCTGTTTTGATTCCATTACAGAAACAAAACTCTCAAATATAGTTTTTTTATTGTTTAATTCTTATAAAAATTAGGATATATATATTTTAAAACTGCATTTCAATACATAATAAAATAAAAATAAAAATATGATACACTAAAAGTTAGTTTTTGGAAAGAAAAAAAAGGGGTCAAAAATTACTTGGATAAGTTGCATATGAAAATCATAACCATATGTATATTTCACAATAAATATAGCTGCTATTACCTGAAAATTTGAAGCTAAACAACTTGGCGGTGAAACTCACAAAACAACTTGCAGTTTTTGATTAACGCATTCAAACGTCTTGGCGTTTCAACGAATCAAAGTAAAGTTGAAATTCAAGTTTGATTTTGACCAGCGCTTTCACTCTTCCGGTATTTGTCACTCAGTCCCTACATTATAAACTATCTATATACCTTTCTTAGAAATTATTAAATTTGCAGAAGTGTACACATAGATCAAAATCAAATGATAGACTATTGAGAAATATAAAACGAATGTAACAGAAAAGAAAATTACTCTGTCTTATTCTAAATATAATAATAGAGAATTCTTAAATAAATAAATAAAGTAAAATAAAACCAAAACAACCATTAAGTCTACAAGAATTTCCTCCGCTTAATGATCAGTGTTGTTTTATAAGACTGCAAGTAAACGTGAAATTTGATTCAGCAGCTGCAACAAAACAAAAACCCCAAAATTAAGATCAGAGAACATTTCATTAATGTAAACTCAATGGTTAAAATATAGTTGATATAACTTACTTGTGTTCTTGGACCAAAGAAGTTGAGTATCAATCAAAGAATGATTCTTATCATCGAGCCGTTTCCACGTTCTAATTGTATCAACAGCTCCCCAACGTCCATACTTAGTCTTCTCAAGCTGAGCTTCGACTACTCTGACTCTCCTTGCCCATCCAGCCTTTCCGTACCCATGATACCTAACGTGTGTCACAAATAATTTAAGTAGGGTTTACAAGTATATGAAAAGCTTGTGGTACAAGTTAAGTTGGGAATTTTATTATTACCCGGCACCGCCTGCGTAACAAAGGTTGATTCCATTGAGTTGGGAACAGAAGTCGTTGATATGGTCGTGACCGCTGAAAACACCTTTGACTTCACCTCTTTCGACAAGTTTGGTGAAGAAACCAGAGTTCACAGGTGGAGAACATGTGCTTTCTTGTCTCACTCCAGTCATCTCCGTCGGTTTGCTGAACCCTGAAAATTCCGGCATCGGAATGTGGAGGTAAACCAATCCCGGTGCCGTACTATTCTGTGGAAATGGCCACCTCTTGTATTCCATCTGTTAAAAATTGAATTAGAAATATAATTTTTGTAAATAACATTTTTGTCTTGAAAATAGAGATCATCATAATTACCATAACAACTTTATTGTAATATGAAATCTAACAAACTTTTATATTGTCTAACAACCTGAATAATAATGTATTTTTCAATAGTAAAATTAAAAATTAAGTAATAAAAAAGATTTCACAAGAATGAAAGATAATTTGGGATAATGTCTGATATTTATTAAAATGAAGAAAACGAGAAACATAATAAAATATTAACAGTTTGGATATTTATCACATCTTTAACCCAAAAAAAATGTCAGAGAAACAAAATAACATTTCATTAGAAAAATGTTATTTCCTGCTAAATTATAAACATGATTAGATGACTACAAATCTCAAATCATATCTCAAAAGAAAAAAAAATCAGAATTAAATATCTTGCGCTTACCTCGAGCCATTTAGAAGTGTGTTCATACCAGCTTTGCTGAGAGGATTTGACCCAATCATATTTGTAAACAAACCCATCGAGTTTAACGTAGTCTCCACCGTCGATTAGATAGAGATTGAGAAGGGATTTGAAGAAGAGAGGCGACCCAAAAGGACCCTCGACTTGTAGGTTGTAATTCCCGAAACCGTCGATTTTGTAAAGCCAAGCACCGGGAGGGTTTACTTGAGACAACGTGTTGGGCATTTTCGAGATGTATTTCATCATTGTCTCTCTTGTCATGTCGGATTCTTGGTCGTGATTCCCCAAAATGGCCACCCATGGAATCCCCGACTCTATCGCCGGAGCAAATGCCATATTCATCGTTTTTGCCGCGTCTGTTGTCTCGCACAGTCCGTTCACGTTGTCTCCTGCGTTACATAAGAAAAACAACAAATGATCATTTTTGCTCGTTAATATATATATATATATATATATATATATATATGGTTTTATTTAGATACATATTACGAAAAACCTTAAAGTCTGCATGGATAAATTGAAATAACATTGATAAAACTCTAATTCTGTTTAGGGATAAAAATAAAGTCCTACACATAATATAAAGTTTATTTGTTATGAATTAATTTTTACCGGAAAAGACGATGAGATCGGGTTTCTCGGAGGCGATAGTCCGTTGTAAGAAGGCGGTGGTGTTGAGATCGGAGCAGTAAGGCCTTTCTGCTGTTGTTACGTCTGAGCATTGCGATTCTTTGCCGTTACCGTAGTGCATATCAGACACTTGCAGTATCTTAAACCGACCATCGAGATTAAACCGGAGTGGCCTCCAACCGTAGGCGGAAACCGGAGAAAAAGAGAGACTTAGGCAGATCAAAGAAACACATAAAACAGAGAATAAGACTAGTGTTTTCTCCATTGTGTTTTTTGTTTGTTTATGCTAGTGTAACTGAAAAATGAGAAAGTGAATGAATAATCCTTTCTTTCGGATTCGAGTCTGTTTTTTATAGAGCATTGATTTGATTTTATATGAAGATTTGATAATCTCGACTGTATTATATTCTTAATGGTATATTCTATTTCTAATGTATAACTTTATCAGTATCCAACTGAATTGGCATATGCTTTACTTTATTTTTATTTATTTTTTATGAAAATATCAAACGAGAAAACAACTAGAATCTGATGATTTTTTTTAAACAAACAGATTCGAATATATTCTTTTTATAAATTAATTACTTAGACATGATCAAATACGTGTTTGATCTCTTATAAAAAAAATATTATTGGATCTTTCCCAAATTTGCTAACATATTGAGTAATTTGAATATACTACGTAACTTCAGCATCTTGGATATACTACTTTAAAAAACTTGAGAAATAATTGTAATATATAGTTATTGTATACACACAAAAAGGTGGAAGAACAAGATAAGTTTTCGAATAAATCCATATTGTATACATTAATCCAATTTGAGATTCATAACACGAATTTTCAGATTTGATATATTCAAATGAAGGTCTAAGAATGGTTCTCAAGGTTCATATTGTTGCTGCAATGCATCACAAAAACGTCCCAGACGTTAAAGTTATGATTTATATATACAAGTATAGCTAATCAACTTAAAAGGTTTGAAAATGAATTTATATATAGTATAGCTAATGTATTGTTATATCACAATTTGACACTTATTCTAGCAAATATATTATCATCAAACGCATGTTTAATGTAATGTTTTCGGTTTTATATGTAAATGTGAGAGATTGGCAATCAGTGCCAATATATTCTGAATGCATAGTAAGTTTCTTTAAGAAAATTGATGAAATATTACATCAATGTTGAGTTTATTGGAGCGAGTTGTATTTTAAAACTTGTAAATATGCATACATATACGTTCATCTAGCCTTTTTATGTTTTCGCATGAAAACATAATAATGATATAATTATTTTATGCATACATAACTACTTAAAGATATAATTATTTTTTGAAATTTTTTCATAGACAAAACGAAGCATCTCAAGGTAGGAAACATAATAATGACAGGAACAAACCAAACAATGCCAATAATACACACGATTAGAGGATCTCTAGAGACCTTATTAAAAACAAACTAATATACAGCGTCTTCAGGTGTTCTTGTCCTTAGCAACAGCAGGATGAGATTTGAACCATGGAATCCAAACCGAGGTTGTCTTTTGATACGCTCTGTAAGCTTCAGCTCTGTATTCTTGTTTCACCATCCGACGTTCAACAAGAATGGTTACATAGACCAGACATAGAGTATTGACCAATGAACCAATCAAAGTCCATCCTTGACCAAGGTTCCAAGCGAATATGACAAGTCCCCACCACCACAACTGTTCTCCCAAGTAATTAGGATGTCTAGAGTAATGCCACAGACCCGTGTCGAGATTGGGGATTTTGGGCTTCCCTTGCTCCTTGAGTTTTTGGTTTCCAGTCACAAACTCGTGGAGTTGTGTGTCTGCGTAGTAGGCCATGACAATGCCCGTCAGACATATAGCCGAGGAAACCAAGTCCCAGATGTTTAGTGGCGCATCAATGGAATGGATGATATATAAAGGCAGACATATCCCTATGAGAAAGATCTGATCAAAATGAGACAAGACAAAGAAACAGAGAGCGTAAGCTAGGCAGAAAAGTATCAATCAACGCAATCTTAATGAGAGAGAGAGATATAAACTGCAAATTCAGGACTTCATGGACACTAAAGTTCAAGTCGAATCTACATTTTTCCAAATCATGCTAATATGAGTTCAGATAACTTGTGGCAATCATTCAGGATGATCAAAATCTCTCATTCTCTGGTTGATTGATTTACTTTGAAAGTCAATACTATAAAGAAGGAAAAATCACTAAAAACACCAAAGCTGAAAAGCTCGTTGAGGCAATTCATCGAACAGTTGGTGGAAAAACTTAACCTGCTGCGAGACGTAGACGGAGAAGAAGGAGAGCCACCACCAGTGTTTCCCGTACTGTTTCCTCAAGTCATTGAACCTCCAGTCTTCTCTGGCTCCCCATTCCCAGTTTTCCCGCCGGAAGTAGTTATGAGTCAACCTGATACTCCAAATCCATGTCAGAGTGATGACAATCATGGATCTCCACTTATTGTAATGTCCCGATGGATGCAATGCGAAGTAGTGAACCAGCATTACGGGTATCACAGTCCAATACACATCGATCATCTGCAGAATTTAAGGATAGTGGAAAAACAAAATCTGACATTTTTCAGAAAGATATCAAATTTCAAAATTTTGGACAAATGGGTAATGTTACGGATGCGTACCCAGTGGCTGGATTGGAGTAAACCGATGACCCAGAAGAGCACATTGACGTTAAAGAAGAAGAGAAGGTTTGCAAGTAGAAGCGGGTGACTCAAACACCATGAATGAATGTAGGAGAGCTCGGAGTCGGAGGTTGAAGAGTAATTACGGAGAAAGAAAAGGTAGAAGACAATAGAAGGAAGTGGAGCAAGGAATGCAACAATGGCGTTTCTTAGGTTCCGATTCATTTTCTCGAAGAGGGAAGTCGTTGATAGTTGGCTAATGGAGAAGGAGGAGAGTGCATTTTATATAAACTGAGCTAAAAGAATCTCTTTGGGCTTTTGAGTTGGGTTCTCTATGGCGTCTATGGGCCCACATGGGCCCACTTTGATCACTGATATGATTAGAGTCTTCTGTTTATTTATACCTTTAGTGAAAGTTAAAATAATTGGATTTTAGAAAGCACATCTTTTTGTAAAAGAGCCGCAAAAGTCAGTGATTTAAAAATGATTCAAATCAATTGGACTATGATTTGTATCGTAATGATCATTAGAATGAAATTTGTGACTACTCCCTCCGTTCCTAAATCTATGATGTTTTAGTTTTTTTCTTTGTTCCACAAAATATGATATTTTAGAGTATTAAATGTACTTTTTTGTAGATTTCAAAAAAAGTAACTGAAATTATTTATATTCTTAAATTATTATTAGTTAACAGTTATTAAAAAGTAATCATTGTTAAAAAGGTAATGCATTGATGACTAAACCATAATTATTTCTTAATTTGTGTGAACATGTCAAAACATCATACTTTTTGAAACGGAGGGAGTATTATATAAGTGAAAGTAATAGTGTTCTGTACGATATACATTAATCGATACAGTATAAAATACTAAATGTAAGTGGTTAAGAAGAAATAAGGAAAAAATGACCCTAATTATTAGCTTAGCCGAAAGCATTGGATTCTAAACTAGTCAGATTCTCCAAATTAAAATTAACAACTTTCTATGCGGTCCAAATGTGAACTTTAGTATATACAATATATAAAACTACACCTTACACCATGGACGAGTTCGATTATTGCATCCATGATCCAACATTCCAACTGTTACAAACGGCGTCGTTCTTGTATAGAAATCCCAATTTGATCGGTTTATCAATTTGTTATGACCAGTTTATCAATTTGATCGGGTATAGTTGACTAAACTCAGAGGATCAGCACTATTAATTCAATAGAAGTAAAGTAAAGAGCATTAGAGAGATTGAGATAACAGATCATCATTAAGTAACCAAGTTTAAATAGCCGGCCGGTTTACGTATAAACCGGAAAGATACCTTCTCGTCTTACGGGTCTAATATTCTGAAGACAAGCGAGGATTATCATATCGTCGGTCGAGAAATATCATCTAATCGGCGTCTCCGCCGTCTTAAATCGACCTTGTCTGATTTCGAGGCGACGAAGCTGGAGAAAAGATGTCTGGGAGGTTGCTGAAGAAGGTTCTCAAGGAACATGAAGAATCGAAACACCTGAATCATCACCACGACGACGAAGAAGAAGACGAAGAATACGAGGATCTTGGTGGCTCGAGAGGCTCGATTAATCCTTTTGATCTCTTGAACGAAGGTGATGATGATCCTGACTCCGAAAAGGTCAGTATATTTGGATTTTACCTCCCCAACATTTGACGATAAGATTGTTTAATGGATTGTAGTATCTCGAATTGTGCTGATGTATATATCCGTATATGTGTTGATAATTGCAATCGTAGATGTTGAATTGGGCACTACTCGAGTTAAATTGAATGCAGATAGTGTAATTAGGTTGATCGTAGATGTTTCTGGAGCTTATCCATAATGGTTTTGATTGCAGGAGATAGAGATAGAAGACGAGGCTATAGTTGAGAAGAAGAATGAAGATGCTGATAATGTGCAACCTGCTTCAAAGAATAAGTCGAAGAAGAAGAAGAAGAAGAAAAACAAAGAGAGTCGCTCTAATGTGGTTGCAAAGGCTGAAACCACTCTGGATGAAACTTTGGAAGCACTTTCTCTCGAAGCTAACTCTAAGCAAGAGAAGGCTCAGGAAACTCAAGCACACTCCGATTCCGCGAGAAAGGCTTCTTCTTTACGGTCTGTGTTGGAAATAGAAACCAAGTATCTGAATCTTGAAAACGAGTTGAGGAGAATGTATGGCTCAAAGGTCGCCAGATCACTCGAGAGCAGCAGTCAAGGTGGTGGTAGCTCGAGACAGGGACGAGGTGGGAGACGTGGAGTCCATCACATCGCGAAGACGGTTTTGATAACTCCAATGGAGAACTGGTCTCGCTGGGATCGCTCTTTCTCAATGGAGTTTCTAGAGACTAAAGATGGATACAACTACTTCAGGTAACATCTTTTTTTCGTTTGTTTGTGTGTTTCAGTGTGTGTGGCTAATATAGTATAGAGATCTTGAGTCTGATGAAAGGCTTTCCTTTTATGCACACAGATATACCCATTCATCCTCATATGAGCAGGCTCAGAGGGTATTTCAGGCCGCACAAGATAGTCACGATCTAAATGGCGTAGCAAGTGTACTTATAAACCATCCTTACCATATCGATTCACTTATAACTATGGCGGACTACTTTAGGTTTTCCGGTGAGCATCAAATGGCTGCTGATGCCATCGGAAAGTGCTTGTACGGTTTGGAGCGCGCGTGGCACCCAATGTTCACTCCGTTCCAGGGTAACTGCAGGCTGAAGTTTACTCACGAGACGAACAAGCCGTTCTTCAAGACGCTTTTCACTTACATGAGTAACATGGATAGGCGTGGCTGTCATAGATCAGCCTTGGAGGTATGCAAACTCTTGCTTTCTCTGGACACAGACAATCCAGTTGGTGTGCTGTTCTGTGTGGACTATTTCGCTTTGAGAGCGGAGGAGTATGCGTGGTTGGAGCAGTTCTCGGAGGAGTACCAAAGCGAACACTCCTTATGGCTCTTCCCGAATTTCTCGTATTCGCTTGCTATAGCTCGTGTTTACCTCGAGAAAACGGAGTCTTCCTCTTCCTCTACTCATGTAGATACTTCAAAGTCGAGCTCTTTAGATCTCATGATGCAAGCTTTGAAGCTTCATCCGACAGTAGTCAAGAAACTAGTGGACAAGGTGCCTTTAAAAGATCAGGCATGGACGAAGATACTCAAACATTCCTACTTCCGATCAGATCAGTCGAAGAACCCGTCCTTGGATCACCTTATCAACATATATGTGGAGAGGAGTTACCTTATATGGAGGCTTCCTGATGTCCAGAAACTGCTTCGGAGTGCCGCTGATATAGTCATCAAGTCGCTGGAAGAAAACGAAAGTGAAGCAGAGGACTTCTTTCGTGCAAGGGAAGAAGCATTCCCTGCTAAGTATAACGAGTAAGTGTTTTCAAAGTCTCAACTTTTCTTTTTTTTTTTGGCTAGAGCTGATCACAGATATGATTGTGTTCTAATTTGATTCACAGGTACTCTCATTTATCAACACATGATTTCTCTGATTCGATGCCGACTCTCCCACCAGATAATCTGCAGAATTTTGTGGCTGATCCGAGAATGGGAGGAGATCAAGTGGCTGCAGTAGGCGGCGGTGGTCAGCACCAACACCAAGAACCACCACCACCGCCACTTGATGTGGCAAATCGGAATCCAGTCGGTGTGTTTTTACAGACACTTCTTCCATGGAATAATCTTGGAGATGGAAATGCTGATCGCCGACCAGACAACAATGGCTAAATTTGGTTCTGACTGCAAAAAGAATAAAACTGCCACAAAGCTTTTGGTGGTTCATTAGAAGAAAAATTTACAAAATGTTTTTGCCGACACATGTGGCCTTTGCTTTTGTTGTACAGCGCCATTTTGATGGTTTATTAGTCTTTTTAAGTTAAGCATCATATGTTCTTTACTACTCTTGAGATTTGATACTTTTGTGTTTCTGGTCAATTCATATTCTTATTTCTAGTAGAATCATTGATAGCTTTTCAATATTCATCGATCAAAAGTTCAAAACCATGACGCATCATGAGCTGTTATCCGGCTCAGTTATAGCTCGAGCCGACCGGTTCACATATGAGGTCGTTATACGGCCACGTAATCTCGACTTTTTTTATACAATCGTCGACGAAAAGAAAAAGAAGAAGAAAAACACTGTTCGTCGAATAGCTTTCGAGCTTTGAAGGTATCGCCTTTTTTGCTCGCTTCTCTTTATTATTTATCCAGAGAACTATGTAATTAAATTGAATTTTGGAGAAGGGACACAAAAAAAAAACCTGAATTTCGATAAGCTTATCCATCGCAGGTTTTGGGTGGTGATTGTTCTGCTTGGCGCCTTTTTTTTCCGTGCAGAAAATGGAACGAATTGCGTCTGCGACATTCTCTTGCCCAGCGATTTCAATGCCTCGCGTCTGTAGAATCAAACCTTGTGGCCTAAACATCGATACCGATCATAGAAAGAGATTCTCGTGTCGAGTAGCTGTAGCTTCTAGGGTCTGTTTGTTCTCTGCACATTTTTGCTCTTCTTTCTTTTGCTCGTCTGAAGCAAACAATTTGAGTATGTTTCGGTGCTCCACTCAGGTCGTCGACAGTGAGCTTGACTTGGAACACAAGAAACACGATCTACTGAGAGCTGTTCAAGAAACCCAACGAGGACTCACTGCCACTTCTGATCAACGATCTGTCATCGAGGAGGCTCTGGTACAGTAATTGAGCTACATGTTGCTGCTGTATGGTTCTGAGTGAAGAGGTGGTTTTATGAGTTTGGAATTCGTAGAAACTTTTCAGGTGACTGTGGAAGGGTTTAATGGCGGTGAAGCCATTGATCTGGTGAAGTTAGATGGGACATGGAGGCTACAGTATACATCTGCACCTGATGTTGTTGTTCTGTTTGAAGCTGCTTCAAGGTTTCCCTTCTTTCAGGTAGTGATGATGCTGATGATGATGATCGGACAAAGCAGGGAGTTTCCGTTTTAATCCTTTGTTGGTTTTGATCAGGTGGGTCAGATCTTCCAGAAGTTTGAGTGCAAAGATCGATCAGACGGTGGAATCATTCGGAATGTTGTTCAGTGGAGTGTTCCAAGCTTGTTAGAGGTTTCTGCTTCTTCTCTACTTGTAACCCTTTTTCAATCTCACATTCCCAGACAGTAACTGTAAATGATGAATCCATGGCAGGATCAAGAAGGTGCAACACTTGTTGTGACTGCAAAATTCGATAAGGTCTCTACTCGAAATGTCTACCTTCAGTTTGAAGAGGTTAACTTGATTCTCTGCTTTCGAAGCTTTCAGTATATTAGTCTATAAATCGCCAAAAGCAATCTAAATTTCAGTTTCATGAATCTTTTGCAGATAAGTGTTAGAAACATTAACATTAATGAGCAGCTTCAAGCTTTTATCGCACCTGCAATTCTTCCACGCTCATTTTTCAACCTTCAGGTAAAGAGAGAACTTTCCAATACCAACAATGCCTAGAAACCAAGACCTTATTTAAGAGAACGACCAAGCTAACAACTCCTATACTGGTTTTCCAGATTCTGCAGTTTATACGTACTTTCAAAGCTCAGATTCCAGTAAACGCAACCAGCCCAGGAAGGTAGATAATAACTCTTTTTTTAAAGTGCCATAACTTATTTAAGATATGTCTATGGATGCTAAAGATGTTCCCTCTATTGCAGGAGATCTGTAGGTGGATTGTATTACCTGTCTTATCTCGACAATAACATGCTCTTGGGTCGATCTGTTGGAGGAGGAGGAGTATTTGTCTTTACTAAATCTCAACCCCTCGAGCTGTGAGAATCAGAAAAATCTGTAAAACTCTGCTTTGGATATGAACATTATGTTAGCAGATTCTGTTTATGTACAATCTATTAGGGTTTTACTGGAAAATTTGGACAACAAAGCAAAAATGTCACTGGATTGCTTCTTTCGAACACGGAGTATATAATCAACCAAGCAGACTGTTCCACAGTTCTTTGAGAGAAACATAAGCCTGAGCACAAGGAACAGCCTGTAGCTTGGTGTCGCCATCTATCAGTGTCTCTGTTACTAGACCTAGTCTCACCAACGTGCTTATAGCCTTTTCTACTCGCATCTCAACCTGTAAAATGGTTTAGTGAGTCAGCTACAAGGTGTAAATATAGTAAAAGTTGCCAATAGAGTTCAAGTTTTATACAGACCTTTATTTTGAAAATGTCATACATGAATCTCTCGCATCTATCTCCAACTCCTTGGTAAGACATGTTCTGCACGTAAATAGTTTATTCATCAGCATTCGCGAAAAGCTTGATCTATCCGAAAATGAGGCATGGCATTAAGATCAGAGAGTGGCTGGTTATGTCTAACCTGATTCTTTCCTGCTTGTAGAATAATTGCATATGTCAATATAGCCTCCTTGTACTGCAGACAGTGAGTAATTAGAGAATGAAACCATTAGTAATAAGCAAAAGATCTTTCATATAACAGAAGGGAGAAAACGAAGGAGATCTTGCCTGTTGCTGCTCCGAGGCATCCAAAAGGAAGTGGACAGAGCCAAAACCACTGGCTAAGGTTTTCTCATAAAGCGTCTTGTTAACTAGCAACTGAGGAAGTAGATCAAATGCAAGGGAGATTTTCAGAATCAGGACATTGAAACCCACTGTAGTGAAGGGAGTATGAATTTGGGATTTAACTCACTTGATATCTATCCCATGTCTGCTTGTAACCCAAAACCACACGTGTTGCGTAGATTACCAGAGCAGTGACGGCGATCACATCAAGAAATAGTGCTGATCTGTATTGCAAACAATGTGAAGCAAAGAACAAGTCTTTACTCTCTGTGCTTATAAGACAAAGTGACGTACAGAGAAGAGTGTATAAGAAGACATACGGGGATGATGAGATGTTCTCAAACTTGTAGTTCACAAAGTACGCCGTAAGTCCCAAAATACTGGCGATATCCAGACGTACCTAACAATAATAGACTCAGAGTGTTGAGTCAACAGTACAATATTACAATATCAGTAAAACTGAGTGCACAATGAAACCGCACTTACTGTATCTATGATGCGAAAGTAAAGCTTCCTGTGAGGGAAAATTACCTGCAGAAAGCAGAAAAAGTGGTGGTGAAAACTACAGAGAAAAGCTTAATGGCAGAAAAGAAACATGAGGTGACAGTCACACACTCATGATGCAGATGTAATATTCTTACAGGTAAATCTGGAATTGGGATTCTTTCAAATATCTCCAATTGTAATGATGATCGGGTTTCATCTTTATTTTTATCGCCCTTTTCATTCGCATCCTTCGTGTAAAGCAAAATCAGTTCTTCAAATGCAGGCTCCTATTCACCAGAACAAAAACAAACACTAAGAACTGTGATCCTGTGGCCATAGCTTATGATTCATTCAAATGTTCTGCTTAACATTGCACTGCAGAACTATTTCCATAGAAAAACAATACCTGCAGTGTTGACGGTGAGAAAAGAATGGAAATCGAAGTTTTTATCCTTTTCCAGATATCATTTCCGCAAACTTTCTTTGAAGCAGGTTTCCATATATCAGCTAGCGTCATCCTTGATAAGAAAATCGGCCTGAGTGAAGATGAGATTCTTCATACTTCAGCAACCAGAGACCAAAACATAATTTAGTGGCAAAGAAAGATGACTGAGAAAAAGAAGCCACACACCTCAAGTAAGGTTCAGATGCATTAGTATCATTAGCCAGCTGAGATGGCATTTCATAACCCGGAGAAATCAAACCAATCCATGTGAGCAACTTTCTGAAGAGCTTCTCGCGAGGACCAACAGGTGTGAGAAGCCCCTCGTACCGACTGACTGCTCTTTGTGCTGCTAATCGCATGGGGAGGACTGAATCTGAACGGATCTCCCTTTCCAATAATTTATCAGAAGTTTGGACTCGTTCTAGATATGATTCCTTAAAAAGAGACAGCTCCTTGAGCCAAACTTTCATCCTCTCTGACAAATCTTGAATTTCTTGAGTTTGAGAAGCCTCATTTAATGCCTACTCATGAAATTCGGAGAGAAAAAAATGACGTTCAAGTTTAGCAACTAACAAATCTCAAAGGTTTGCTTTTGATCAAGTAAGATATCATTTCCCTTAAATCAAATAGGTGTCAGACCTTGTTTATCAATTTCCCAACTTTCCTCAGGGGTTTTGAGATGGTCCAGAAGGTTCCTCGTAGAACTATAGACTGGATATAGTCTAGCTTCTCCACAAGCAACAAACCCTTCTGCTTCTCAGTTGCATATCCACGCCTGTTACAGAAAGGTAACAGATTCTCCATGAGAGAGCACAAGGCCTCAAGGCTCAAAAAGGCAACCGGGTATTAACATTTACCTGAAAACAATAGCATTGGACTCTGATGCCTTCTTCCAGTCAACGTAGACAGGCAAAGTAAGAAGGTAATCAGTGTTAAGAGCCGACGTCAGTGCCAAATCCCTAGCTGAAAGCTCTTCAAAACCAGCATTGTCGAGAAGCTGAATGAATGAACGCTGGAACCGCGTTGCAGCATTTACACTGCATTCAAATATCGCCAAAGCAATCTATATATATTCAGAGTTTCATGGCACAGTGATTCTCTCAAAATCTCCCAATTGATTTCTAAATACCTTTCAGCTGAACGTCTCTTTGCATGTTTGCCGGAGGAAATCAGAAAGTTCCAAATGTCGAAACCATCAGCCAAAGGGATTGATAAACCCTCGTATCCATTAACACTCCTGGGTTCAGATTTCTTGGCTTTCGAATTAACTTCCTCCTCTGAGTCAGTTTCTCTACCTGAAGAAGTAGAGCTTTCTTCGTCACCACCAATGTTTACTTCTTCCAGAGATTGAGTGGCGACGAAATCGGCTCTCATTTGCTCTAAAACCCTCTTGTGCTCCGCGTGAAGGATAGAGTCCAAGCACCTAAAAGAGTTCGAGAGAGAGAGAGAGAGTTTCAAATTGTAACTATTGATGATGCAATCTCGCGTTTGACTTGGGAATTTTAGTAATCTCGCTTACGAGGCAAGGAGGAGAAAGATATCAGCGTCTCCGTCTTGGGAATCGAGGAGCGTCGTTACGATGCCGTCAACGAGATCAGACTTGGAGACACTGATGTATTTCTCACGAGGAACATGTATACTGGAAATCCGCTCTTCTTCCTCCGATTCGTCATCTCCAGCTCCGCCTTCACGTCCCTCTCCGCCATCTTCCGCAGAGGGAAACTCCTCTTCAGGAGTCTTCCAGCCACCGCCGTTTTGAAGCTCAGTCAAGCTAGCAATCGCTCGTTCCGACTCTCCGGAGACTACATCAAGAGGCGCAAAACTTGCCGCCTCCGTCAGACGGCAACGAACTGATCGACGACGCAAAGTCCGCGACGGCTTAGACCGCGGTGGAAGAGCGACGAAGCTAGTGAGGCTTCGAAGCGAGAACATATTGGATCCGAAGCTTTTGCTGAATCGAGAGATTCAGACGCATTTGCAGGAGATTTGTTACATGTGAGTGTGACCATTGAAGAAGGAAGAAGCCGGAACAAGCGATTTTGATTATTTCCTCCGCCCAGCAATACGAATACAGACGAAATCGTGAATTAACGGCTCAAAACGATCTACGAGTTTTCTGGGCCCACAAGTTGACTTTGATTAATGTTTAGATCATTTGATGACATTCTGAAATTTTTGGGTACCAAAACATAAATATACGACATTTTTGGTTCATCTTCTGTTGAAAATCATAGAAATAGAAAATTAAGCCTTCTTTTTCTTTTCTTTTACTTCTGGAAACTGAAAAGATTGTTTGAGAACAATAAAGCCAATTACAAGAAATCCTAATTTTTGGTTGTTGTTGTTGATTGTTGTTAATTCATCTATTGAATTTTTGTTTTCTCTCTGGATAATATTGTCCAGACGACCGCCAAATCCTTCCTTCAAGGGACACAACCATCACAGAGACATCATCATGGTACTTCCTTCGATCTCCTTGAGGTATATCCAACAGATCATGAAACTCCATCCCTGCAACCACAGAATCGCTGGTTTAAATTTTCATATGAACCGGCTGGTTAACCAGAAACCGTATCAAACCGATCATCATTTGATTGTTACCGTTCTTGGTGGCTGCACGAGAGAGAAGCTCTGCAATGAGGTATTGAGCAGGATCACCTTCAGGAACGTTTTCGATGAACCAAGTCACGTGAGCAACAACCTCTTCGTTGCTGAAGTATTCGTACAATCCGTCAGAGCATAAAACCAGGAAACGATCGCTTGAAGTGAGCCTGTGATGGACAGTACACGGTTCGCATGTGATGTACGGATCTGTTCCAATGTAGTCTACTCGGAACATCTCAAGCAAAGCTTCGTTGAAATCCGGCTGCAACAACATGATGAAAATATTCAGAAGATGAATGCGTCTATGTATATAAAGTAATTTCGTTATGAATTGTTGTCTCTACCTTTTTGAGAAATCCAGCACCAAATGCTCGAGTGACTTTGAGTTGGCCTTTGACTCTGTCTTTGAGTATGGATTGGTCATCTTCCGGATGTTCGGATCTAATACGCGAAACTTCCTGAAACATGTAAAGAAACTTGCTTTTTTGGCAAACCAGAGCTACAATGGAGTTGGCAAAATCTTATAATTTTACCAAAACTAAGATTCCTCAATTCAGAATAATACCTCTTCGACACTTGTGCTATGGTCACTTGAGAGTTGAACGGCTCTCATCTTTAACCGGTAAGAAGTTACATCTCTGTTTTTGTTTGTGACGCTGATCTGAGTGGTTTGATTGTGTATCGGAGATTCCTCTGATATCCTATCCAGTTCCATACGGACAAGCGATTCTCTGGACCTACTCTTATGCCCCATACCCTCCTCATTTCCAAACCCGGGATTAGAGTGACGATCATGGAGCCTTTCTTGAGCTAAGATCGCTCGACTGTCCCCAACATTCATCACGTAAACATCTTGATCCTTCATTAGCATTACGAGAACACATGAACCCATCAGAGCAAGCTCTGGGTTTATGTCAAGAGACTTCTCTACCATTTCCATGTAAGCCTCTTCAGTACTCTCTAGTGCTCTAGCCATTGCTCTTAGAACAGCATCATGGTCTACAGTTCCTAACCAGCGCCTCCTAATTGGTCCTGACGACTCCATTATCTTCTCTTCAACGCAAGTCCCTTCTTCCCTGTGCCAATCATAACTCCAAGGAAACAGCTTTTTCCGTAAAGACTTCTTCTTTTGATACATTCTTTTTATCTTAGAGCTTATCTGCGATTTTCTAGTCCCATGGCTTTGTTCTGAGGTCGGAAGCCCATCAAGAACACTACCCTCGGTGGTACACGGATCGTTTTCAGCTCCTCCACCAGAAGTTGATGGATTTTCAACCTGATTGGTCATATCAGTTCCTCCATGAGAATGTTTCAGTCGGATTTCTTCGTCGTCCCACCGTTCCAATTGAAGTAGCTCGTAAAGTCTCATGCTTTTCTTGCCAGGACCTGCTAAACTTCCAGGTGGAGGACCATCAGCAATCTGAGTATCGGCGTTTCCAAGGCTAATGTCATTAACAGTCATAACCTCTTCACTTGCTGCCACTACTGACTCCGAATGCTGCTGGCTAATAGTTTCCGGATCACACGAGTTATCTTCTGTGGAAAGAGGTTCTTGGTCTGGCTGCAACGGATTATCTACAGATGGCTCGTCATAATCCCAGAGAAGACCTTCCAGTTCCTTGTCTATAGCTTTGTACAGATGACTCATTACGAAATCTGGAGCATCCGGTCCACTAAACCCATCATAAATCCCTATGAAGAGCCATCCTTGTTCCTCCGAAAGCACAACGTGAACCCTGTCTTCTCCAGCCTTCCCATGAGCCCATTGCAAGTTACGGTTGCTCTCCAGACAACTTTCCGGGTCTTCCTCGTGTAACTTGCCATCCTTTCCGACCGGCCAGGAAACCCTAGAGTCTGGTTGCATGAAGAAGCGATGCATCCAACTTAACCCTCCAGACCGTCTAGAAAACGTCCTCGCTAGTGTACTTCTCATTGGTCCGCTTACGCTCCTCACAAACCGCTGGAACCGAGGCTTCCTCCGTCTAAAAGAAAGCGGGGCCGAGAAATTAGACTTATCAGATACATCAAGAGGTCCAGACATGACTCCTTTCTCTATAGGCCCTGACATGAAACCGTTGTTTCTATCCAAAGGACCAGATGCGAAGCCTCTTTCCAGGGGTCCTGACATGAACCCGTTCAAAGGTCCCGAACCACCACGAGGGAGCGGCTGCAGAGGAATCGAAGCAAAGGAGGACGTGCTCTCGAATGAAGCAGCAGGCTCCAACACATCACTTGAACACAATGCCATCTGATTCCCAGTCCTAGCCGTGGAAACATTGGCACTAACCGAAGCACCCGAGATAGCCTTAAACGTAGTCTCCGCCAAACCTTTACTGTTGTGTCTGTGCAAGAAAGAAGGATCATCAACGACCACGTTCCGAAAAGATCCGCTGAGTGTCTCGGAGTCAAGGGTGCTTGAATCAATCGTGAACCTCTCCGAGTTAGAAGGAGTGATATCCGGAGACTCGAAGATGCTTGGCCTAACGTAGCAAAAGGAATGGCCTAAACCTTCATCCAAGGGCTCCAGAAACTCCAAATCAACGCCGTTTTTCTCATTCGACGGCACGAAGCAACCGACCACGCGGGAAGTTCCGTTTCCCATCACTCTGGCAAAACTACAAACACCTTCGAGGCACAACCCCATGATGAACCTCTAGCGAGCTCCCGCAGTTTCCAGCACCACAACACATCACAAACACAAGAACAAGAGGCGAAATTCTTATAAACCCTACAAAGATCCGACGCGTTTTGCAGAATCCAAGCATCATCTGAGGTTCAATCTCTGAACATTGAGACGCAAACAAGTACCTGCTTGTATCAAATTAGGTGTTAAAATGCAAAATCAGCTGAATGTTCCCGAAATCTTCGGTTCATAGCTCTTGAAATGGAAGCTTAAAGAGATGAAATTTTCAGTGATCTGACCTTCTCACGGATGTTCAGAGCTTGAATAAGGAGATGGATCAAGCAGAATCTGGAAACAGATCTATAGGAGCGGCAAAGAGACAGTGTATTGAACACATCGGAAGCAAATAGAGACAGTAAGTTGAAAAAAACACCCCTTTTAGATTTCTATGGGAATCTGACAAAAAGTAACCATTTTTTAAATTTACACAAAAATAAAAACAGAAAACAAAATATAAATAATGAAGGAACAAGACCCAGATTGAGATTGAACCATGCAGATACGACCAGCTGTTAAAGATCCACTCTTTTCAGGAAAAACCAAAAAAAAAAAAAAAAAAAAGCCTAAAACCCAGAACGGTAGTTAAAGTTTTTCCCTTCTTTCAGATGTACGGAGAAACCGAGATTCAAAATCGACAAAACTAGAAACGTAATCCAAGGAGCTAAAGAGGAAGAAGACGATGGAGTTTTGAAACTGCAATGGGTTTAATTTGATTTTTCTTTAAGCAGGCCAAGAAATGATAATTTCTACTTTTTAAATTTCTTTTTAGCTCATCGGTGAGCAGAAGGAGAAAAGAGGTGTCTTCTCTCTTTCTCGGGGTTTTCAAATGGTTTGGGAGGGTAAGAAAAAATAAAACAGAGATAAAAATAAATTAAAAACTAATTAAAATTAAAAAAAAAATTAAAGAGCAAACAGGAAAGAAACGAAAAGACAATAAAAACAAAGTAAAAATTCTCAAACAATTGCGTTGAAAAATGCAAAAAGTGAAGAGCGTCTTTTAAGGGTTTTTTTCCTTTCTATTATAGAATTTTTAAAAATGAAAGCTTTTAGAATTTATAATAGGGTCAATTTTCCATATTCCATAGCCTATATATTAAGCTCACAAATGATCCTTATAGCCATTATAAACAGATAATAAATCAAATAATCAAATAGAAAATCGTACCACATCATTATCTTTTTCTTCTTTTCTCTATTACTTTATACCGTTTTACGTCCATTTGGGATGCTAAAGAAAATAAGAGATCAAAATAATTAAAATCATAATTAGAAAATCGAAGAGCAAACAGGAAAGAAGAGAAAAACAGAAGGGTTGTATTTGTTTTTCCTTTCCATTACCGAAATTCCAAAAAAAAATAAAAAAGATGAAAGCTTTTACAATTTATATTTATGGGGTTTGCAAATGATTGGAGGTATACAATTACAGGTGATTCACGTCATTATTGTTCTCATCGATGGACCCTTTGCATGGGTTGAAGTTTTCTTTGTGGGGCCCGTTTTATTCACACCGATTCTCATTTTTTTTATTTGTTCTTCTTTACGTATGTGTCTACCTTATTTAATTTCGTTCTTTTGTTATGATGTTCTTCAAAATTTTTTTATAATTGGTTGCATTGAATCTTGCTCCTCGTTTCAAGATTTGACCGGTGTTAATAATATAATATAGTTTGAACTTTGAAGTATGTTAACATTGTTAATCTTCTTTCTTAATATTATCATATTCTGCCTAGCAATTTTATTTAAATCTCAAGTGGCTCAAAATATTTTATTTAAAGAGGTCAAGTTAATATTTTTTACATGTCTAATATGCCAAAATAAAATATCTAAACTGTAGAAATGCAACTTGGCTCATCGTCGAATCTAATGACTGAGTGTAACTTTATAGTTTTTAGGACAAAAATACAAGAAATTTGGAAGATTGTCATGATGCCTAACTTGCAAGAGAGACCAACTCCACGAGCAAAAAATAGAGTCACATTTTAAAAGAAAACAAAAGAAACAAATTGTTGACTTAACCAAATCCACTCTCTGCTTTTGCCTTTGAGTTTCTGACTACTGACAAACTCTTTCAACGCCCCAAGAAAATTATGCTTTTGGTTTCACATTGTTTGGTTTTGTTTTATTTATTTATTTATGCGTCAATGAATCCACAGATCCAAAACCGAAGCCATTATCAAATCATCCACTAAATTAACAAGTTATTTTATTTCTTTCTTTCAATATCCCAGAATAAAACAAAAGTTATTGGAGTGGACATCCCTGTCTCACTAAAAAAAGAATAAAAATTTGGGAAATATATTGAAAACCTAATTTGGTTTTTCATTTTTACAATAATAAAACATCTGTACATGGAATATAAAAATTGGAAAATGCAGATGGAAATTTCAAAATGGAGAAGATCTATTGGTCTTGAGAGGCAATAGTAAGCTGGGCTATGTGGTCGTTAAATAGGCCCATTATATAAAGAGGCCTCGAAACGGGCGTAGTATAGTGAGCACGTGGGATCTGGGATGCGCATGCAGCGTAAGATAGTGTTAAAGGGAGCCGATGCCGACAATATAAACATTACTACTAACTTTTTAATTAAGTGACTTTTGCAGTAATTGAGGAGGAACATTCAACTACTACAGAGAGACACGCTCTTGTCATGATGGTAAACGTGTAAATCCTCTAATAACGCCCCAAGAAAAGCCATAAGAAAATTAATTCTCTTAATAAAGAAATGATCTGCAAAAATGTCAAAATATCATTTAGTTTTAGAATCATATTTATTAAGGGAGAACAGACAATTATTCCAAGATTTTTCTGTGACGTAAATCAATTCTTACCACACAACAGTCAACAAAATATATAAGTGTAATAATAATAAGTAATAAGTGAGAGAGTCTATCTGGAAAAGCCAAGAAAGTAAAAGACTTGACTCGCTATCACACACATGCAGTGAGAAGAGAAGATTCGTGTACGGAAATCAATCTCAAAGTCAAAATAATTTCCATCTCAGCTTACGACAGCGGCGGAAATGAGGAGCGTGTTGCGGATCGCGGCGGTGTTATGGTGGCTTTGGCTGTGTTCCGACGTAAGTGTGGTCCGGAGCGGATCTAGCGATGGAATTGGGAAAGTGAGAAGAGATACTGAAGATGCGATCTCGTTGCTGGAAAATCAACTGACTGCGAAATCTCCAGCGCAGCTTCTCATGGTTCCTCTCACCTTGATTCAGGGAGCTGCCTCCAAAGGAGCTGGTACTAACTCACTCACCATCTCTCTCTTGAATGCTACCTTTTGATGTAAAGTTGAAAACTCTAGAATTTTGCTGAAAGGCTGAAACTTTGATGTCATTCTTTTCGTTTTGGTACGCTTGTGTCTCTCTCTCTCTGTCTCTGAATCTGTTTTCCCTAAGATGCATCGGATTAGTTAGTTCTTGATGATGGAAACGAGTCAGTATCTTGTCCAAGATTAGTTGAATTATTCATTAAAAAACACTAAATTGAATGCAGTTTGCCTGGATGGAACACTACCCGGTTATCATCTACACCCTGGTTCTGGTTCTGGTGCTAACCGCTGGCTCATTCAACTCGAGGTGTTTTGCATTTTTGTTCTGTCATCAATTGTAATTCTGCTAATGAGTTTTAAAACTAGAAAATATTTAGTTTTTATTGGTTTACTTGTGACGCAGGGTGGAGGATGGTGCAACACTCGCCGGAGCTGTATCTTCCGGAAAACCACTCGCCGTGGTTCGTCAAAATACATGGAGAAAGTTTTGGCCTTCACTGGGATTTTGAGCAACAAAGCTGATGAGAATCCTGGTTTGTAGTATACTAGTCCATAAACTCATGAGCTTATTAACATTTTGATTGCATTGACTCAGTTATCTTGTGTGTGTGCTTGCAGACTTCTTCAACTGGAACAGAGTTAAATTGCGTTACTGTGATGGTGCCTCTTTCACAGGCGATAGTGCGGACGAGGTTTAGATAACAGTGTTCTTCAGTTTGTATACGCTGTTTCACTCTCACCCTTCTTTCTCTTGGCTAATATAATGTCTTCTTTTTATATATAGAGTTCACAACTTTACTACAGAGGACAACGAATCTGGCAAGTAGCTATGGAGGAACTGCTCTCTAAAGGCATGCAAAAAGCAGAGCAGGTTTTGTATGCATTTTTTCAACCCTATATCATTGGATTTTGCATGTTTTTTTTTTTATTCACCTGTATAAGTAAAAATATGTGTCACACAGGCTCTACTTTCTGGATGTTCAGCTGGAGGATTAGCTTCGATCCTCCACTGCGATCAGTTTAAGGAACTCTTACCTGCTACTACCAAAGTGAAATGCTTAAGTGATGCTGGAATGTTTATGGATGCGTAATTATCTTCATCTTGCATTTTGATTTATTTTTAGTTAATGATGAACACATCAAAGACTTAAAACGTTTTAATTGAAAAAAATGTAGCGTTGATGTATCTGGAGGCCACTCGCTCCGGAACATGTTCAAAGGTGTTGTTACAGTACAGGTAATCTCAGAGAGTTTCTTGCTGTGGGGATTACATACTATTTTGTCTTATGCTTACTCTAAAGTTTTATGTCAAAAAATCTAGAACCTCCAAAAGGATCTGTCCACTACTTGTACCAAGCATCTGGATCCAACTTCGGTAATATTTGTCACTTTTTTCATTTACAATAACATTCGCAATCAGACAGGACTCGAGAATCTTCAACCTAATAATCCTTTTTGCTCTGTTTGCCTCAGTGCTTCTTTCCTCAGAATTTGGTTTCAGAGATCAAGACTCCAATGTTTCTTCTAAATGCAGCTTACGACGCTTGGCAGGTAAATCCCTGATCTTCATCTTCTCTGATCACTTCTCTTTCAATTCTCACCAAAAACAGTGACGACGAATCATCTCCATCAGGTACAAGAGAGCTTAGCTCCTCCATCTGCTGATCCTGGTGGCTTTTGGAAAGCATGCAAAGCAGATCACTCGCATTGTAATTCATCTCAAATCCAATTCTTCCAAGGTGACTCCTTTGACTCACAATCCCTCACTTTACAAACTATATCATCATCATCATCATCATCGTGGGTGTTTAATGTTTATTCTCTCTTATACAACAATATAGACTTCAGGACACAAATGGTGGATGCTGTAAAATCCTTCTCGTCGTCTACACATAACGGTGTCTTCATTAACTCATGCTTCGCGCACTGCCAATCCGAAAGACAGGACACTTGGTTTGCGCCAGATTCTCCTAAGCTTCACGGCAAGGTAAAAACATATTTTGACAGTTGATAAAATATGGTTTAAGTTTCTGCAAGATATTGTTTTTAACTTGTTGTTTGTGTTTGCTTGCTCCATTTTTCTTTTCTGCAGAGCGTTGCTGAATCTGTTGGTGACTGGTACTTTGACAGAACAGCAGTCAAAGCCGTTGACTGTCCTTACCCTTGTGACAAAACATGTCACAATCTCATCTTCAAGTGACTTAAAAGTTAAAACAACATATTCATCATACTCAAACGGCTTCCTGATTCTTTCAAAACTTATACTCATTTTACCATTAGTAACAATTGCTGAAACATTCTTTACATAATGTATGTGATCCTCTCCTTGTTGGCCGAACTTCTCTTTATCTTTGATGGAATATCAGCGAATCTGGTTAGTGAGAGTAATGACGAGTTTCAGATCCTTGCATTAGTAATATTCAATGAAAAAAAAAAGAACATATTCCTTGGATTCACTGGACTTAATACACAAAGCATCCAAATCCTAAATCGATCAGATCATACTCTGCTTTTGATTAAAGTGAACCTTTTTACAGGGTGATTTTTATTTGAGTGCTTGCGCTTTTAGTATTTAATGGGTCCTTTTTGTGTTGAAATTCCATTTTCTGATCGCTTTTCAAAAAGATATTCCACACTAAGATCACAGACCAAGAGAGATAAAAACAGAGTAACACATAATCCACGTGAATGGTTTCTTTACAAGTAATTTGTGTATGGAGTTTTGTTTTTATAAAAACATTCAACGAAACAATCAATATAAAGCTTTCATATTCACAAAACGAGTTACTACCGCTACAAGAAAAAACTATGAGACAAAAACCTAAATTTTCCAAAGACAAACCCTAACATAATTATAAGCTTAACGTGATGCAGAAGCTAAAGCTACCGCTTGTGCCCACATCTTTAGTCTCGCCTTAACCTCTTTCGGATCATCCCCTAATATTAATTATAGTCATACAAAAAGAAATTAAGATCCTAATTGCATTACAAATTAATTAATGTGATGATTAGATTAACATGTGATGATTATTACCTGGACTAGAGATTCGCCAGTTGGCAATCGGAGAGTTGCCGCCACTACTAGTCTGCGTCTCCCGGTTTGACCCGGTGGATACTGAAACCCGACCCGGAACTTCGAAATCGAACCCGAGATCTCTACAAGCCTTCACTTCTTCAAACCCCATCTTCATCGACTTCTTTCCTCCTCTCACCTTCGTTAACACCGTCAATTCTTCTCCTCTTCCTCCGCCGTTACGGTTTCCGTCTCCGTCGCTTTCTCTCTCCACACCGTTAAACCCGTGACCGTAATAATGGTTCCCTCTTTTACTCTTTTCCCTTAATACCCTTCTCTGTTTAACTAAACCACACTTACTGCCATCGACTCTCATCTCATTCTCTTTTTGTAAACCGGTCGAAACAACAGAGAGTTTTCTTCTCCGACGAGACATGATCGTCGTCGGGAGAGAGTAAAATCCAGGAGATTCCTTGTCGGAATCGGAATCTTCACCGTCATCGGAGATTTCTCCGTCCGCCTCGGCTCCGACGTCGAAGCTCTCTAGCGATAGCTCGGAGATGAAATTACCCAATTCTGAAGGGTGAGTTGCGCAATGATCTTCGTCGTCTTCGTGAAAGGAGCTCGTGCAGATTGATAACCTAGACAAACTGCTTTGCCTGGTCTGATAATGAAACCCATCGTCTGTGTCGTCGTACTCGTCGTTTAGAATGGAACAAGTGTTGATCAGCAAGCTCTCTTCGGACGCCATTAAAGATAGCTAGAAGAAAGGGTACGTAAGAGGCACTGTAACGTTTTGAGAGCGTTTTTACTTCTTCTTTTTTTTGCCAAAAGAGATTTTATTCATTTCCTTTCTTGAGTGAAAAGTGAGTCAACTCGAGCTTTCCCCGGCTGATCTTATTTATGAGTCTCGGATTTTGCGGGATTTACGTATTTGGCCTCCGTAGTTTTTGTTTAATCTCAGATATCCAAATTTCGCCTATACGTCAAATAGTTTCTCATAAACACACCGGAATAAAATAACCAGAACAAAAGCCAAATAATCAAACTGCCTATGCGTAACGTTTATATACAGCAAAATCGAAATAATTAATATTTTGTTATTTTTAATCTTATATCGACTATCTTATTTATTTAGAAAACTCGACACTGTTTTGGTCTTTAACGTCACCAGATTAGTGACACCCTTTTTTAATTTGTTTTAAGTTAGACCGACTATTCAGACATTTTTCAAAGCCATCACTCTCAGCATTATAACTAGCGCGACACCTGTAACGCGTGTTTTAATGCATAATCCAAAATTGTAGCTTTAGGTAATCGACCGTTTATTGCATTTTGTTAGTATGATAATATAATCATATGCTCTAAACCATGACGAAGGATCGTTTTGACGTTTGAGGATCTTTTCATTAGTTATTAATTTTTACAGTCAAGGCTGGTCCCATATGCCTCGACTATTAGGGGCAATTCGGGAATTACATACGATTAATAATTTCATAAAACCAATACTATGCTTTTTCTTATTTTATCCTACAACCAATAATAGTTACGATTTTACCAAACTATATATATTTTATTCTACAACCAATAATAGTTACGATTTTACCAAACTGATAAGTTAATTAATTGGATAAAATATTAACCGTAGACTTTCCTCATCCTAACACTTGCGCAATATGCGAAAAACAAAATTTAATAATCGGAAATGAAGTTTGCATTCATTATAAAAAAAAAAAAATTAATGGGCACTCAACAATTACACACACACACAAACGGTATGGAAAAATTATACTCGTGCGTAGTCGAAAACCTTTTTTTTTTACCTTTTCTAAAGACGTAAGCTGAAAACTGTAACAATATGGTTATCAATGTGGTATCTATTTTGTTAGGCACAACATAAAATATGTGGTGCGAACAAATCATATATATCATTCTCATAATTAATTATACAATAAATGTTAAGAGAGTTAGTGGTGCCGGCAGTCGTATGTGGCTGACACTTTTCTCCGTCACTCCTCTTCAAAGTTTATCATTTTATATGTATTTAATTGTTTTGTGTTTTGCTTTTCATTACTTATTGCTAATTTTATGCCTTTTTATTTTCTTATCATCAAAAGTTAGTAAATAAATCATGAATGAACGTGTGTGAGAGCCCATAGTCGCTTCGATCATGGGCCGTAGTTATTCATTAAGTGAAGCCCAATGCCTTGGAATCACATCTTAGTTGGGTTTAGGGTTTACTTGGGGAGACACAGGGTATACTTGCGGAAGAAGATAGGAGAAACCCGACATCGATTCTGCTGGAAAAAAAGGTATATTCCCAAACTTTTTTGATGCAGTGTCAATAATAGGGCTTTTAGAAACCTTAGTTTGTATGAGAAAGAAAAAAACTGTTGAATATAATAATTGTGACTAGGGGTCTCATATTTTGGCTGCTAGGTATAGGGCTTGGATCGATGCGTCCCGTGAAAGCCAAAACGGTGAAATCTGGCTCTGTCGATGCAATCAGCTCTTTGCCAGATGAGGTTCTTGCTCAGATCTTGTCCTTTCTTCCCACGAAACGAGCTGTTTCCACATCTGTCCTCTCCAAAAGGTGGAGGAATCTGTTTCCATTGATGAATCATCTCTTTGCTTCTCAACATCATCTCTGTTTAGACGACTCTGATTTAGTGTATCCTGTAAAAAAGTATTGGAGGAGTGCAGGTGTGCACCAGAGCTTCAGGGATTTCGTGGAAAAAGCACTTTCCGGTCGCAGTTTCATAAAGAAACTGACGCTAAAATGTCAAGATGGTCGTATCAGTGTCTGTCTTACCGACAAATGGATACGCCTTGCCTTGGAACGAGGTCTCGTGGATCTTGATCTGCGTCTAACAACGGCTTTGAAATGGGAGGCAGTTTGGTTGCTTAAAAATACTGTCTTCAGAAACAAGACGCTGGTTAAGCTAACTCTAGGAATAGAGATTGGTGAAATAGTAATAGGGTTTCCAGGAAAAGAGCCTGTGTTTCTTCCAGCGCTAAAGAGCCTCACCATCTATGGAGTTTGGTTTAGATGCGAGTCATTGTACAATGGGATGCTTCCTGGTTGTCCTGTGCTTGAGGAGCTATCCTTGCAGTATTACTCATGCCGATTATTAGATGTTTCAGATGGGTTATTCATATCCCACCAAACTCTCAAGAGACTCACAGTTCACTACAATAACTGTTTCGGGGATCTTGGCTTCTCTCTAGAGACCAGATTCGACACACCGAGTCTTGTTTACCTTGACTTCTCTGGTCACGCTCCTGAGTATCATAGTTCAACTGCCAATTTCTTGGATTCCATTGTCGAAGCCAAACTAGATGTTGATTTGACAAAGAAGGGGAGAGCACTATCTGAATATACAGGATTCAGTATTTTGTCTAGAATCATTAACTGGATGACTAACGTTAAGATCCTTTCCCTGTCTTCTACTACTGTTAAGGTGTGTCTGCTTCTTCCTTGCCTTACTTACTATCATTTTCTGGTCTGATTATATTTATATATCTCCACTCCACCAAGTTTGTTTTTGTGTGTGTTTCAGGAAATTAAGACAGCGGGTACCTTGTTAACGGTATTACCTTCCTTTGTAAACCTTGTTAAGCTTTCTGTAGAGAGTGATGATACAAAAGAACGTTGGCAAGTGCTTCCGAGTCTGCTCAAATATTCTCCGAAACTTGAAACTTTGGTCCTCAAGGTGTGTTGTATTATCATCAACTTATATTCTCAATATATATATATAAGTAGATATATAATTAGTTAATTCACAATCCATCTCTGTCTTTGTGATATGCTTGCTCATCCAGGGACTCTACATTGGTCCAAGTGAAGTGAAGGTGTTGGAGATATATGGCTTTAGTAGAGGGAGTGGTGGAGAGTTCATACGATCCAAGTGCTTTTTCCGGAAAATGCAGATTTTTCAAGAGATGAAAGCGGAAATTGAGGCTGATGATAACAAGATACTGCAACTCGTCAGTCAGATTCTTGCTCTTCCCAATTAAACCTGATCCCTATACCCTTTATAGTTTCATAACTTGGTTTAGGATTTGATTCCTAATTAAACCTGATCGATATGCGTATCTGTTGCTTGCTGGTTATTCAAGGTTAGAATTTTTCTTAAGTCAAAATTTATGATGATGCGTTTTTAATTAGTCCCTGATGATTCAGCCCATTTTCGCTTATAGAAGTCGTAAGAAGTGTACGTAGAAGAAATAAATAAATAAATAAAAATACTCTGCTTTCGAGCTCGATGATGGAGAAATCATGCTCGGTTGGGATGATGATGCACATGGACTTTTTCCCATTGAAGTGATTAAATGAACAAAGCTTTTTTCTTTTTGGTATTTATGAATTGTAGAATGGGAGAGAGTAGGGTTCACGCTTCTTTCTTGGGGTCCAAGTTTTTTAAAGTTTCAAATATGCTTTTTATTTGATGGTGATCCTGATGTACCCAATCAATGGTTCTTCGATTTGCTTCTAGATACTTATGATCGACCAAAGCATTTCACCAAACACACCTTTTTATTTTTGATGTTTGAAGTTTGGCTTTCAGTGCTCTCTTAACCAGCTCTGTTTGAGGACAACAAGATGTTGTCACACGCTTATGAAACCTGCTAGAAGGTTAAAATCATCAGAACTTTTTACATACCATAAAACAAGTTTCTGTATTAAGCTGAAGATTAATATCAATGTTAAGCATGGAGATTGAGATGTGACACACCATCTTGTTGGCAAGTGCTCAGGTCTCTAACAACGGTGGTGAAGACAATTATCTTCAGAAACTTTCATCTTAGGATGGAAGTGGGACATGCTGTATTAATCGAGGAACACTAATCAGTCCTCTTCTAGTTTCCATGCCAACTAAAACAACGGAAGCTGAACGATCAAAAATATGAGAGAATTTAAGAAGAGCAGCCAAAAAGGGCATCAGTAGCAAGACAAATAGCATAATGGTAATCTCCGCTCCTCAAAATGTTAGGAACTTGCAATTTGTTACTGCAACAATGCGTTTAGATTAACAACCCAAGTGACCTTAAGATCTCACTTCGCAATGAATGTCCAAGTTGCAGCGAAATTATATTGGTTAACAGATGGAGGCATACCATAATTTGTCATGCAATTTAGGGATCCATGTATGATGCATCACCAAAAAGTTATATTTTCTTAGCGTAACTTAGAGGAAAGTTGAAAGCAACTAAGAAATCATTTGGAATTATAAAAAGAGTAGTTGTGATCATTTTCACTGCAAACAAAAAAGTTAATCATATATATGAATATCATGTTTTTATATATAAAATGTAGGATCCCCAAATAATTTTTTTTCATTTACTATAGTTATGTGGAACACAATAACCCATAAATGCATATATGTTAACATGTGCATGTTTAGTGGAAAAAAAAAATTCACAATTTAGTCTTTCCATTTCAATTAAAAAGTTGAAGGTCTCTGAAACAACAACAAAAATGGTTAATTATTTGACATTGTCAAACAGACTATAAAAATAGATTAGAATGATGAGGTTGCATAAAAGGTGGTTAGAAGAAAATGTTGAAATTCCCTCGGAGATCTGGAATTCCGCTCTTTTTTATTTTGCGAGAGTGGTGGAATAATGACATTGGTGACGTTGGTGGCAGTATACCATATTATGCGCTTTTTTTTTATTTTAGACAGTAAGACTTTGTCCATTACTCAAATATCTCCAGATAATATTTAATCTATGGAATACTGACATTGGTGACGTTGGTGACGTTGATGGCAGTATATCATATTATGCGCTTTTTTTTATTTTAAACAGTAAAACTATTTCCATTACTCAAATATCTCCAAAGAATATTTAATCTATATTTATTATTATAATTTATTAAAACAATTAAATTAAAATATAAAAGTAACATAACAACTTAAACAATGACAACCGTAATAAATGGTTAACAACCGTATCCATAAACTCTCGTTTAAGAGGCGTTTGGACCCGCACACTTGCGCGAGTTTTTTTTCATAAAATATTTTTAGGCTACATCAAAAATTGGTTTATATTAAACTTTTGTTCAAAAAAGTAGTTTATATTATTAAATCTAAAATTGTGGCCCAAATAGAATTTTATTAGATTATATAAACTATTTTTACATTATAGTTTTATGTTCTTAAAATTATTTAGATTTGATTTTATAAAATAAAAATATTTTGATTAGCAGATTTTCTGCTAAGTTTTGTAACAAATATTTTAAAATATTATGTTTTCTAATGCAAGAGAGATTTTTTTGTTTGTAATTAAGATTTTAATATTTTCATAAAATTATGTTGTGGTACCAAAACCGGGAATTCCCGTAGAAACTGTAAAAATAGCATTTTCCATCAAATCGTATTTTCTTGCCAAAATTGCAAACCCATATTTTTTAGCAAAACCAAAAATTATGTTTTTTCCCAACACCATAAAACTGTATTCTATAGCCAAATTTCAAAAAATACATGTTTTTTCTCAAATCTGCAAAATTGTGTTTCTCGTTATTTTCAATAAAATTCATAAAACCATATTTTCCATCAAAACCTATAAAACCCGCCAAAACATGTTGTTGTACAAAAACCGATAATTCCCGTAGAAACGGGGAATTCCCATACCAAATATTTTTATAAACCACGTTGTTGTACCAGAACCGGAAATTCCCGTAGAAACTGTAAAAATAGCATTTTCCATCAAATCGTATTTTCTTGCCAAAACTGCAAGTCCACATTTTTTAACAAACCCAAAAATTATGTTTTTTCCCAACACCATAAAACCATATTCTATGGCCAAATTTCAAAAATTACATGTTTTTGTCAAACCTGCAAAATTGTGTTTCTCGTTATTTTTAATAAAATTTATAAAACCATATTTTTCCATCAAAACCTATAAAACCCACCAAAACATGTTTTCCACCAAATCCCAAAACCCGTGTTTTTCCGTAGGTGTTTTTCCGTAAAATTGTAAAATCCATAAAATCGTGTGTTACGACTAAATTTATAAACTCATGTGTTTCTGCCAAACCTGCAAAATCAAGTTTTCAAACTCACAAACCCGCATTTTCCTGTATTACTACATTTTTCTCGCTAAAACCTGTAAAATCCATAAAACCCGCAAAATTGCGTTATTCGCATTTCGCAAACCCGTGTTTTCCCGTACATTCCGAAAAATTTACAAAATCGTGATTTATGACCAAATTTCAAAAATAATGTGTTTCTGCTAAATCTACAAAAACACATTTGTTGTCAAACCGGCATTTTCTCGGAAAACTATATTTTCCGCTAAAATTTATAAAACTCGCTAAAACTTGTAAAATCCGTAAAATCTACAAAATTGTGTTGGTCAAATCCACAAAAACTCATTAACAACCCATAAAAACTAAATTATTTACATAATATTTTTCTCATAGGTAAACAAAAAATAATGATTACATATTCATCATTGACTATAAATTGTCATATTTAGTAAATATCATAATAGTTTTTAGACATTTTAAAGTAGTGCTTTTATTTTAATATTATAGAGAAGAAATTGATTATAATATAATCTACATTTAATTTGTAGTATAATATATATAATTATATTAGTTATTCATGATATATATATGTGGTAGTTATGTTAAGATATTATGAAAGATTTTATAATAATTTCGAAATTAAATTAATTTAAATTTTATTAGGATCAGATATAATTTATTGGTATTATCTGTTAACAAACTAATATAATTTAATTTAATTTAATGTATTTGTTATCAGTTTAATGATAGGACTAAATTACCTTTAATTAATTAATGAAAATATCTAGCAAATGTAATGACATATTTAGTAAATAACATGGTAACTTTTGGATATTTCAAAGTAATGATTCTCTTTTAATAGTATAGATGTATGTTTCTCTCCTTTTTTTCTATTTTATTTTATTATTTTAATTCTAACATACCTGGTTTAGAAAAACCGATGGAGGTGCTTTGATATGCCGCATAATTACAGTCAGGATAATGTCAGATAAACAGAAATTGATCGTCTTGGTTGTGGATTTACCATTTTTAAACCTGTTATAAAGACATTCTAGAGAAAATTCTTTGAATCAAAAGTTTATTAATCAATCACAAGAATATTTTTTTGATTGGGGATATAATTCTATCTGAACATGTTGATTGGCCATTGGAGATGTGGTCAAGATCTTCTTTATTTTAGGTAGAGAATTCCTCGAGTGTACTTCGTTGACACACTCAAACTTAATGATTATATAATACAACTCTAATATAAGTAACAATGCCACGTTGCTGAAGAATAATTAGGGAATAATGTAGAACTGTCTCAAAGTCTAGTGCCCTTGGAAAAACATAAAACAGATTGAAAAAAAAATCCTCATACCAGCCTCTGTTTTTCGGAGCTTGCTTTTGGTTTGCACTCGTACTCCAAAACTTCGACCAGATTTTCGAAGTAGGTTTTGGTTACTTTAGTCAAACCAATTAGTTTCCTGCGGAAATCATTGAAACTTTTAGATGGATCTTCAGCTTCGTTGACAAACGATTTCAACTCTTGGTCTGCACAACGATGAAGCCTCTCCAAAGCAACTTCAGCCTCACCTTGCAAATGCTCGAAAAACTGTCGCTTGGTTCGTCCCTGCTCAGGAAGATGGTAGTATCCATATGCATATGTCCATTTCAAGACTCTCCTACACTCGACTATCTGCAATCGAAAGATTAATCACATGAGTCATCGATTCATTTTAAGAAACATGTTGTAATCAACTTAGAGTCTCATTGCTAACTCCAATATTCGTGAAATCATGTTTACTCTACATGTGTATCCACTAACCTGAAGCCATGCCTTTGTGTGCCAGTTTTGACACTTAGCTTCTTAAGCTGCACCGATCGCCATTTCTCCAAATCTTCCATGGCCATTAGCCTCCAAGAGTGGTTTCTTGCCCATCTTTCAACATAATGCATGTATCTATGGATCGGATCTCGCGCCCTTCCAGTCTCACCACAACCCTTATACTTGTGGCAGTCCTTGTGACCTTCAAGTGAACAATGACAAATCCAACAAAACTGATATTTACAAACTGAGCAGCTCGTATGGTTACGTCCGTGGTTCTTCACGTCCTGGTGGCAGTGAGGACAAGCCATTGTAATCCCCATATACATCCGACTCATGTGCATGAATTCCTTCTTCAGTATCCATTTTGACACCGTCTCACAATCCACAGGACGGTGAGCTTCTTCACCGCAATTCCCGCAAAAGCCACAAGAACACAAACAAGTAAAACCTTAAAAATATTTTTGAGATTTTATAGGAAGCAGACGAAACCTATATACCCTCTTCTCTAGCTTGTCGCTCGTAATTACGATTAACTCTAATTAAGAACTTTCTCTGCTTTGTCTTTTTTTTTTGGTTACCCCATCATCATCTCTCGGTTTATTATATAGAGGCTTTCGTATCCAAGTCGTATAAATATTTGACCAATGCGAAGTCTACACGTGTGAGCCTTTAAGCTTAATTTGACTTAAAATGTCTGAAGAAGGAAACTCATCATCCCGGACCAATAGCGTTCTCCACGTCAACAGCTAGCAATAGGAAGTAGATATTCTAAATGGGTCGGCCCAACTTAACAAGTACTTTGAAACAAACATAAAAATTGCAGCCCAGCCGCTTCGATCGTGGTCCAAAATGATTCACTAACTGAAGCCCAATATCTAAATTAGTGGATGGAGCATAAGTCCACAGTAAGCCCATCAGGCCCAATTGTATTCGTCGTTTAGAATCCTCCTTTTTGTAAACCCAAAAACTTTGGCACAATTCGTTTCAAATTCCAAGGTTTAGGTCGAAAAGGTACGTCACAGGGTTTACTTGGGGAAGAAGATAAGGAGAAACCCGACATCGATTCCGCTGCAAAGAAAGGTATTTTTCCAAAAATAGTGTAATGTGGAGTTAATGGTGGATTTGATCTTCTTCTGTGATCCTAAGGAGGAGGAGGTTAAGAAAAATGCTAGAGAGAGGAAAGATGTGTACCTATAGCTTGATCAACGATTTCGTGGGAAAATGGTGTAGAAGGAGGGACGATCTGCACCAGAGCTTCAGGGATTTCGTGGAAAAAACAATTTTCGGTTGAAAAAACAATGTTCTTGTGAGATTTTTACTTGGCTTTCCGGTTTTAAGATTTAGGAGAAACGGTCAATGTCATTTTTTTAATTCAGTTTTGGTTTTGTATTCACTCAATTATTATCTTTTAACAACTTTAACAAACAATAAATTTGGTTTATCCGAATTGAGCATTCATGAACTGGTCAACATTGACTTATTGCACATCCTCTACATGCATTCCATGATTCACATTATAGATTATTTAGTTGCGACTAATCATTGGACATCGACTAATCATTCCATGATTCAATCTGTCTAAGTCCCAAAATCCCAAGACTAACTACAACACAAAGTAGACTATACTTAGAATAATGATATTTTTCCAAGTAAGTTAGTTGGAGAAGACATCAACTGTATCTACAAATCTTGAATATTTCTCCCTCTAAATTGCATCGCATCTTCTTCTAAGTTTGAGGTCGACGAAGACTTTGGGAACTGAGTAAAGGAAGTAGCCTGAGTCTGAGGAACACACCAAGGCACGGCGAATTGCTGAGAACAGCTTTCCAATGGAGAAAAGATGGGAGAGTTTGGGATTAGTCCAGTGGGGTGATTAAGAAAACTTAGCATTTGTGGTGATGATGCGTTTTTAATCCCTGATAAATCGGTTCCTTGAACATTCATAGGCAAAAATTGATGTAGACAAGTTGTTGTTCTTGCTGCTGCTCCCATATGCATCCCTAGACCCATTGTAGCTGGTTGTATTAATCCATTTCCCATACTCATCATCTGTAAATGATCAAATATAACATGTTAGGAATCTACGTATTAAAATTGTATAAGAATTAAGAAATAAGTTTTGATTGTTTTATTAATGTTTACGTTTATAATTTGCTTAGTTTTATATAAATAAAGCTAGCTAGCTTATAGTAATTTAGTCAGTTTTAAAACGTAGATGTAAAAACTAACGGCAGATAAATGTATAAGAAAAACACTTTACAAAATAAATAAATAAAATAAAATTTACATGTAACTATGTAAACGCAAATTCGTGTTTGAAACAATTGACAGGTGTGAATCGTTTTATTAATTGACAAATATTTTTTTTTTTTTGAATTGATGCATTAATTTGGATACCTGAACTTGAAGTTGAAGGGTCCTCATATACTTGATAGCCTCATCCAACAATGATACCTTGTCATCCTATAAACGATTAAACATATTTAGAATTCTCCACAAAGAGAAGATCAAGTAACAATCTAATAATGTGGTTTTAAGTTGATCTCAAACCTTGTAACAGTTAGGTAGTAGATCCTGCAAAGCACGCATTTTCTTGTTGATCTCGTTTCTTCGCTTCTGTTTTACATATCATTTGCCATTATTCAGATTCCATTTTCATTCATACGTATATATATTTTATTTTCTTTCAATATTGCTAAGGTGAAATTTCATTAAAGTGTGCATATAAAGTCATAATTAACTCACTCTTTCAGATAACTTAAGGACTTCTGTGCTTCGTTTTCTCTTAGTCACTGTCTTTCTTTTTCTCGCAGGAACTCGTGTCTTCGCATCATCGGATTCATCATCTGAATTCTGCATAACAAGAACCATAAATTTTGATCCACCATGTGAAAGAATTAAAACAAGAATCTAATAAAAAGCTTCTGATTAATCTTACATTACTAAGAGAGGTTGATTCTTCTTCTTCCTCAATATCTCCATACTTCCTCCTTTTAAAAGAACAACAACCTAGATCTCTCCAAGTTTCTCGAGAAAACATCGATGAAGACGTAAAATACAATTCCGTGGATCTTCCAACAGCTGCAGAGTGCTCATCAGGAGCTGTGATAACTCCAACATCCTTTAGACCTTTCAAAGAGTCATCATTTAATGTTGATGACTCAAAACCTCTCTTGTTTTTTAAAACATCTTTTTCAAACCCAATCTTGGAGGAGTTTTTCTTCTTCTTATTATTATCATTCGTTTGTTCATAATTTTCTTCATCTTGTTGTGGCTGCCGAGACTCACTCACAGGAACAACTTGTGTCTCTCCAAGATTCTTTATGTTTTTCTTGAAACCCTCATCGTACTCGGTCTCGTACAAATCCAGGATAGATTGCGTACGCTGATTCTGAAAAGAACCGTTGTTGTTGGGTCTTCGACTCTTAGCCAAAATCATTCCATTTTCGCAAACCAGTTCCATATAATCTTGATCGTTTAATCTGCGAAAAAAAGAGTCACGTATTTACAAACATCACTCCACGTACGTACATATATAATCATATATAATATGTGTATAGAACTCGTAAGAAGTGTACGTAGAAGAAAGAAATAAATAAATAAAACTTACTTTGGTTTGAAGCTCGATGATGGAGAATTCATGTTTGGTTGGGATGATGATGCATAGGGACTTTTTCCCATTGAGGTGATTAAATGATCAAAGTTTTTTTTTTTCTTTTTGGTCTTTATGAATTGCAGAATGAGAGAGATTTAGATTCGCACATTTTGGTTTTCTTTCTTGGGGTTTATGAAGAGGGGCCTATATGTATATATATATGGATAATACTATATTATATATATAGTATCGTGGATTACTGTAACTTTCTATATAAATACACACATATCTATATATATATATATTATAATACTGTATTCATATGGAATACATGCACATATATTTTCATATATTTCAGTAGACAAAATTATAATAACAAAATCATATTGATCAAATCGTTTACTTAATAATTCATACTTTTTGTAAAGGCGGTGCTCCATTTACGTTCACATATATTTTCACATACTTTAGTTGACAAAATTATAATAATAAAATAAGATATTATTGTGATCTTCTGTAGAATATTCAAAATTTTAAAATATTAGTTTAGTTTAAAAACAGTAACAAATATAAATATAAGATTTCGATTTAATAATCCTCTACATTATTTTTCGTAACAAAAGTTGAATATCCTAAAAAATCAGCGTGCATCTAATGAAAAACCAAAATAATTATCCTCTACATTATTTGAAAAGTTTAATGTCCTTTTAATAAAAACTAAAAAGATCCATATAAAATCACGTTCATCCCAAATAACTAATGAAAAAGTTAGATACTCGGATCCTGATATAAGAAAACATCACAACACAATGAGTATCAAACAAATCAAACCCTAACTCAAAGCGCGGGCATGTCAATTCTACCAATCCATTTATCTAAATCGAATATGGCTAAAATGAAACTTGAAGGTTGTATAGACTCCAATCGTGAGTGTAATGAAGCAAGGTTTTATCGCTACACTGAATTTCCAAACAAATGGGTTTGGTATTAAAAATTAAGAAGTGGCTCCCTCGCAACAGAAAAAATAATATTCCCTACGATATTAGCCTTCCAGAAGTTTCAGAAGAATATGGTGAACTTTTCTACCTTAAAATGTTGCTAAATGTTCAGAGAAGACCAGTATGTTTAAAAAAATAATAGAACAGTAAACAAAATTTTATATTCAACCTTCGCTGAAACATGTCTTGCAATAGGGTTAATTGAAGCATTTGATGCTTAAGTGGAGATGGTCTTCCAATTATTTGTAGAGTCTACTTGATAAAATTATAAGTAGAAAAATCGCACATATAAGTAGATTGAGACCAACAATGACGGAATCCTTGAAGAAATAATGCTTTAAATTGAGAAAGATTATAGGAAGACAAAGAAAATGAAAAACGTTTGTTCAAAAAAAAAGACAGAGAAGATAAAATTTGCAGCTTGATCCACAAATTGGAAAAAGGTAACCAGCTATCCACGGGTTTGATCCATTTGACCTTCTAACATAACTGGTCAAGTTTTACAAAGTCTGATCATGGAAAAATAAGTTTTGTGTTTTCCAAATTTAATTATTATTTTTCAAGTCTGACTCAAAATATAAATGAACTTTTTGTTATAACAAAATGTTTAGTTAGAATTAGATCATATTTTACTACTTAATTTAAAGTCTTATAATTCAAAAACTCACTTTGAGTTTTATATATTACAAAAATAATAAAATATTTAAAACAGATTTAGATATTCTATTTAGATAATTATATTTTAAAAATTGTTGATGCCCGCACTTGGTATATAAAAGCCATAAGGGTAATTACATTTATTTGCGTTCCTCGTATCTATTACTAATAAAAGTTGATGCTAAATACCTCTAAAGGTGTCCACATAGGATTTAAAAATTCAATTCTATTGGTACACATCATCATTATTTTTAGTTAATTATATATATATATATATATTAAAATTAATTAATTCGTTTTAATTTTTATAAGGAAAATTACTAAATTTTAATTAATTTTGTTTTTGTTGTTATTAGGAAAGTTTTTAAATTTTAAGTTAGTTATTAATAAAAAAGAATTTTTTTAAAAAAATCGTATTTTTCTATTAACAATAAAAAGGTAAATTAACATATAAATAGATTATGAAAGAAAAATCATATATATTGAATAAAATTATTAAAAACGTTATTTAAGACCATAATTAAATTATTTTAAAATTTTAATTACGACAAACAATTAAAATCTGAACTGCTAACATAATATATATTAGTTGTGGTCCATGTTGATGTCTTATGCCAATGAGAGCGTCTACATATGACATATATACTCAGTCTGATTAGTCTATATCAGCATTTTTCATTAAACATAAAAAATAAAAAAAATATTATTAATATTTTATATAAATTAAAACATAAAAAGTAAAAATGATCACAATAGAATAGAAAATTATGATAATTTTTTTAACTAAATAAACTAAATTTATGTCAAAATTCTAAATCTATTGTGAAAATAAAATGGAAACTCATTGTCACAAAAATTAAACTAACAAAAACAAATATGTGAATCAATAACGAAAAAGTTAAATTAAAACAAAATTAGCATATATATTTTAATGAGTAATTTATTTAGAATAAAATAATAAGATTAAATTTTCATATAAACATATAAATTTTTTATTTAAAAATATTAATACAACCAAAAAAAATTCATCATAAATTATCAAAAATGAAAGTCATCTAAAACTTATAATTTTTGGGGAAATATTTTAAAAATTATCACAAAAATCTTAACAAAACAAAAATGATATTTTATGCCAATTACTGAAGAAAGCAATATAAAAAATGTTTAACTAACAAAAACCAAAACATAAATTATTTCTTACAACATGTCAACACAATTAAAATGAAAGTCTATATTGAGAAAGTTAAATTAACTAAAAAACTAAAACGAAAATTAAGTTTTACAAGATATTATTTTTCAAAAAATTACTGAAAAATATATTGACTTGATATCTGACTAACTACTTAAAAAATCATATCAAAATATTTAACTAACAAACAATTTATGTCTTCAAAATATCAATATTTTAAAAACAATGGTATGTTAAAATAAAATAAAAATCAATATCAAGAGAGTAAATTATCAAAGGAAAAAGTCGTATAAAGTAAAATTAGCTTGATATTTAGGCTAACTACCAAACAAATATTAACTAAAAAAAAGCAAATAATGGTATAAGCTTTTGAAAGAAGTTCACTTAAAATTTAGAATAATCAGTTATAGCATGTCAAAATAGCATTTTAATTAATTGAAAAAGTAAATTTAACAAAGAAAATGCATTTATGTAAAAGATATTAGATTACTATATATGCTACCTATTTGAAAAATCAATAACAAAAGAGATTAATTAAAAATATATATGTTTTAAGTATATCAAACCTGCAGAAAATTAGATAATTAAAATAAAATATAAAATTACCATTGAAGATATTTAAAATAATAAAAAACAAGATCTAAGAAGAAAATTAGTTTGAAATATAGTTCCAAAAACATTCATGATTTCTAAAATATCGGTGTTGACTATGAATAATCATATAAAGTTTTAATAGGTTATACAAGTTTCTAAATCAAACATATTATTTAAATTTATAAAGATTGATACCTTGGTTGCGTCTGATTGAAAAAATAACAAAGTAAAATACTACACAAGTAACTTTACATTCAAAATATAATAAGTAATAAAGTCTGATTTGTATACATATAAATTGCTTATAACTTAGTCAACATGAACAACACATGAGCAACATCCTCTAAAATATTATTTAAATAATATAATATGATAAAATTATGAATCAAATTCAAATGGGAATATATGAAGATAAAATATTCAAATCAAAACAAGAATAAACACACAAAAGATATAAAAAAAAACAATGATAATGTGAAGTCTCAACATCATCTTACATGTTTAAAAATAAATATTAGCAAATAGTTGACTGCAAATAAAACAGATCTTATATATTGAATAGAGATATAACCTAAAATTCGTAGAAGATCTGATGGAAAAGCAAAAAGCAGCTTTATACGATTAGTGTAGCTTACTAACAAAAGTAAATCTGAACCAACATATATTATATATTATATATGTATATGTACACAACATTAGTGCGAAATTCAGTAAAGAAATTAAATATTTAAACATATAAAAAAAAATTTAGTTAGGAAATCATTTTCTAAATCAAACATATGCACATCGAAGATAATTCGTTAGGTGTCATTACTATGATTTTACTTAATAAGATTTATAATTTTATAAACAAAAATAAGAAATAGTACATAATATGTTTTAATTTTTTATATAAGATAAAATTTCTACAAATATATTATAATTTTGATAATTAAAAATATATTAGCTAAAAAATTAAACAAAATTATTAATACAGTTTCGCGCGTAGCGCGAATTAAAAGCCTAGTAGTATATATATAAATATCGTAGTTGAGTTGTTTCATATATTAATGGAATAATAAGGAATGTAAGGAAAATTGGTATATAAAGGCCATAAGGGTAATTACACTTATTTGCGTTCCTCGTATAGTATGGGCGAAGACAAGAATGTATGGGCGATAGTGAAAGACTGAGAGAGAGACAACCTTGTGACTCTCTATGACCAACTTCTCTTCTCCACCGCCAGCTTTTTCTGTGCTTCAAAAAGAATACAGAAATTAAACAAATATAAAGTCAAATCTACGACGACCATTTGTTATTTTGTCCCATTTAAAATGATAGAATAATCACTCGACTTTTGAATATACAAATAATAGTATCAATGAATAAAAATAGTTATAACCATGGTCATTTCTTTAACCGTCTGATCAGTGTTTATTTTAGAGAAATATAGTTTACAGTAATTACACTCTCAGAAAAGTATTTAATTTATCTACGTTTGTTTCCTAGTAACTAAAAGCTTAAGAAAAGAAATTAAACTACTACACTTGTTGCTTTTTATATTGCAATTTTTTTTGTCGTTATGATACTCAATTCATGAAATATGTATAACGGTGGAGGTGGACCATGCAAATATATAACGGTGGACCATAAAGTCTCTCACGACGATGCTCCAACGATATACAATAATGCAATTACTTTCTTTTAATTTTTAAAAACAGAGTGATGTGTATGTTGTGACGGGCACACCAGAAAGAGGCCCCACGTCAGTGGAAATAACCTTCACGCCACAGAGATATGGATGGGCCCATCTTTAAAATGGGACTCAGAAATTGGCTTTTTGGCCACCTTCACGTGCACTTCACGTGATGCCGCGTGATTCATCAACTCCTTTGTGTTATTTTGTCTCCCCCTCTCTACCTACTACTACTACTTTGTCGTTTTGTGCGAGAAAGAAAAACTTGTCGTTTTGCTTTTCGACACGACGACGTATATATCATTCTACATTCTTTTACCGATTCTAAATAACAATAATTTGGAGGAAGAAAATGAAAAATCTTTTTGTGTTATTTCCAAAGGAAATGATCTTCACCTAAGTGTTATCTTTGACGAATTACACACATCCAATAATTTTCACTCGTTAAGGTCTCGTTTGAGCCAACTGTTCAGTTTGGTTGACTTTCATACCAATATATATTAATATGAAATACATGTAACAAAGAGAATTTAGAAAGTACGCATAAATATCCAATTGTATTTCCTTTTTAATTTTGGTTTTGTTTCAGTTTAGAGATTATATCTTAGTCAAACGAAAACTTTTTAGTTGCTGACAAAACAAAAGCATTACTATAATAAAAGGCTCTTGGGCTATAATATTGTGGGCTCACTAAATTGTTCTTCTATCCGAATGAGGCAAAAGCATCTAACATCATCTTTATTCATGTGAACCCATGAGACCGCTTGACACAGAATGTAGTTGAGAGGATTATTCTTGTTTTGTGTGTAAAATTTACTAAAGAGGAATGTCAAATCAAGGTCCTCTAGTTAAAGTAAAGTTTGATGTTTCGGAAGTGTTTTTTTTTTAAGTGGATAAAATGACTTACGTGTGATTGATTCTGCGAGACTTGAGCTCAATTTAACACATATCATCCTTCAGACATTCTGCCACAATCATCTTCAGCTGCCGCATCTTGCCTCTTGCAGACTGTGTGACCAAAGACAACGATTTAAGATATGCTTTGAAATGATTATTTAATGTTAGATTTGATTCTTTAAAGGGAAGAACAAGTCTTGCCTCGTTGACAGAATTGATTCTTTTAGCCGCATTGTCAAGCTTTGTCTCGATGCCTCCTTCAAAATGCGCGATGAGTTTCTGGTGTGATATTCCTGTCAACAAGAGATATAACCTCAAGTGAGTTTAGGCGAGACTTGTCCTACACGAGTATTCACAAAACTCTGTTTGCCAAAACGAATCTGACTTTGATCTAATAGTGTTCATACACGGATCATGTTTCCTGTAATGTTAGTATTCGTTGTAGTGAAAAGCAAGAAAGAATACAAAAGTAAAACTTACTTTGCTTCTTTATGGCTCCTTTCAACTCCGCATGGTTTGCTTCAAGCCCTTCAATAGTACTCTTGAAATCTTCAAGATGTTGCCCAACATCATCCTTGTACTTTTCATGGATCATTCTCATTTTCTCTTGTTGCTCTGTAATACAAATCATATTATCAGCATATATCTTGCATATTCCTATCAAAGACGCAAGATTGCTTACTACAGTGGAACAAATTGCAATGATCAATACCTTGTAATCTTGTTTCAGCATGCTTTCTCTTAGCTTTGGCTAGGTTACTCGTCATTCCCCTGTGCCGTAATTTAAAAAAGTATCAATGATCATTTGATTGAATACCAAAAAGGAGCAATGCAGAAACAATTGAAGAAACATACGCTTCGGTGACGATGTGAGACTTGACATTCTCCAACTCTTGATGTATCTCCTCGGAGACTGATGCTATAATCTCCGAGGACTTCTTTTTAGCTGCTGATTTCAGCTTTTTCTCAAAGTTTTGAAGAGCCACAGCAAACAACGAAATAGCCCTGAAACATGGTAAGTAATCAAATCAAGACAGGAAAGAGGATATAAGGTATAAACGTAATATTGGTTATATCTACAAGAGACCCACCTTCCCAAGCCTTCATCGTCATCCATCTCTGAAAACTGCTGGAAGGAATCTGTTTTATGGATCCCTGCTCAGTTTCCAGGACAAAACACATGAGGTGTCGTATAAACACATGATTCAACAATTCAATAGACTTTGAAATGATCATTATACCTTTGGACAAAGATGAGGTAGGACTCAACACGACACGTCCTTTGCCCTTGCGGTTAGAGTTTCGTTTAGCTGAGCTAAAGCCTGGCTTAGGTTTCTGATTACTCCAATTAGCAGTTTCTTTTTCTTCGGAACCTGAATCAGAAGATCAATAAAATAAGTAAAGCATGGATTCTGTTAAGAAGAAACTAAGTTCCTCCAGTTTGTATATGGTTTAGGAAAAATAATAAGATAAGAAGCATACTGTTGTAATGGCCCAGCGCTGGGGAATCCTCTCTTGATCCACCTGAATCTTTCTCATCAGACGACGGATCTGACAGAACTAAATCTTCATCTGGCTCCGGAGAACTGTCTCCTCCGAAACAATAGTCTCCTTTCTTCTCCAAGAAGTCCTGAAAATAAATAAGGAAACACAGGAAGAATATGTAAATCATAGATGCATAATTTTGAAGTGAAAATAAAGCAGCTTGAGTATATGAAGGTTACAGGCAAACTCTTCTCGGTATCTGAAACTTGGCCTTTTGTCCCTTGAGAGGTTTTCTTAGTACCGAAGCTAAATATTGGTGTGTCAGTCTCCTCAAAAGCGGGACTAATTTTCCTAGGATGCAAAGGGGATGCTTCAGGAGACGAACATGGGGAAGGACTTGAAATCGGTGCTTTATATCCAAATGTTGGACTCTGGAATTCGTTTTCTGGCTCAACAGACTTTTCCCTGACAACTTTACTAGGCCTCTCCTGTTCATCCCCGTTTTTAGATAATCCATGAAACATCTCTGGCGTAGCTCCTGTTTCAGCCTCTGGCGATGGATGAAAATCTTCTTCCCTTGAGCCATTATCTGGTTTCTGTTTCCGGGCTTTGCTCTGTTGATTAAACTCAATGGAAGCTTCCTTTTTGTCTGATAATGAAGACCTTTTGCCAGATCTCGTGCTATCAGAACGTGGTGGAGTTATACTCTTGCCCATCACCTTCCGAATTCCATCAGCTTCATCCTTTTCACAAGACTGAACCTTACGGCATTTAACAGCAGTGTTTTTTCTCCTACCCCTTTGTTTCTTCGGCTTAACACTGGTATTCGTAGCAGTGCCAGTTTTCCCGTGCAAACCTTCTTCAAAAGAGAATATATTATTTACTTGTTCTGCGCTTTTGCCACCTAAGTTGGCACCAGCTTTAGTTCTCTTCTGAACACCTTTAGCTCCTACCCTCCTCTGCAACAAAGATCTAGTTACCGGCCTTCTGGTTGCATTCTCAGGGCTTTCAGAATCAGTTTCAATAGAGTCTGAATTGTGCCTAGGCTTGATAAGAGGATCATTATTTGAACCCTTGTCTTGACTCAACTTGAAATTGGTCTTAACCACTTCTGGGGTCTCAGAGTTCACGTCTTCATTATACGCTGGCGAAGCTTTCCCCAATATTTCCCACAGTTTCGATCTCAAAACATCAGTACCTCCATTTTGATCCTTCTCCGGTTTATCCAGCTCCTCTCTCTGTGACGCAACCATTTGCTGCGAGACTGCAGATGGAGGTTCTTCCCTCCTCTCTGGACTCCTATCAATCTCTTTATGGTTCCTGCCACCGTTCAGCTCATCATCACTGTGCTGAGGACTAGAGATGGGAAAGTCACGAGTTGGTGCCTGATGAGCTCCATTAACCCCCTTGTCTAATCCTTTGCTACCAGACAAGCTAGGCATTTGCTTACAAAGAACACTCTCCAGAGTCCCCAATTTCCGATAAGAAGATCTCGGAAACTTCCATGGTGATGTCGCATGTTCTGTGCCCTTAGCTGAACTCCTCTGCTTGGCAGCTAAATCACTTTTAACTTTCTTGTTCGCCTGTAAATCAGTGACTGTGGCTGATTTCAACTTTTCGACTCTAGCAATAACATCTCCATCACCCTTATCTGGCCCAGGGTTTCTCTTTGGCTGTGAATCGGCCATAACACCTATGGAAATCTTTCTAGATTGACTTGATGGGTGATAGTTACTGCCGAAGCTTCTGTACTCGCTCATCTTTTCCTGAAATAAGAAACCAGATGGTTAAACCACTCTTCATGGAAAAGAATGCAAAATAAAATCGCACATCAAGTCACTGATTGTTCTAGCACAATAATATTCTAGGTTTGAGAGTAGATTTCACGCCGATAGCAACACAAGTTTGCTACAGATTGCTAAAGGACTACAACGCAGGCTATACTGAGTTTATAATGGATGAGAATCAATTAGAATGACAAATTTACAACCCAGAGAAACAACACTCATATCAGAACAAGATGACACCCTTTCCGGATTTTTTACAAGAAGAATTAAGATCTACAATCGAAATACCCAGCAAAAGACGGTGTTAGATCTAGAAAGTATGATGAAGACAAGAGGAGGAGAAGCAGACTATAGATGCAAAACTCAAAACGATGAGTAACGTTGTGTATTCAAACTGAAGATAGCAAATCTACAGAGATTTTAGCAGAGATTCATTCGAGATTAGAAAACCTTAACCACAGCGACCTCAGATCTCTAGCAAAAAAAACAAAAAACAAAATCCATACCAACGCTTTCCAATTTTTGCAGGACAACAACTATATCGCAGTCACTAAAGAGGTCTCGGATTTGGAAATCGAGACGATATCTCAATTTAAACGAATGGGAATAGATCGCTGCGAATTTCTACAGAATCGGATAGTATGAGACCATGAATCGGAAATAAAATCAGAGAAAGCCGAGCGAAGGCATCAATAACGAAGAATAACTTACTCGGAGCTCGCGGGTTAAAGTTGGAGAGCCCTGACTCTAGGATAAGAAGATTACCGGAAAATCGACTGCGATATATGATCGGAGAAAACTGAGAAATGAGCAAGGAGAGAGTGAGAGAGGCGAGGGAAACTGAAAATTTTGATTTCGCGAAACCCGCTGAATTGCATATATGCGACGCAGCTAAGTGACGCTTATAGATATTTTATGGGTTTTTAAGAGAAAAGCCCATCAACTAAAGATGAATTGAGAAAAAAACTCTCAACTATAAATTTAACATAAAAACCCTTTAACAATAAATCCGTTAATTGAAAAATCCCTCCGTTTATAATATTATTACATTTTTAAATGCCAATGCTAAATTTTTAGATTGTAAAAATAAATTAATAAAAAAACCTTCAACTTCAGATGTATTAAAAATAAATCTCTCAATTATAAATTTAATATGAAACCCCTTCTTCTGTCTACAATAACATTTAAACATAAAGAGTCAACATTAACTTACATATATACTATTTGAATTAAAAAAAATTGAAATGGATAATTTTTAAATAATGTAATAATAAAAGTCTTTGTAGTATATAAAGGTGATTGTAGAAGACATATAAATCAATTGTTTGGTATAATTTTATCTAGAGTTTTGAAAACTAAAATAATTTTTCAAGTTGTAAAGGAATTTGAGATTTATTTATTTTCCAGTTAACTTTCAAGCCACCTAATCTTGCTATCTATCTTTACCAAAAAAAAATCTTGCTATCTGAAATTAGAGTTTGACAAGTTTAGGATTTATCTATTTGGAGATTTCAAAATTTTTGTTCTAAAAGTTATGACACATTTTAAAATCACATATATCATTTTTACAATCTAAAATACATATATTTGATTTATCCATCTAGATATTAATAATGTAATTATAGATGGAGGGGGTTAGGGGTTTTTATATTAACTTTTATAATTTAAGGGTTTAATTCCAATCAATATCTATTGGAGGGATTTTTTATTCAAATCTTCTGAGATTTCACAAATTAGATGTCGTATAAAAAAAATCTAAAACATATAGCTTTGATCGTATATAACTGTGAAGAAGATTTTGTGAGTAGCATGCATAACGTACTAGATCGTTAATTTTTCAATTTTAAAACATTCTATCATCTGATAAATAGTTGCTTGATTTTGTCTAACATCTATAATATACATAGTTATATACTCTTAAATCTATATAATAATATATATTAAGGATACATATGTTTAAAAAATGTATTGATATATAGTTATGAAACACTACGGCTTTAATTGATGATAAAAATGAAGAAAAATATTGAATTACTTTTTATTTCTTGATGTTTTATTAGTAATATTTATTTTATATCATTTCTTTCTGTTTTCTATTATTTTTTAAAAATATATATAAAAAAGATATTTCTTATCAAATTTAGATAGAAACAATATGTATTTTATTTTTATTTATTCTTTTTATTTTATTTCTTTTATTCTTTTCTTTTTCATTTTAATTTCTTTTCTATTTGTCATCAGTTAAAACCTACATACACCAAACTAGGGGTTCAAAAACCATTATTTTTAGTAAACATTATATACAACATAACTTAGAATTATTCTACGCATGTTAAGAGAACATGTTAGTCGAAAAGCAAAACTCTCTATCCAGTTTTTCTTACAACCATCAAGATGAAAGTTATTGGCACAAATGATAAATTAGTTAAGTATTCTCAAGATGAAAGTTATTGGGCTAATACACAAACAATCAAATTTAAGTGTCATAATGTGGAAAACGAGATTACGTCATATAGGTTCCACAAAGGCAAAATGTCACAGTACCCACTGTTTTTGCTTAGTAAGATACAAAAAATCATCTAAAGTTTTGGTAAATCTATACAATTCATGAATTGCGTGCGTAATCTAAACATTTCAAAGATTTTGATGAATACTATTATACAGTATCTATAAAAAGACACGCACGTAACATCTCGACTCAATTACCCGCACGCACGCATGCATGTATATCTTTACTTTATAGAGCTTCATTTATAGTATTTTATAAACGTATTAAGAGCTTCAGCATAAACAAATACGACTATTTTTCTTTCAAACTATAGATTTAAAATTTTTGCTCGTAAAATTGTTTTTCGACAATAAAAATAAAAGTAATTAAGTACTGCATCAAGTTTTTTGGTAAATTAAAAAAAAAAATATTGGTAAATGTGCTTTTTATAACTATATTGTATTCGATGGATATTTCATCTCCAATGTTAAATTAACATTCATATGTACGTTAGGTGGATATCATCTCCAATGTTATAGTTTTTGGTTTTTGTTTTCATCAACTAAGAGATAGTTTCGTTTAGAGACCAATATATATTCCGAACTTGAATTAAAAAAAAGCATTAATTTAAAAGAAAACAAATCATAAAGCCTTTTAGCAATTCATAAAGATAATCATACAAACAAATTCTAAATCAGATTGTTAAAATTTTATCTGGTTAATCATGTATGCAAAACACATCATTCAACAACATGTGAGACATTATCAATCAGTTTTTTAATAGCAAACCCATAATTTCTTATAACTACAATTACATTTTCCTTAAAACAATGGTTGTCTGCAATTAAACAGATTAAATCGTTCAATATTTTAAAAGTAGTAAAAGTGTTTGACTAAAACAAAATCTAACTTTGATACACATGTTAACATGTATTATTAGTGAGTTATATTATATACAAGTACAAGTGTACAACTTAATTAAAAACTAAGAGGGGAGCAACATTTCAAACTTGTTTTTTTTAGATAAAATAAAAAAAACATTTTCAAACGTGTATATTGTAACGAATACATGTAGATATATATATATATATATATACATATATATAAAAATTAAAATAAAACAATCCGATTATTTCAGTAATCTTAAAGCAAAGGGGAAAACAAGAGGCTATGATTAGTCCAACAAGAGGGGCTAGAAAATAAATAGCCACGAGACATGCAAAAGCAATCACGCATATCTTAAAAAGCAAGCCCCAGTTTTGACTGACAAGCAACCACGACGCAGTAAAGTTGAGTTCTCAAAATTAGAGCGAAAAATAAAGAAAGTATATGAAAAAAGTACTTGAACCCCTACGTATGTTTGTATGTTTCCAATAAAAATGCGATTCTATATTGTATACTAGGTTCCGTACAAAATATATGGATTTCTTTTAATTATGCTAGAAACATACCATACGCCTACGAGAGGGGGTTTTCAGTTTTCTCGCTGTAAAGAAAATAACGAAAAAACGGAGGGGACACAGAGGAGGCGGAAGCAGTAAGGAAAATATAAAGTGAGGAAATTGTAATTTGTACTGTTGTTAGGGAACATCTCTCCTTTATCTTGATTTCTTTTGTACTATATAAAGTGAGGAATTTGTAATTTGTACTATCGTAATTTATAAACGGAGGGAACCCGAAAATACCTACTCCAAACCCTTCATTATTCAATTTTTTTTTATATAAGTGAGAGATTCTGAGCAAAAGTTCAGACTATGTATAATTTTATTTTATTGTATAACTAATTACCTCAACATTGACCAACCAAAACTGAAATTATAGTTTTATTTTTTTTAACTCAATCAAACTACACCATACTTGCATGTGGTTTTTTCTTCCGTGTTTAATAACGGCATAATTTATTACATTGAATTTCACTCTTGAAAAATTAGTTTTACCATATGGCATGCACCCATTTATACAGTGTACATGCTGTGTTTGAGGGAGTCCACGTGGAAATAACAAGTGCCACGTGTGGAATGACAAGAAATGTAGTCGTTGGTCGTTGTGTCGTGTGTGTGTGTGTTTCCTTTTTCTCGTGCTTGCAAATATGAGAATTGTGACGTCTCCTTAAGCTCCATAGACAAAGGAACTCTCATTAGGTCCTCTCTTTAAGGTGAACCATTCATTACTCATGCCCCCTCCCTTCCTTCGCCTTTTCTTTTAATCTAACTTTTAAAATTTCTAGCAAAAAAAAAAACTTTTTAATTTTTCTCTATTTATTTGTTTACGATATTATTACGTATAACAATCGATATCTCTTCTCGATGATATATTACGTATGGTTTACATCATTAATAATGAGCGTGTTTTTTGACTGGCTTCACGATCTAGAACGGTCCGTTTAGATCGATTAGGTTTAATAGAACCTTCCTACGAAAACTTATCGCTCCGCCCCCGTCTGCTTGCATCGCGGACAAATCTATATATAGTCAATCGTCATATACCAAAAATATGTTCGATGGATATGATTTAGATTAGTAGTTTTTTTATTGTCAGATTTGGATCAGTTTAAATCTTGATTTGTTTCAAAATCTACGAAAATCACATCAAACTTACCCCACTAAAACAGTGCCAACTCGGTCCGCAGGTTTCTGGACTACCACGACATTTATTTTAATTCGATATATTTTAACTGTTAGAATACTCTGAAGTTTAAACACATTGTTCAACATCCTGAAGCTTATATAATATTTATTGGATTCTGATTATTGTAATTATTGAAATAAATCGCATCGTTTTATGTTAAATGACACATGTACTCGAATAGTTGGCTCAAGAGTGTCATGCTTGCAAATCATGATTTTCGTTATTTTCGTCATCTATATATAAAAAAAATTAACTTACGAGGGAAGTGTTAAACCGATGTTTAAGCAAAGCTTTCACCTTAAGAGTTAAGACTTTATAAAAATAATTGTTTGGTTCAAGTGTTAACTTAAGTATATAAAAAAAAAAGTATATCGAATTCGAAGTTATATATACATAAAAAGGTAAAAAGCACTTAATTAGTTTTGGAAGTGGGGGTAGCAAGTAGCTCCACAAATGCCTCAATGCGCGTCACGATAATTCCTCATGCACTGAACAGTGAACATGATTTAACTTAGGACGATGTAATTTCCCAACATTCAATTTTAAACCCTAAAACACCCAATTATACATATTTTTCTTAATTATGTTGGAACTTTGTTTCCAGGTAAGTTCAAAAAACTTTGTTTCCAGGTATTTGATATAATTTCTATTACGTGTACTTATAAAATAAAGATGTTCATATCGTCTTTGGGTATATGTCCATCTAATTTATCTATGTTCATATCACTAGACTATCTAAAATGAGCCAAACAGTGAAACAAGTTACATTATGTCGTAACTCGTTTATTTAACGTAGATATCAAATGAATATGATTAATTATTGCATTTGTCAAGCTGAATTTTACCCTAAAATACCATAGTCTGTCTAATTCACTTAAAAAATAAATAAAGAAGATTAATCAATAAGTAAAAAGTAGATATATTAACAGTCGCAACTCATTTTTATACTAAATTACTATATACAGCCTAATTTCTCGATTCAATAGAAGTCTAACTAAAGAGATCTCACGACGTTATGAACCTGTACAAACTATAAATTTTTTTGTTAGGTTGAAATCTTTAAAAGAGATCTGTAAATTCATATGGATAGTTAATAACGTATACTACTTGCTACATAAGCGATAAGTACATAATTATATACTTTTTTATGCAAGAATGATATATACAGTTACGAACATTCTTGTTGGTCATTTTAGTTTTGTGTACATACTTATTAGAGTCAATAACAATATAACAACTTAATTTTTAAATCGGAAACTGTTCGCTTGATACAATGAATTTGTTACTTATTTGAACTCATAGTTTTTGTTTCAACTAATTCGTTCGTCAATAGTTTACTAATTCTTAGAGAGAATTACTTATATCTAGTTTTAGAGAGAAACCCGAACCCACAAAATCATAACCAACACTTAAACCAAATCACCATTTGACACGTGTTTTTGTCTGCTACACTAACAACATCCTTAGCGGATGCTGTCTCATCATTCCACCGTCGCTTTTGTACTTGTGACTGTGTATGATTTTTAAAACAATATACGAAAACCATACCAAACTATAATAAAATATTAATATTCCTAGTATTGATATTCTATTTAAACAAACACGTACAAACCAAGCATGGCGGCTCATTACTCATTTGTGTCAAATCTAAATAAGAGAAAAAAAAAAAAAGATAGATAGAGAAGATATGAGAAGAGGGAGAAGTTCGTCTTCTTCTTCAATAGATAGTAGCAGCAAGAGCAACCCATTCGGTGGCTCGTCAAGTACTCGAAACCTAAGCACGGACCTGAGGCTGGGACTCAGCTTCGGGACGTCCTTAAGCACGCAATATTTCAACGGTGGTTACGAGTATTCCTTTAATGCTGCTCCAGCGCCGGCAGAGGAAGCGGAGTATGCGGTAGCAGTGGCGGACGAGGAGGAAGAAGTGAACGAGTGTAACAGCGTAGGGAGCTTCTACGTGAAGGTGAACATGGAGGGAGTTCCTATTGGAAGAAAGATCGATCTAATGTCTCTTAGTGGCTACCATGACTTGATCAGAACCCTGGATTTCATGTTCGACGCATCTATTCTCTGTAAGTACATATAGACATAGACTATAGGTTTCAACTGGTAAGTCGGATTTAGAGATTTCCACTGATAATAAGAGAAAACAAATTGTGCCATATCAGATCAGTTTATTATAGCAAATTTCTAACAATTTTTATTTGTGTGTTTGCTGTCAGAAAATAAAAGAGTTAGCAATTTAACAAAAAGATAACTCAAAATTATATATTAACCACAACTCATCATACCTCAAATTTAAAATAAAAAAATCTTGTTTGACACTTGATTAATAATTTTTTTGACTTATTCTTTTAACTCAAACTAAATCAATGGTAACTAAAAATATTACCAATCAATTTAATTTCTTATAAGTCATTTTGAAACAAAAATTTCTGTCAGAAAATAAAAATCTATGACAGCAATAAAACACTTCTGCCCATTGCTACTTATTCGTTGATAGCGAACGCCCATTACTATTTCATACAATTTGTTTGTTTGTGTAGTGTGCAACGTATAATGAATAAATCGTAGATATAAACGAAAACTATTGACAATGACAAAAATAAATGGAAACAGGGGCTGAAGAAGAAGAGATGTGCAGCGAGAAGAGTCATGTGCTAACGTACGCGGACAAGGAAGGTGACTGGATGATGGTTGGGGATGTTCCTTGGGAGTAAGCACCGGCCTTAATTATTCCTTTTTTATTTTACTTTCTTATAAAGTTTTTATAATTTCCTTTATTAGATTATTCTGTTGAAATTAAATATTTGTTTTTGGGGTTTTGTTTTGTAGGATGTTTTTGTCTACTGTGACAAGACTGAAGATTTCAAGAGCTTACCACTACTGAGGGAGTAACTATTAGTCTGTCTACGTGTGTTTAGTTGAAAGTTATGCCAAGAAAAATAGTTTTTTGTATTACGTAAATCACCCGTCGTATATGTATTAAATTATTTCGTTTCTCTTTCTTTTATGATCATAGCACATACAAAATTCTGAACTAAAAGAACAATTATTGGATTTGGAGAAACAAATTAAATCTTGGTTCGAGTTTGTTTCAGTGAATCTAACCAAATATTGGATGAATCAGACCGTTGGTTACCTGATCTCAATTTGTTGGGAACTAAATGGACTTTCTCAATTTCTGAAGCCCAATTTGATTCCATCCATATAATGCAATACAAAGTTTTTGTTTGCCAGCTTTAAAGCCCATATATGTAGGAATATAGACTATAGTCTATAGAGCATGGTTCTTTTCCTTTCTTGGCAAACATAAAAACTTCAAGTTTATTACAAAAAAAAATTGTAGTCAGCTTCAAATTTGTAGTCGTGAAAAACCAACTGACAAAATATTTCACCGCAGTGAAAATGTGATATTAGGGTATTCTTGTTTTGACCATCCAATCTCAAATTGTATAATAATATGTACATTGTCGTTGTGATTTGTTTCTTTTCTTTTTAACACCAATAACCAAAAAGTTGACAAACAATATATAATATAATGGGAAATAATTAACCAAAAATAAAAATAAAGGAATATAAAGATACAAAATTTCTAAGAAGCGGCACTCAGATGAAGCTGCACTAACGAAGCATAAACTCCGTCTTTGATACTGATCAACTTGTCGTGTTTCCCTTTCTCAACGATGACGCCGTTCTTAACGACGGCGATTACGTCAGCATTTTTAATTGTTGATAACCGATGAGCCACCACAATTGTCGTCCGGTTAACCATAACCCGGTCAAGCGCGTCCTGGACCACACGCTCAGACTCAGCGTCAAGAGCACTCGTGGCTTCGTCAAGTAGCAATACCTTTGGATCCTTGACGATGGCTCTCGCAATGGCCACTCGCTGCTTTTGACCACCGGACAACTGAATCCCTCTTTCTCCCACCATCGTGTCGTAACCCTGAATCAGAAAAATAATCCCGGGTTATTTAGACCCGACCCGAGAATCTAATTCCATGGAATTTGGGAATTGGAATCAAAGAAACCCCAAAGGTTACCTGTTGTAGACCACTGATGAATCCGTGGGCGTTTGATAGTTCAGCTGCAGATACGATTTCGGATTCACTCGCGTCTCCTCCTTTTCCGTAAGCAATGTTGTCTCTGATTGTTTCGTTAAACAAGATGGGTTCTTGGCTCACGAGTCCCGTTTGTTGTCTCAGCCATTTTAGTCGCAGGCTCTTGATCTCCACACCGTCGAGAGTGATCTCCCCTGAGTCCGGGTCGTAAAACCTCTGCAGCAAAGCGATCACCGTTGATTTCCCGCTCCCGCTTTCTCCGACCAACGCAACTGTCTGAAAAAAGTGAACAAAAAAAACAGAGATATTCTTAAAGGTCCTGCCTTTTGTTTCAAAGATAAGGATGTAAATGTTTTTGAATCCTACTAACCTTTCCTGCTCGAATACTTAAACAAAGATCCTGGAAGATTTGAACATCTGGTCTTGCTGGGTATTTGAAACTAACATGACGAAGCTCAATGTCTCCTTTTACATTATCCACCACTCTTCCGGATTCGACACTTGGGTCGATCTTCGATTCCCTGTCTATAAGCGCGAAAATCGAAGCAGCAGCTACATCGGCTTTGCTGGAATCAGGAGACAACGAACTCGATTGAGAAATAGCAATAGCCGCCATTGTCAAAGCAAAGAAAACCTGCATTGTAGTAAACATCACACGAATCAACAAAACCACAGAGACAAAAAAAATCATCACTTTTGTTCTGTTTCTTAATATATATTACCCTGAAAACAGAGTCGAAGGTTGTTTTGCCATCATCGACAAGCCGCGCGCCCACGTAGAAACTGGTGGCGTAAGAAGCAAAGAGGACGAAGAAAGAAAACCCGAATCCAATACCACTGACTATGCCTTGGCGTATCCCTGTCTTCATAGGACCTTCACATTTCTTTGTGTACATGTTCATCACTTTGTCCTCTGCACAGAAGGAAGCTACGGTTCTTATGCTTCCAACCGCATCATTGGCCACTTGGCTAGCTTCCCCGTACATTTTCTGCCAACGATTACATAAATCGAATGATTTCAGCACAGAGAGAGAGGGAGCTTTAACAGATTGTTGTTGAAAACACGTATGAAAACTAAAGAACGCAACTTGTATACTTTACCTTTGCATCTGCACTGAAACCTTTCATGAACTTCATGTATAGAAACCCATTGAGTGCAATAAGCGGAAGCATCGCGAGGACTACGAAAGCTAACTGCCAACAAGCCAAGAACGCAATGATCAATCCAGCCAATATAGACGAGAGATTCTGAACCATCTGAGCCAAAGCATCTCCCACTAAGCCACGTATCGCTGCTGCATCTGCTGATAGCCTCGCTCCTATGGTTCCACTCGAATGCTCTGACTCGTCGAACCATCCAACTTCCATGTGAACCACTTTCTCAAAACACATACTTCTTATCCTCTGCACCAGTTTGCATCCAGCTATGGCGAAGAAGAAGGTCTGTGCTGGGTACGCGATGATGGATGCTATACCAAGAACCATGAATATAATCGCCCAGAAGCTCGTATCTTCTTTTAGCTCTTTAGGCGGTTTGAAAAACGCCTTGATCACGCTTGCGATTAGTATTCCGAATAAAGGAAGTATGACTCCGTTTGCTGCTGCGGATATCGCTCCGAGTATAAGCACAGGGATCTCCGGTTTGTTCAGAGCAGCGATCCTGCGAATAGAGACTTTCTTTTCTTTGGTTTTGGTCTGTGTAGCGGCCTCTTCTTGATCTTGATCTGCGTCGTTTCCTTCGATTCCTGCTGGAAAACCAAACATGTTGAAAGAATGGCGGCTACTGTTTCCTCTGGATGATCCTCCTTTGCTTAGAGACCGGCCTAGAGACGATTTCCTCAGACTAGACTGCTTGAATGATTCAATTGATGACATCTTCTGCTCATCCGTTGGATTCTCCTCTGTTTTTTTCTCTTCTTGCAGACGGATCAGCTGAGAATAAGCTCCTTCTGGGTCCTTTAGTAGCTCCGTGTGAGAGCCTTTCTCTACGATCTTTCCTTGGTGAATCACAGCGATCATGTCCGCGTTTCTCACGGTGCTTAGCCGATGAGCCACTACGACCGTGGTCCGGTTAACCATGATCCTATCAAGCGCTTCCTGAACCACTCTCTCAGACTCTGCGTCAAGCGCGCTTGTAGCTTCATCCAGAAGCAAGATTCTTGGATCTTTCAGAATCGCTCTGGCCACTGCGATTCTCTGTTTCTGACCACCTGAAAGTTGAGTTCCGTGTTCTCCAACCATTGTATCTAAACCCTGAGGAAGCTTGTCCACAAACTTAGACGCGTTCGCAAGCTCCGCAGCGGCTTTGATCTCTTCGACTGTAGCGTCTTCTTTACCGTACGCGATGTTGTCTTTGATGCTTGAAGTGAACAGAACCGGTTCTTGACTCACAAGCCCGATCTTGCTTCTGATCCATTTCAGCTGAAACTCTTTTAGGTTAACCCCATCTATGAGAACTTGACCGGCTTGCGGGTCGTAGAACCTCTCGATCAGACTCACAACAGTAGATTTCCCGCTCCCGCTCTGTCCAACCAAAGCCACGGTTGTACCACTCGAGATAAACAGCGAAAACCCGCGGAATATTTGCTCGTCTAGTCTCGCCGGGTAAGTGAAGTAGACGTCCTTAAGCTCAATATCCCCTTTGATGTCATCCAACACTTTACCATCTGTACTATAAGAATCAATGTCAGGTTTTCTCTCTATTGTCTCAAACATCTTGTAAGCAGCAGCTTGTCCAGCTGCAAACGCGCTTAGGCAAGGAGATGCTTGACCTAACGACCTAATACAAGAAGAACATGACAAAAATATCAAAATCAGGAAACTTAACGAACACACAAACAAAAGAGGCAGGCATTGTTGATTAATCAAGGGTTCTTACATGGATCCAGTTAAAACAGAGATGATAATATTGAGAACTTGTCCTCCTGTGTAGCCTTTATCAAGAATCAACTTTCCTCCATACCAAACAGCTAAACCGTAACTACAAAAGACTACGAGAAAGAGCGTTCCAAGTCCCAATCCAGTTGAACCACCTTCGATCACTCCTGCTTTATAAGCTGTGACTAGATGTTTATTGTAATTGCTTATCGCTTGTTTCTCTCCCGTAAACGAAGCAACCTAAAATTCACAAGTGATGCCTGCCTTAGTAATTTTAGCTAAGAAGCAAACTGTGTATACAAGAGTGTGAGCTTATATAAGTACCGTTCTTATGGAACCGATCGTTTGCTCAACGACAATGGCAGCTTTGGCATAAGCGGTTTGTCCACGAGAAGCTGTTCTAGCAATGACGATAGCGAGACCCGCACCGGCCATTACAAGAAGAGGAATTGAAGATAGCATGACTAGAGTTAGAAGCCACCCTCTTATGAAAGCGATCACAAAGCCTCCAACAAACGTTGATAGAAGTTGTATAGCTTTCCCCACCTGCAAAAACGTTCGTCGTCTCATAAGATCTGTTTTGCCATTTTAGGAAATAAACCAAAAAAGCTTGAAAACTACACAAAACGTGTGTGTGTGTACCTTCTCTCCCATGGCGTCTTGGATGAGCACAGTGTCACCGGACATTCTTCCAACGACTTCTCCGGTATTTGTATCCACGTCGAAAAAGGCGATATCTTGTCTTAGTATTGTTCTTAGATACATACTCCTTATTCTTCCTGCTTGTCTCTCTCCAGAAATCATCCAACCAGACAGTTCTGAACATTCATAGACAAGTCAAGAACGTTAAAAGCTCTGTTTTTTTTTTTTTTTTTTGAATATCTTTACCAAAAGTTTAAATTTTCAATAACTTACGGAGAAAAGCAGCCGCGAAAGTACCGATTCCAAGCCATACAAACTTCAGAGCTACCTGTGATTGAGTTTAAAAACTATATTATTAGCAAAAAAAATCTAATCTGAAATCGATCCCAGATTAAGAGAGAAGACATCGTTTGGTTTACTTTAGAGACTCCGTCGGCAACATTTGTGTTAGACTGATTCTGTCCGAAAGCATCAACTAGATCTCCGAACAGTATGGTCATAATAGGGAAGCCGAGACCGTTTCCGATAGATCCAAGCGTCCCGAGGATCATCAAGAGAAAATCAAAGGAATCTGCAAAAGCGAAGAGCTTGTAAAACGGCACCGTTTTGGTTTTCTCATCATGATCTTCGTTGTTATTCTCTGTTTTCTTCACTTGTTTGTCGTCTCCCTCTTCCTCTCTGCTTCTTTTGGTCTCGGAAACCTCTTCTACTATATCTGCATCTCCGTTCAGGCTTCTCTCTGAAGCCATTAGACCTTACGATCCTGAGCATTTAAAAAGAACAGAGGAAAGACATAATAAGTTTCCATATCTATGAGTTGAAATAATGAGATCTACAAGAGAGAGAGTGAGTTTCTAAACGGGGAGCATAAAGGTCAGACCAAGAAGGGAAAAAACATTTAGGAAACAAAACAAAGGCTTTCACAGTTAACAGTGTCCTTTTTAATTCAATTTCAATCTTCACCAAACATGAAAATACCCTAAAGATCTGGTTTTTTCTGTTTTTCTAAATCTTTTTTTTTCTCCAAGAACATCTGAGAAAATGATGAAACCTGAAGCAAGATCCCTCAATTACAACAAGGCTTCACAGAAGCTTTGGTCCAGACAAAACCTAGAGATATAAAGTAGAGAATATATACATATAAAGCAGAGAGTATTATACACATGTTATATGTATATATGTACCTGGAACAGGAACAAGAAGAAGCTGAAAAGTGAAAAGGGGTTTAGCGACTTCTTTGGTGTCTGCCGTATCAAGCGAAAAATGTGCAGAGATCTCTGTGCTTCTATCTTTTTGTTTATTTCTTTTTTTTATAATTGTAAGTGAAGTTTGTAAAAGACTAAAGTCAGTTTTATATTGCTCTGTTTTCTTGACGAACAAGCCGTGACTTGCTCAAGAGAAAGAGAAAATGGATGTCAAACAAATAATAATTAAAATTCATGGAAATATATAAAATATTGTCTTATGAACTATTACTCTCTTTTTTTTTAGCTCAAAAGAATTTGTAAGATTTTTTTTTTTTTTGCTTGTCTTAATTTTAAATTAGCGTATCTGTCCATTCCTGTCTCATAATGCAGACTAAATAATTAAGTATCTTTTTTAAAAAAAGAATTGATCATAAAGAGTAGTAATCTAGCTGTTTTCTTCAACTACAACTCTAGTATTATTTTAACATAAAGTTTTGAACGTTTGATTTGGCAGATCCGGTTGATAATTAATAATCCGGTGTAGTACTCTTTAAATCATCATTATAAAACAAATCTCTACGAGCTAATTTGCTATGTTTTTTGGAAGCCTCCATACATGTTCTAATTAATTTGTTATCTCGAATATAGTATTTTCGTGTTTGTCTGCGCATATTTGTACGATTAGTAGTAGTGTGACTAGAGAGAGAATTACAAGTTTTAATAATAATGTTGACAAAAGAAAAAAACAAGTTTCACTAACATTTTAGTAGTTTTTAATCTCTCGCATTACCAGCTATATATATACACTTTCTATGAAAAAAAAAACAGGTATACCACAAAGAAATCAATATATAAAAAGAAAAAAAGCTGAATTGTTGTAATTTTCTTCGATCGGTTTAGTTGACTATCTCGTTAGTATTAGTTGTGTCTTGTGACTACGACAAGTGCAACATCCCTTTTTTCTAAGTAGTCCAACTTGTAATCACAACTGCGTTTTGACAACGGATGTAGATCATTAAGCATGTGCGCATAATTATGCATTATATACTAGCTTGTGTTGAAAGAAAGAAAAATATACGAATTCCCAAAATCTAGATTTCGTTAATCATACTGCTAAAACTTTATAAAAAAAAACGATAGAATTTGTGATCTGATCATATCTTTGCATTAAACATGTTAGCTGGGGAACCACGTGAATCTGATTTGCCTAACGAGCAAAGATACAAAGTCAAAATTTGTTATCGATGAAAATGAAATAAACAAAGTCGAAAGTACGGAAAATAAAAAGAAGGAGAGACCTTTCTTTTTTTTCCAGGGAGTCTCAGGGAGGAATTGTCTGCCATTACTTCTTTTGCGCATTTTTCAGAATCAATGAATCTTATTCTTATCTATCTAACCAATTAAGAGCCTGACGTCATTCCTGACCTAAACTGCTTTCTATATTTATCTCTTGCCCACGTATCATATATATTTATCATACTTTCCTTGAAAGAATAAAATTACTTACTACTTGCAATACTATTATTTCAAATATTGATGCTAACAGTGACTGAATCAAGTGAGGCGCCAATGAGACATGACTTTGTAACTCGATATTTTTTTTGGCCTTTAAATTATATATAGAGAGAATGAGACTCTGTATTCAATTGGGTCGTAATTGTACTGTTGTTGTCTGTCTGACAATCTGATTTGTAGAAAAAAAAAAATTCTGAAGTTTTTAAATGCCTTTGATCGTTTATTTTAGCAGGAAAAATAAACCATTATAACCATTGGATTCCCCACTAAACTTTGGGAGAATCATGCCATGTGTCAAAAGTAGACCTAAATCCTTTTCCCTACCTACCCATAAATTCAGAAACGTAATCTGTAATCACAATTAGATGTTCACCCGGCCTGAGAACTCGGAGCCATCGATCTTAAATTAGGCCCATGGGCCTAGCGATATAACATAATGCACAAATGAGAAACGCAACATTTGAAAAGAGAAGAAAATTGTTTGAAACTTTATCAACAATGGTGTTATTGCCATTCACACACCGGCTATTTCAGTTTCAATCAAATCAGGATTTCATGCTTGGGTATAACAACAATCCTATAGTTCTTATTTCTTAAGATCATAGCAGCATCATCTAACCATTTTAGGAATACCGAACTCATCAAGTATACATCTATGATGGATTTGAATCAGGATTTGGTTTTTTAAGATAATCCCCCGGAGAAGATAACATAATGCATTTTTAGAGTGTATATATGGATCTGATTAAAAGCATAGTATAGGCATTGCTTTAATCTGGATCAAGAAGAGAAAGTCGTGGTTTAATCCTCATTTATCGCCACTAAGATAACAAACAAGAATAACAGCTTCTTTGACTTGTGAAAGCATTTACTACTACACATTGAATCATTCACCAACTACCACTAGAGTCCACCAAAAAAGGCTCTCTCTTCTTACACATTAAAACACAAGAGAAACTAAATGAAGAAGCAGAGGAAAAAACAACAGAAATGAAGCAATTGGCTCCACTCCTCGCCGTGATAAACTTGCTTCTCCTGGTTCATGGAGATGACGTAACTTTATCATCAGCGGTTGGAGATCCCGGGATGAAGAGAGACGGTCTCAGAGTTGCATTTGAAGCTTGGAACTTCTGCAATGAGGTTGGTTTCGAAGCTCCTCACATGGGCAGTCCTCGAGCCGCAGATTGCTTCGATGTCTCTACCAAGTGCAGCAAATCACACAGAAAATATCAATCAAACATCACAAGAAGTGAGCTCCGTCTTCTCCTTCCTCTGTTTATTCATCTCTCTGTTTCCTCTGTTTTAAACTAGAATCTTGAGCAGGTGGTGGTTATTCCTTGGTGCACAAGGTACCAGATTCGGATAACAAGCTAGGGATCGGAGATCGTAAACCAGGAATCATATCAGAACCAGCATTACAAAACCCAGATCTTTACGCGGTCGAGAAAGAACTCTATCTAGGTTCCCTCTGTCAAGTCTCAGACGAGCCAAACCCATGGAGTTTCTGGATGGTGATGCTCAAAAACGGAAACTACGACACAAAATCCGGTCTTTGCCCTCAAAACGGCAAAAAGATCCCACCTTTTAATCAACCCGGAGAATTCCCCTGTTTCGACACAGGCTGTATGAACCAACCGGTACTGAACCACGGAAAGACCGAGCTCCTTAGTGACGGTCGAACCATGAAGGGATGGTTCAATGGTACGTACGAGCTTGAAGCAGATGTGGGAAATGGAATCGATGGGATAAGTTATTACGAGGTTGTGTGGGAGAAGAGAGTCGGTGACATTGGTGGTTGGGTGTTTAAACACAAGCTTAAGACTTCACAAAAGTATCCATGGCTTATGCTTTACCTTAGAGCTGACGCAACTAAAGGATTCTCTGGTGGATACCATTATGACACTAGAGGAATGCTCAAAACAGTAAGAAGCACCAAAAACCTTTTGTCCTTTGTCTAAAAAGTACTCTCTTATTGATCTTTTGATTCAAATGTGTGATTGTTTTAATCTTTTGATGGAAATGTGTAGCTCCCGGAGTCACCAAACTTCAAAGTGAGACTAACCCTAAATATAAAACAAGGAGGAGGACCGAAGAGTCAATTTTACTTGCTTGACATCGGAAGCTGCTGGAAAAACAACGGCGATCCCTGCGACGGTGACGTAACCACCGACGTAACTCGTTACTCGGAGATGATCATAAACCCAGAAACCCCCCTTTGGTGCAACCCAAAGTCTCTCAACAATTGTCCACCGTACCACACGTTTCGAAACGGCACGAGAGTCCACCGTACGGACAGTCGGAGATTCCCTTACGGGGCTTACCACGTTTACTGTGCGCCTGGAAACGCCGAGCACCTCGAGCCTCCGGTGGGGACTTGCGATGCTTTTAGTAACCCACAGGCTCAGGAGATTCTTCAGCTTTTGCCTCACCCGGTTTGGGGTGAGTATGGATACCCGACCCGGATGGGTGATGGTTGGGTGGGTGACCCGAGAACTTGGGAGCTTGATGTTGGTGCTTTGTCTAGTAGCCTTTACTTCTACCAGGTAATTGATTGGTTGATTGACTCAACCGGGTCTTTTTCCGGTTTGGATTTTGATTTTGGTGCGGTTTGTTTATGTTGTAGGATCCCGGTACGGCTCCGGCGAGGAGGATATGGACATCGGTGGATGTGGGTACGGAGATTTATAAAGATGAAGCAGTTGCAGAATGGCATCTTTCTGATTTCGATGTTCTTATTACTTGATTTCATTTCCCTGACTAAAAATCCAAAACCGAATGGAAAATTTAAACAGAGTATTGAAATTGAATAATGGTAATTGTTTATAAATTTATATTTTTCGCGAAATCCGAACCAGTTTCTAACCAATCGAAACAAAAGCAGAAGTGTTTGATCTTTTGTACAAATCAAACCAAATCAATTTTGATGTAAAGAGGTTGTTGTGACGTAGTTGTAGTAGCGGTGTACCAGAAAGAGAGCAATGTACTACTACTAATTTAACCCTTCAAAAAATGTACTTGCGATGTGATTGGGTCCTACCACGTGGCAGCCTAATATTCTCATACCACCCGATTTGCCAATGTCCAAACATATAAAGTCGTATAAAAGTACAACACAGAGTGTGATAGCATTACAAGAACAATTAATAATTGTACTCTTTTTTAGCTTAGATCGAAGTACAAGAATTTGCAAAACAAAGGAGTACAACTGGTGAATTCTCGTGTAGTAGTACATCATAAAACACAGTTCCAAAACATCTATTTAAACCTTATGACATAACATCAACTCAAGGAACTGGTCAAGTTCAAAGGTAAGCCTTTCTATAACCGGTCGAAAGAAGAATACAAAGTGGTAAATGAGAGAGACAGGGAACAAGCAGAGCATGGATTGAGTTTACTAAAACATCAAACGACTGTGTTTTGTCTCTTCCCATGCACTGCCTCTTCCCTGGCTCCCTCTTTCTTTCTTCTTCTCCTTTAATAATGGGTATTTTTTATTACTAATAACGCCATGTGACGGACCAGCTGATGATGAACTAAGCTAAGGGATTTGGTCTACCTCTGTGCTTCATGTAGTGGAGCTGAAAGAAGCAATGGCGTCCATTTCTTGGCGCAAGAGAAGGGCATCAATGAAGGAGTCCAGATTCTCTCCCTGCATCATATCTTCAATTGCATGGTGAGTGATTCCCACACGGTGATCTGTGACTCTCCCTTGTGGAAAATTGTATGTACGGATGCGTCCTGATCGGTCTCCACTGCCTATCTGTTAATATGATTACACCACTCGTCAGCTATTAAAAGACAATGATGTAAGACTGCCTGCAAACATAAGAATTTTCTTATTGTTATTCACATATGTACCTGTTCCGACCGTAGCTTTGATCGACTGCTCTGTAATCTCAACCTTTCGATCTCGTAGAGCTTTGCACAGAGTACTTTGAGTGCTTTGGCTTTGTTCTGTTAAATATTTACAATAAAAAGTGGAATTTTCTTTGAAGTAGGAAGTAGAAGTTTGAGGGAATGAAGGCTAGTGGTTGATGCCGTAAATTACCATATGCTGTGATCTTTCATCTTGGATCGAGACCATAATCCCACTTGGATGATGGATTATTCGGACTGCACTATTGGTTGTGTTGGCATGTTGACCACCGCACCCACCAGACCTGTACGTATCAATCCTCAAATCTTCATTCCTTAGCTGAACATCTACCTGCAAGACAGATTGTCATATTAGTCGATAAGAAAGATAATCAAAGAAAATATAAAGTTTGATACTTTGTAAGATAACATTAATAAACTTGGAGAAACTTTGGCACCTCATCAGCCTGGGGAAGGATGGCGACAGATACAGCGCTGGTGTGAATACGTCCAGATTTCTCAGTGATAGGAATACGCTGTGGAAATATGTTTTTAAGTGTTGATAACTAGAGAGTATCATATGAAAATGTATTTGAGAGTGAAAAAAAAAACAGCATGTGATTCATATATAACATACCTGAACCCTGTGGATTCCACTCTCGAACTTAAGTTTTCCGTAAACACTGGCTCCACATATCGCAGCACTGGCTTCCTGGCAATTACATTCAAGATCTTAGCCGCACTACAACAGAGCAATAGTGGAATACTAATAATAATATCCACACAAGGAAGAACTAAAATAGTACTTACTTTATATCCTTTCATATCAGACTCGGTGATGTCTACAATTTCAAATTTCCAACCTTTCTTCTGTGAATACCTTTCGTACCTACCAATATTCCAAAACCATATTAAAAACAAACCAAAGTTCAAGCATGAAGAAGAATAACTAGCTACCACTTGCAGTAATATGGATGAACTTACATTCTGAAAATGTCCATAGCAAACAAAGAAGCCTCTTCTCCACCAGTACCTAACCAAAAGTATTCAGTTGTCAAAAGGAAAAAAAAAAAACTACTAGAGACAGTTTTTAAAATTCACAGTGTTTATAAATCATTGGTTCACAAGTCTACCTGCTCTCACCTCCAAAATGCAATCCCTCTCGTCGGCTTCATCTTTAGGAAGCAAAGACTTGAGCAGCAATGTCTGAAGTCTATTTTCTTCTTCAACCGCTTCATCTAATTCACTAACAGCCATATCAAGCATGTCCTTATCATCCGAGCTCTCTGAAACCAGAGACTTCAACCCATCAATCTCCTGCCAAAAGGAAATACGCCTTATATACATGATGACCTTTGGGTAAATACAAAAGCAGAGACTGTAAAACCACAAAAAAAGGAGGAAATGCAAAGGCAATACCTTTTGTATAGCCCTCAAATCATTGATCAGCTCCATTGAGTCTCTCATCTTCCGAAATTCCTTGTTAGCTCTTGAAAACTCTTCTTGTGAGTACTCGGGCTGTCTTCAATCAAACAGAGCACAGTTTATTGAACATGTCAAGATCAACTAGAGAAAGGAAAAAGCTTGCTTAAAACAACAATGAGGTGACTTGGATTTGAAAACAATAAAAATATCAAAATCCTTGGAATCACCTGGTTAATAAGCCTCTGAAGAACAGTATTTCGGTGTTCTATCGCCGATAGTCTCTGATCCATTATCCTAATAAGATCTGGAGACAACTGAGGTTCCATTTCTGCATTCATAGAGATCCCAATTTCATTCACTATCAAACTGAAATTCTGAATCCAAATTTGTTTCCTATTGTTTGAGGATGTAAAGAAAAAACTTACCTGTGGAGTAAAGACGAACCATCTTCAACGAGAGAAACGATCGTATGCTACGATCGATTGGATGCGTTCCTCTCGAGCAAGATCGAATCAGATTACTCATAAAAATTGCCCGAAACATGTTTCGTTCTTAGCAGAAATCTCCGGGTTATCTTTCCGTCTGCCTCTGGTTTGATATTCAGACCCAGCGGTGAAGATGAAATAACTTCTGCCGGAGCTCGTGACGGCGGTTCCCTTTCGTCTCCGTCGAGAAAGGATGAAATGAAACTCTCCAGGATTTTGGTAAATTTGCAATTCCATATCTCATGTAAGGGTTATTTCGTCATTTCATTCCCGGCATATGTTTGGGCTCTCCCTCTTATTGGGCTAGCAATATATATATATATATGGGTCCTCTAACTTTATAAAAAGAAATTAGAAAAGTTACAGAAAAAAAAAAAACTTTAATAATCAGAAACTTACATATATGAAAAATTATTAGACGTAGATGGTACAACACAATTCGAAATATATAATAATAACAAAAATCAAACAACAATAAATTTTTAATTTTTTTTTCCTCATCTTTCATACGTGAGACAAACAAAAAGCAAATCTTACAACTTCATCCCCCGCGCATATTACCATCCTACCGAAAACGAACGTTGTATGTTTTCACCTTTTACATGAACACGTACTATAGTCTTTTTATTTTATTTTATGTAAACGTTTTATAATCCAAGCGTGACAGGCACGTTAGCTTCTTGGATCCAGTTAACCGGACCTAACCAGTTAGCCACGGTGAAGGCGTTAACATCAGCGGCAGACCTAGCGATCTTAACCCAGTTAGCCCTCCTGTTAGTGATGGCTCCTGGTCCACGGTTGTTGTACTCAATGTACCTACATGTCTTGTGGAAACTCTCCCCATCCCAAATCCTCCAGCCTTCTGGTCTGATCACATCTCCGATCTCGGTGTTGATGATCACGGTGGTCGCGTATTGCTTCCACGGCCTTCCCAAGTATGACTCAACGGTTAGCCTCTCCGCGGCTAGCTTCTTGTCGGGAACGATGCGGCAGTTCTGGAGGACGATACCGATTTTCATGGCTAAGCCCTTTTCGTTTCCGTCGGCTGTGATGGTGTTGAATTGTCCCTTGTTTCCTTTACGGACGACGATGAGTGAGTTTTGGATAACTGTCGCGGATTTGCCGAAGATGAAATCGACTGTTCCTGAGACGACGCAGTTCCTGTAGAATTGGCGACCGTTGTTGACGTATAGAGTGTCTTGGTAACCGTCGAATCTGCAGTTGAAGATCACGGCACGGTCTCCGTTGACTCGGATTGCCACGGCTTGGTGTCCCATTGGCCCGGCTGTGTTCTTGAATCCGATCCATTTAGCCATGAATCCTTCAGATTCAACCTCTACACGAATACATATTATTACAAATGAGTCATATATACTTGATCATTTGTATTAGAGTGATTATCAAGTTAGGGTTTTGGTGAGAACTTACGGACTGTTCCACTGAGAGAAGTGGTGGTTCCAGGGCTGAGTTTAACACTTCTGTTGTAAGTAATAACGGTCTTTCTTGCACCGTCTCCGAACATGAAGATGTTGTTCTTCTTCTTCGGGATAATAACTTGCTCTCTGTAGAGACCAGCCTTGATGTGGATGATGCATCGCCCTGGGTTTTTCTCGGGGCAAGCGTTAACGGCTGCTTGGACGGACTTAAACTGTCCGCTTCCGTCCTTGGCAACAACAAAGGTTGCTCTGATTCTAGCACCGCCGCCGCCGCCTCCGCCACGTCCAACATTAGCCATCAGCTTCCTGTCAGCACCAGAAACCCATGTTGGGACACCGGTCTCGTCAATGTCTTCAAGAAGACGACGAGCAGGACCATCTGGGTCGGCCACGGGAGATTCATCAACGGCAGGAACTGCTCCTTTAGCTGCTCCCTTGTCGGAAGGAGCGAAGATTCCGCTTGTCATGTTCTTGAAGTCTTCGACCTTGCCGTTAATCTTGGCCATCGCGCTGACGACGGTGTGGAAGATGTCGATAGCGTTGCTGGTGAGAATCTTGGAGCTTGCAATGCCTTCTGCAATCGTCTTTCTTAAATCGTCTTCTTCGATATCGTCAAGACAATCGGTTTGGTAGTTGTAGACACCGGTTAACCATTGTTTAAGCTGGTCGATCTTGCTCCCAAGCTGGTTAAGATCCTCACCCATTTCCTCAACGATGGTACCGAGGTCCTCAAGCGCGTACATGAAAACTCTCTTGCAGTAATCAAGAACGGCTTTGTTGTTGGGGGAGATGCTAGAACCCATGTTTCCTTCGGTTTTACCCGTGAAGTTTGACGATTGGGCTATAGCATCTTGGGTAGCGAGCATGAAGGCCTTGATCAGCTTGTTTGGATCATCGCTCTTGACCGGCTCGAGAGTTTTGACACATGACGCTTTGTCGGAAGTAGCCTGGCAAATTCCTTGGACCGCTTTCATCTGCGGAGACAGATTACTGTCCCCGTTTTTGTTAACGAATGCAACCACTCCTATGACTACTCCCACCACCAAGAGGATGGAGGCCACCGAGACAACTACCTTTCCAATCATTTTTTTATAAAAAAAAATCTAGTGTTTTTGTTTTGTGTATTTTTGATTTTTTTTTTTTTTTTTTTGGTTTTTCTCCCTCCGGTTTTATTTTAGAGGTTAATCGGAGAGGGAGGGGCTTTATTAGAGAAAAGCCAAGTTGTTTAATGACTTGGGCCAGTGAATCTTGTGATGGATTCGGGACGTTTTTATACATTTTTTTTGGTTTCTAAAATTAGGGACGTGCGTGGATTTTGCATGGAGAGAGAGAGATTTACGGTGGAGGAATGGCTAAGAGTATTTGGTCAAAAAAAAAAGCTTGAATTAACGTAATTGCTTAGTTGTGAGGTTTAAAATTGGTCACCGCAAGATAAATTTGGCGATACGTCTCCTGATTAGAAGGTGTGGTGTATATATGATTAAGTGATCATTCAGGGTCGGTTCTATAACATTCAGATAACAGAATTTGAAGGGCTACGATATAATAATGTAGTCTGAATTTGGATGAATAGATCAATTATATCTTATTTTGGGTAAAATTAAGACTAATTATATCTAAACAACTTTTTGTGACAACGATAATTCTGTTATGCATATCGCCACAAACTGTGTTCATGAGAATACCAAATTAATATATCATCATTGATTGTCACACGGTAAAAAAAGTCAGATATATATTGATTCACTTAAGATTAAATATGCATGTTTTCAGCCCTGAGTCAACATGTTAACATCTTGATAATTATGCAACCGGGTCCTTCATTATCAACCTCCTCGTGGTCGAATGTCTATATCAAGCCCTTACCTTCCTAATATGATCACCGTTCGATTTAATAGCTTCTTACGGTGTGTAGTTAGTGGTACCTTGCTAGCTTGAAGTTGTTAAGAGTGATAGTTACACATTTAGCTGACTAAATTTATCTTTATAAACAAAGCTATACTTTAAAAGTTTTGTTTTATAGTTAATGATCCACAAATGACGTAATTTGTAAGTTGTTTTTTTTTAAAGTTTTTTTTGTAAAATGTCTAAAACTACTTATTTTGCATACTAGCTAGCGAAAAAGGTCAATAGAAAGAGTCTATCACTACACATTTTTTGGTTCAAAAAGAGTCTATCACTATAATTCACTACACAACAACAACAAAAACAGGATTGTAGGATTGTAAATGGTTTTTTTTTTTTTTTTTTTGTAAAATATCTAAAACTACTTATTTTGCATACTAGAGCGAAAAAAATAAAAAGTTAATAGAAAGAGTCTATCATTACACATTTTTGGTTCAAGAAGAGTCTTATCACTAATTCACTACACAACAACAACAATAACAGGATTGTAGCAGTAAAAATGTAAGTAGCACTGAAATGGTATTCATTTTTGGGAAATTGGCTGTAATAACCACAAGACCAGTTGAAATTAATAGAATGATCATATGAAAAGGGGTGTTATAGTATTCTTTATATTTTATACAATATATACCAAACTACCCTTTTCTTCTTTCTCTTCTCGTCTTCTCTTCCCCTTCTCCTTCCTTACCTTCACGTCTTCTATCTCTTCTCTTCCTCTTCCCCTCCTCTCCCCTCCCTGTCTTCTCCTCTCCCATCCTCCCATTTTTCTCCCTTTCCCCTCTCCTATCCTTTCCATTTGATGATTCATATTATACAAATTATGTGAAATAATTAATTTTATAAATAGTATAGTACGATACAAAAATTGATATAGTACAATATATTAATATAAAACTAATATATAATTAGAACCTCAAGTACTATACTATATAAGCCTTCTCGTGTAAGAACATATATTATAGTATAGTCCGAAAAAATTATATATTATAGTATAGTCCAGAAAAAATTATATATTATAGTATAGTCTATAAAGAAATATGGGCAACATATGTTTATAACGTTAAGAAAAATGAGTTTTTAGTAATTTTTACGTGGGCCATGATTAGTTTGTATATTATTTGAATAATATGACTATATTATTTTATTGTTTTGTAAATATGGTTAGATAGCAAAAAAGTCCTTCATTTTTTTTTTTGCTGAGTAGCATGTTTGGTAAAGTTCGTTGCTAACATTTATGGAATTAGTTAGCGATGTTTGAACATATATAATTTAGTGTGCCCTAGTCCTATATTATGCATGATCTGGACGCATTTTTCTGGTGCATTAAATCCGTTTTATCTTCTATTATGTAGCCATTCAAAAATCAGGTCAAAAATGCAGAATCATTCAAAGAAGAAGAAAATGAATTTAAATGTATATATACGTAAAATAAATGATACGAAAACGTTATTAAATTAAGTTTATTATTATTGGATAATCACATTTTTCTCCATATCCTTTCCAACCACGAGGTCCATACATGATTATAATCCATAACATATTAATTACAAACATACATCAAGAGGAACCTTTCTTTACAAGATTCCTAAAATATCTGAAAAACCCAGTCGATGCAAATTATTCATCACCCTCAATGACGCCGTACGTACATATTTTTTTTTTCTTTATATATATATATATAATATAATATATATTAATAAATAAAATTAATTGTAGTAAAACGACAAAGGTGGTGGGAGCAAGGTATCGGTATCTTGCTGGTTAAGTTTGGTCTTAATGTTGAAAGTGTTAAAGACTTTGCCCATTCCAGCGAACACATCCACTGACTCACCACTCATTCTTTTCCCAAGCCCAATCCCTCCTTGAACCTCCTTCAACAACGTTTTGTCGTAAATGTCGTCGAGACAAGTCGAGTGGTAAGTGAAGATGGATGTCATCTTCTTCTTACACGTGAAGTAATTCTCAGCCATGCTCGTTAGGTTTTTCCCTGCGGCTTTCCAGAAATCTGCAAAGTCTTCCATGGCGTTGTTTAGCTGTGTCTCGCAACCGGTGATGACATTTGTGGCGAAGGCGTTTCCTTGGTATTTGGATTTGATTCCGGCGAGGAACTTCAAACCTTTCTTAACGGAAGTTTCTGCTGCCGTCGCTAAGTAACGGACCAAGACGGCGGGATCATTGCTTGGGACGCTTCTTAAGGTTATGCTACAGAGACGTTTGTCTTGGACAACGTTGCAGATTCCTTGGACGGCTTTCTCGTGTTCCGGTGTAACGGCGTCACGTTTGGTTGGGACAACGTATGCGGTTGCGGTTAGCGCGACGCAGAGAACGAGAAAGGCGAGTTTTATTGGAGTGTTCATTTTTTTTTTTTTTGGCTTTTTTATATTTACTGGACGTGGATTGGAAAGGAATATAGATAGAAAAATGGGAAGAAGAGAGGGTACGTATATATATATATATATATATATACATGCTTACATGGTTTTGCTAAATTTGGATGTGTTTTGTTTTTGGGTTTGACTATATTCAAAGGTAAATGGATGATAACGAGTGATTTGTGGCGTTTTTAATCTGTGGACATGCCATGATCCTGGAGACTCCAAATAGACACTAATTCTTCCTCCTATTTGTATTTCCCACATACAGAGACACTCGTTGTATCTTTTCTAATTAGGAAATTAGATGAGATTATAAGAAAACTATCTTTAAATATTACTATATTTAAGAAACAAGCATTTCAACATAAAATTATCTAAAATACTAATACTGTTTTCGCTTTTACCACAACTTCAATATGAGGAAGAGTCAGAAATTTGATGGGCGGCAAAACAAGAATCCAAATAAGGGAACGGATTTAATTTTTGTATAATAAAATAAAAAATAGCTCATTAAGGAGATTTCTATGCACATTAAGAGTATGAACACTGTATATATTGGAAGTAAAATTTTTCCGGTAAGTAGGATAAACGGCGGAGAAAGTGGTGTGGCTAATGAAATCCTTCGGCTGGAGTTACGCCTCGAGCGTTCAACAAAGGTTGAAGAGCTTTGACAACAATACTCATATTCGGCCTAAAATCTGCTTCGTATTGCACACACAACGCCGCAACCGCCGCTAACTGCGTTTCATCACCCATAAGATTCATAAGAGAGAGTTTAAGACTTCAACTTCATAAAACACACATATATGTCCAAAGGACAGTTTTGGTTACCTTAGCAACAGCTTTAGGAGGGTAATCGCCACCGAGTCTTGCATCAACGCATTGTTTAACCTTGTCTTCGCTCAGTTTAGGTGTAGCCTGATGCATATGTTCATGGTTGAAAATCGCGATATGTGAAAGAGAAAGAGAAGCGTGTAAGATTGAGAGAGAGAAATAGTACCCATGTGACTAAACTTTGTTGGCCTCTGGGTAATCTATGATCAACAGGTTTCCGACCTGTAAGAAGTTCGAGTAACACAACACCGAAGCTGTACACATCACTCTTGGCATTCAATTGCCCGGTCATGGCATATCTGTTAAGAGAAAGCAAGAGCATATATATATATGAGACTTGAGATAATGAGAGCTCACGCTATAACATGTAATCATCACCCGAGTAGGAAGCGATGTGCCAACTTACTCAGGGGCATGGTAACCGAAAGTTCCAAGAACACGGGTTGAATGAAGTCGAGCAGCCATGTCAGGAGCTTGGTTAGAGAGGTCAAAGTCAGCAATTTTGGCAACATCGTCATCAAAGAGTAGGACGTTGCTGGATTTGATGTCACGGTGAATGATGTGAGGAGTTGCCTTTTCATGCAAATACTCAAGCCCTCTTGCAGCACCAACTGCGATTTTCACTCGCTGATACCACGACAACACAGGGCCTGGCTGTGCTCCCTTCACACCTTTTCTCCCTGAGGAATCATGATGTGTTAAAATCCCGCAAAGTAAAGAAAAAAAGATGTGTGTTACTGGAGTAGTAAAACACTGTACGTACCATGAAGAATATCATGGAGAGATCCGTTTTTAGCAAACTCATAGGCAAGTATCCGTGAATTCCCGTCAACACAGTAACCAAGCAGCTGAACAAAGTTATCATGCTTCAGCCTCGACACCATAGAAACCTGCAACGCAAATCAAATCTCCAAAGTTTTCACAAAGTTCTTTTCAAAATGATACAGAGAAGATTGGTAGTTTGAGACCAAACCTGGGCAAGGAATTCATCGTCAGGCTGTTTGTTAGAATCCAGCTTTTTGATCGCTGTAGGCTGCTGGTTGTTCAGCAACCCGTAGTACACTCTTCCGTAAGAGCCTTCTCCGATGAGAGAGTTTGATCCGAAATCATCCGTTGCTTCCTTGAGCTCAGCAACAGGGATGATTGGTACTTCAATAGGCTGCACCTTCACAATTTGAGCTCCCTTCTGTGCTGTCTCAGTGGCGTGGTGCCTCCCATCGTTACCTGCAAGACATCATCGTCATAAGAATTTCTTCAAATAGGAACTAAGAATGCAAAAAAAAAAAAAAAATTTGACTTTTTTAGCTTAGTGAGAGTCATAAATAGATACCTCCAAGGTGTTTGGCTGTATTCTGGCCTCCATAATCAGCAGCTTTATGCATATCATCTTCCTCGCAGCACCCAAAGCAGCTCATTTCGCAGCGTGAATTCAAATTCAGAAACTGAAATTCAAATGCAAGTTTAAAACTAAAAAGCCTTAACAATCACAGACACGTTTACCAAATACGAAAATTCCGAATCTGACGAGGATGAATCAAAGCGTTAATTTCAAACGATTCGGCGACGGATAGTCACTAATCTAATCGAAACGATAATCATACGCAACAGCTCGAAAAGAAGAAAAATCACTTCCAGCTCCAAATCCGGGAGATCGAGGAACAGAGCAATCGAGAACGAAATCAAAATACACTAAGAACTTGGAAGAAGAAGCTTTTACCTCGATCCAAGGAGACGAATCAGTGGAATGTGACAATTTGTGGAGATCTGAAGAACGGCGAATTCGATAAGACTAAGAGTGGCAATCTTTTGAGCGTACGAAATTATAGGGGAAGAAAATTGAAAAACGCGGAAACTTAATTCCAAATAAGAAAATAAATATTTTTAAAAAATCCCGGCTCGATCATCGGTGGAGTGAAGCAGGTGATTTAGCTCTCCCAACTTTTGACTGGATTTCAACGCTGTCACTTGACACCGTGTCATCATAAGCGCCGTTGGATTGTTTGACAAATTTCGCAAGCCAACGACCAGATCGCCATATCATTTTCTTTTTCTTTTTCTGATTATTTATCGAATGAAATGGCAAAAATGTGTCCGGAATTATCGTTTATAAACAGCGGCGTGAATTCCGCCGTCGGCCGCCATTTAACGAACCATTGTCTTTTTATTATTTAGCCGTTGGTAGTTGGGATTATTATTTCGTATCCTATGTGAAATGTCAATTTTGTTTTCATTACGATATTATATATGTGCTTTTTTGCGACCAATGCTATTCGTTTCAAAGAGCATGGTTCAAAGTTATTAATTATTGATTCTTTTCTTAACATCAAATTACATACGTTAATTTTGATAGAGACGTCTCTTATGAAGTAATCTCTGCAATTAGACATTGTTTTATAGTATATTTTATTTGTGTAGTTAATTAGTGCCATATTTTATACATGCATGGGTTACTAGGTTCCCAAAACCACTGATTATAACTACGTACGTATACATTTCGTATAACTAGCTACTTTCCTATGTTACGTATCAATTTATGTTTACGCGTTATCTTTTGATATTGCGTTGCTTTCGTAAGAAACAACGAAAAAATATATAAATAAATGATAAGATGGGATTTGGTGAGTTGTGGGTCGTATTATATATGAAGTCGTTGTCGTGCATGTGAACAAAATATGGGCATGTTCGAGAGGAATCATGGTGTCTTTTTGGTCACCACCATTATTTTTAACACTTCTTGAACCATATGATTAGCCGTTTCAAGTTTTCTTTCGGGTTTTTAATTTCTTTTTAGATTATGAGGATTTATTTGCCGAAACCTTGCCGCTGCGGTTGGTATAGTACTTTATAAATTCATCATTTGTGACTTTATTCGGCTCCTAATTCAATATATTTTGATATCTAGTTTTTTTTTGTTACAAAATGGATTGTGTTAGAACGGAATGTATGTCTTAACATATGTACAACCAATAATTATCAGCATCATGATTATATAAAAATGAGGAATAAATTATACTTTTTAGGACGATTATGAAATTGCATAATTTAATGGAATTAGATCCGTTGAATTTCGAAAGCTACCAAGACGAGGAACATGAGTATGATCCGACGTGGCGCATTGGATTCTCCGTTCTATTTCTCATGTGACTGGTCTTTTTGTACTCACACTAACAAAATTCGTTTTCTTTCTATATTCCTTTCCATCTTAAATTAAGGTTCATCATCCACATTAAACAAAAAACAAAACGAGATTAACAACAAACCTAATCTATTATTTATTAATTTAAGTGGGTTAGTAAGTGGGCCAAATATGAGTGGGCCAATAAAGCCCAGACCATTATGACCACATGGAGACGAAAGGTTGACCCAATTGGGTACCTTTTTTTTTGGTTCATTGGGTCAAAGTCAAACCGCGTTCACACACCGACACTTTCTTTGTCAACTAGCGATTACTACGGTTGTTCACTAGTCGCTGAAACACTCGATTTCTGCTCCCAGAGAAATCGCAACCAACTAAAAGCTTATCGTACACCGCCCCACAGGGAACAGCAACTCTGAGTACACGAAATTATCCCCTGTTCCGCGAAACAGGTGATTAATTGACCTCCATTAGTACACTGCTTCACATGGGAAAAGAAAAGAGGTAGACAAAAGTCACAAAAGAATTAATTTTATGTTTTTCTTTATCTTATAAAATTTTGATTTTTCATATATATTTTATCAGTGTGGAAGTGGTCCCACCACTATTTTGTTTCTCTCAAAATTAAAATGAATTTTGTTTTTCTGTACTTTTAATTGGTTTCTCTCTCCTACCATCTTTCTTTCTCTCTCACTCTTTCTCTCCCCTAACCTTTTGTACTACCCATAACCATTACCATACATACTCTTCTCCATCAGGCCACAAACACAGATTCACATAATCATCCTCTTCTTCTTCTTCATCTTCATCGCATCTCCACCGCCTGTGGCTGTTCTTTTTTTCTGTTTGAAGGTGTTTTCTGGAGTTACTTTTCTTTTGAATTGATTGGAGTTGGGACAGGTCAGTTTTTCTCTTATTGGTTGTGGGGTTGAAGAGCTTTTTGGATTGAATTAAGAGGTTCGTAGGGGTCTTCTATGGCGGCGAAAGGTCTTTGATTTATCCGTGAATTGGATTCTGGGCATGTGTGTTGGGGTTAATTGGAACCATGGATCTGTCACTGTGTTCATTTCTAGATTTCTGGGGACGAATCGAGGTTAATTAAGAAGAAGCCTAAAGCTTTGTGCTTTTCACCTTCCGATCTAACGAAATCTCAATAGGGTTTTGTTGTAATTCTTATGTTAAGTCTGAATTCGATCTCTTGAGAGTAGATTTTGGGATCAATCGGTGGAAGTTTATCTGTGATGGAAGCTAGAATCGAAGGTGAGGCTCAACATTTCTATGGGTATAGAGGCATGGATGTAAGGTCGGTAGGGAAGAGGAGCGTGGAGTGGGATTTGAATGATTGGAAATGGGACGGCGATCTCTTCGTAGCTACACAACTGAATCCTGGTGGTGGTAGCGAGACCATGGGACGTCAGTTTTTCCCGCTGGGGAACTCCTCGAACAGCTCCTCCTCTTGCTCTGACGAAGGGAACAACACTGAGCTAACGGCGAGGAGAACAGGACAAGTTGAGAAGAAAAGGAGAGCTGTTGCGACAGGGGATGATAATAACGGCGGTGCTCTTACTCTGAAGCTTGGAGACAATGGTTATGACCTCAACGGTGAGGTAGAAGGGAACTCTGCTGCCAAGAAGACGAAACTCGGAGGTGTGACGAATCGTGCGGCCTGTCAGGTGGAAAACTGTGAAGCTGATCTTAGCAAAGTTAAGGATTATCACAGACGTCATAAGGTGTGTGAGATGCATTCTAAGGCTACTAGTGCAATCGTCGGAGGGATTATGCAGCGGTTTTGCCAGCAATGTAGTAGGTATGCTTCATTTTTCCCCGAAGCATCTTAAAGCCTGATGGAAAGGAATCGAGAAAATGAATCGACTTTATTGCTCTATCTTGCAGGTTCCATGTTCTTGAGGAGTTTGATGAAGGGAAGAGAAGTTGCCGTAGGCGTTTGGCTGGGCACAATAAACGAAGGAGGAAAACAAATCCCGAACCTGGTGCTAACGGGAATCCTGTGAGTGATGATCATCAGTCAAGCAATTATCTGTTGATTAGTCTCTTGAAGATACTCTCCAATATGCATTGTATGTTACTTAATCCTCTCATAAAGAATAAAAACATTTCAGTTTTGTCTTGAAGTTAGTGTTATTTAATTTTGTGTGTTCTGTTGCAGCCAATCGGTCAGACCATCCGGGTGATCAAGATTTGATGTCTCATCTTCTGAAGAGCCTTGTGAGCCATGCTGGTGAACAATTAGGGAAAAACTTAGTTGAGCTTCTTCTGCAAGGAGGATCTCAGGCTTCCTTAAATATTGGAAACTCGGGATTGCTTGCAATTGAGCAAGCTCCTCAAGAGGATTTAAAGCAGGCTCCTGCCAGTGGTGCAGCTACCGAGAACAGATCAGAGAAACAAGTCAAAGTAAATGATTTTGATTTGAATGACATCTATATAGACTCCGATGATGGTACAGATATCGAAAGATCTCCTCCTCCTACGAACCCAGCAACTAGTTCTCTTGATTATCCTTCGTGGATACATCAGTCAAGTCCACCTCAGACAAGTAGGAACTCAGATTCAGCATCTGACCAGTCACCATCAAGTTCTAGCGAAGATGCTCAGGTATATAAATCTCTTACCTCATCATACATTATTGTCTTGATCCATTTGCACACTGATAATTCACTGTAGCCTTTTTTCTTTCTTTCTTTTGACTCCACCTTCAGATGCGCACAGGTCGCATTGTGTTCAAACTATTTGGGAAAGAGCCAAATGATTTTCCTGTTGTCTTGCGTGGACAGGTACTGTTCTGCTTGTGAACTCAAGTTCTTATTTTGTGATGTTGGAAATTTTTATCGATGTGTTAATCTCTCGATATTCTCAGATTCTTAACTGGTTATCGCATAGTCCAACGGACATGGAGAGCTACATTAGGCCTGGCTGTATCGTGTTGACCATTTATCTTCGTCAAGCTGAAACTGCTTGGGAAGAAGTAAGCTTACTTTCTCTCCTCTTTGACATTTCATCTCGTCTTGTTTTGAAGTCATAGGCTCATGAACTTGCATTCTCTGTTTTTGATTTTGCCTTGCAGCTTTCTGATGACCTGGGCTTTAGCTTAAGGAAGCTTCTAGATTTCTCAGATGATCCTTTATGGACAACTGGATGGATTTATGCCAGGGTGCAAAACCAACTTGCATTTGTATTTGACGGTTAGTTTTCGAGATTACTTACAGCAGTTGAAGATTTCTCAAGAATTATAAAGTATTTATTGTAAATTCGGGGTTGCAGGTCAGGTTGTTGTTGACACTTCCTTACCGCTAAAAAGTCGTGATTATAGCCACATTATTAGTGTTAGACCACTCGCTGTAGCTGCAACAGGAAAAGCTCAGTTTACAGTAAAAGGCATTAATCTCCGTCGAACTGGCACAAGGTTATGTGTCCTTTGAAGCCTTGGCCTTTCGCATTTTCTTCTCCCCCTTCTTCCTTATTCATATCTAACAGTCTTTGACCAACTTTTTTTTTCAGGCTACTTTGTGCTGTAGAAGGAAAATACTTGGTTCAGGAAACAAAACATGACTCCACGAAAGAGAACGACGATCTCAAGGAGAATAATGAGATTGTTGAGTGTGTCAATTTTTCTTGTAATTTGCCCATAACAAGCGGTCGAGGATTCATGGAGGTAAGAGAATTTTCTATGTTCTAGTCTGATCATCAATAAACAACTTTCACCTGTTTATTCATCTGACTCAAGCTTGCTTGATGACTATTTTCAGATTGAAGACCAAGGGCTCAGCAGCAGTTTCTTCCCTTTCATAGTGGTTGAAGACGATGATGTTTGTTCTGAAATCCGTATACTTGAAACCACATTAGAGTTCACTGAAACTGATTCTGCTAAGCAAGCTATGGAGTTCATTCACGAAATCGGTTGGTTTCTTCACAGAAGCAAGCTCGGGGACTCAGACCCAAATCCAGAGGCTTTCCCATTAACACGATTCAAGTGGCTAATCGAGTTCTCGATGGACCGAGAGTGGTGCGCTGTGATCAGAAAGCTATTGAACATGTTCTTTGAAGGAGCGGTCGGTGATTCTTCTTCCTCCTCCTCCTCTGATGCGGGGCTATCAGAACTGTGCCTTCTTCACAGAGCCGTAAGGAAAAACTCTAAGCCTATGGTTGAAATGCTCTTGAGATACGTTCCCAAGCAGCAAAGGCACAGCTTGTTTAGACCCGATGCTGCTGGTCCAGCCGGTTTAACACCTCTTCACATTGCAGCCGGTAAAGATTGTTCAGAAGATGTACTGGACGCTCTAACGGAAGATCCCGCAATGGTGACTTTGAGTTTTTCCCTCTTTTCTTCTGCCATGAATTTTGATCCTCAGAACAAAAAGTCTTAAATCCTTTTTGCATCTGATTCAGGTGGGGATTAAAGCGTGGAACACATCTCGGGACAGCACCGGCTTCACACCAGAGGACTATGCACGCTTACGCGGTCACTTCTCATACATCCACTTGATTCAGCGCAAGATCAATAAAAAGTCAGCAACCGAAGATCACGTTGTGGTAAACATCCCTGTTTCTTTCTCAGACGCAGAGCGGAAGGAATCAAAATCAGGTGGTCCAATGGCTTCAGCCTTGGAGATCACCACACAGACTAACCAGCTTCAATGCAAGCTCTGTGACCATAAACTGGTGTATGGGACAGCACGCCGGTCTGTAGCATACAGACCAGCTATGTTGTCAATGGTGGCGATTGCTGCGGTTTGCGTCTGTGTGGCACTTCTCTTCAAGAGTTGCCCAGAAGTGCTCTATGTGTTTCAACCGTTCAGGTGGGAGTTATTGGACTATGGAACAAGATGAGTGTAAGTCTGAGAAATCTTCCCAAAGATAAATAAACATAAATGTTACTTATATAAAAACTGTGTGATTTTCTACGTGTAACTATATGAGTATAAGAGATAGAGATGTTGGGATTAGAAGATTGTTGTTATTGTTGTTGTGTGTAAAAGCCTCTCCTTTCTCTCCGGGAACCTGAGGATTCTATCTCTCTCTCTCTAATTAGTATATTTTTGGTTGACATAATTATAACTTTCTTTTTGTAATTTTTACAATGGGAATGATGTCGTACCTGTTATTTTTCTTCATTTCTTGGTTTAGTGGTGAAAATAAATACTAAGAAACTTTGCATTTGTAACTTTCAAGCTTAAGATACATCATCACTCGACTTTCACAGAGACTGGAGCTACCGATTTCGGCTTTCTTCAGCAGCTCTAAGAGCTTCTGTACCTTGACCATCTTGATGACTATGAGCCTATGGCTTCGTTTGAGGCTTCGATAACTTGAAGCGCAAGATCAATATTGGAGAAAAGGATATGCTTCACTGTATCCTCCGCCATAGAAATGGAATTTCACAAAATATCATTCTATCACTAAAATATCATTCTATTACGTGTTACGACAATCAATTCGATTCCATGAAAGAGTAGATTATATCATAAAGAAACCACAACAGATTTGAGACTGCAAAACCATAAATAGATTAAAGAGTTTCAAACAACACAAACGTAGTAAATTAGACGACAAAGCAACGATCTTAAGCCTTGTCGGCCTTAAGAGGCTTAACAACCTCCCAGGTAAAGTCAGGATCCTCCCTGCCAAAGTGTCCGTACGCCGCAGTCTTCAAGAACCTGCCATTGCCACCTCTGGTGAGGTCAAGGTTAATTGTCATCATGCCTGGCCTGAAGTCGAAATTTTCCTTCACAATCTTGAGAATCTCCTTGTCCGGAATCTTCCCGGTTCCATACGTATCAACAAAGACAGACAAGGGCTCGGGGACACCAATGGCGTAAGAGACCTGAACAAGCGCCCTGCGCGCTAGATCGCTGGCTACAATGCTCTTAGCTGCTTGTCTAGCAATGTAAGCACCGCTTCTGTCCACTTTCGACGGGTCTTTACCCGAGAACGCACCACCACCGTGAGCTCCCCAACCACCGTATGTGTCGATGATGATCTTGCGTCCGGTCAGACCGGCGTCACCGTGTGGGCCACCGATGACAAATCTGCCGGATGGGTTGAGGTGGAAGATGGTCTTCTCGTCGAGGTACTTTTCAGGAATCACGGGCTTGATCACATGCTCTTTGAGGTCACGGGCGATTTCATCGTTGGTGACAGTCTCATCGTGCTGGGTCGAGATAAGCACGGTGTGAACACGGACAGGGACCATAGCACCGTTCTCGTTGTAGTACTCAACGGTGACCTGAGTCTTCCCGTCGGGCCTGACCCACGGGCAGGTCCCGTTCTTCCTAACCTCAGTGAGGCGCGCACCGAGCTTCGTGGCCAGAACGTGGCTCAACGGCATCAACTCAGGAGTCTCATCAGTGGCGTACCCAAACATGTGACCCTGGTCACCGGCTCCAATCTCCTCGGGGCGCTTGGTGAAATGACCATGAACACCCTGAGCAATGTCGGGGCTCTGCTCCTCGATGTTGACCAACACTTTGCAGTTGTCGGCGTCGAGGCCCACGTCGGCAGAGACGAAGCCGATAGCGCGACACGTGTCACGGACAATCTTCTCGTAGTCAACTTTAGCCTTGGTGGTGATTTCTCCAAAAACCATGACCATGTTGGTTTTGGTGCAAGTCTCGCACGCGACTTTGCTCTCAGGGTCTTGCTCGAGGCAGGCGTCGAGGACTGCGTCAGAGACTTGGTCACAGAGTTTGTCTGGGTGTCCCTCGTTCACTGACTCCGATGTAAACAGAAACGACTCCATCTCTCTATCTTACAAGCCTGCAATTATATTTTAACCAAATAAAGAAATTCACGAGTTGAAAGAGCTCAAAATCTTACTATAAACAAGCGAAACGAAATCTGGATTATGATTAATGGAATTGAAACTCGGCATCAAGTGGAAAAATAAATCCCGAAAGAAGATTAATCAATTTTTAAGTGTAACCGCTTAAATCCAGATCAGTAACCGAGACTAAGTCTAGTAATCCATATGAAGAAGCAAATCTCACAATCATTAAATTAGTAAGGATCAAATCAAACAAAAACGGCAAATGATTGGCACAGATCTGGATCAAATGGTGAGTGAAATAGAGAGAGAAAGAGAGTTACTGTGAGGGAAAGAGAGAGAGAGAGAGAGAGAGAGAGACCTGTGAATTGATGAGAAAATCTGAGAGAGAAGCAGCCGACACACCAAAGCACTGGACGCAACCCTTAACGCCACTGCGCGTCTCCCTTTTATAGACTCTTTTTCTCTCCTTAGTTTTTTTCCTTTTTCTTCTCACCTTGAGTAGTAACTGGTTACCGTCTGAATCGGTCGGATATTTTCTAGTGGAATTCCATTATCCATTTCATTTCTATTCTAGAAAACAGTCCAAAACATCATTTTTGAAATTTGTGGCATAAACTCTACTGTTTAGCAATGAATATATATATATATATATATATATTTCTTTTCTACTAAATGTATATTCATTGGATATTATGTTTCTTTTTACTCTTTATATATATTTTTGTTGATTTTATTGCAGAAATAAATTTACTCAACAGTTTTTTACTTCATTTAAAAAACTTTTAAAAAATCCGAAAATATAATTGATCAAATGTAAATAATACTAATATACTTGCCAAACTTTTTTAAGACATGTTTTGGTTTTAAAAAAATTTAAAAAACTTTAGCATTAAATGAGAAAAAAAAGTAGAGAATCTCACAGATGTATATACTACTTTCATCACTTAATTCCTATTAAAATCATATAAAATAGTGGATTCATGCTAGTGATGACACAGTCGTTGGATAAAACACCTCAACGGTATAGATCTGCTGTAGTTGGTGACAGAGAATGACAGTTGCCCGTTTCTTCTCTATCCAAATATTTATACGATTTATACATATCTAATTGTCTAATTATATATCCTTTTGTAAAGTGCAAATCACCGGTCAATAACCAACCCCAGCCGGTAAGTTCAGCTTGACGGCACGGAATGGAAGGAATCCCATCCCATGATGCATGAGTCAGCACGTCACCAATACCAAATATCTACTTTTTGCCTCAAAGTCAGTAAACCTAACCAAAACCAAAGTCGTATCCTAAACCGAAAATACTGTGTGTAAACCGATGTGACGTGTCCTTCTCGTGGAGCGTGCGGTTGGTGTGTGTGATTAGTGGGTTTTAAGCTCAGTAGTCAGCACATAATTATGCTTAATTCAATTCACTTTATAGCTCACCCTATTTGTAGACCGAATTTTAAAAGATTGTTTCATTTTAGCAAAACAAAAAATAAGAAGATGAATGCTCGTTTTTTAAAAAAGGACAGCTATTACTTATTAGGCTTCATTAATAGCAAATATTTTTCTTGAACCGATCTCATACATCTTAACTTGATTAATCAAGGAATCCATCATTAGAACTAAAAAAATACATAAAAATGCGATGAGCCTAAGTTGGGCTTATAAAATTTGGAAGAAGCCAACAAAATTTAAAAGAGTGACGATGGGTTTTATAAAATTTGGGCTTGGGCCTAAGTTGTAGTTTGTTTGATCGGAGAAGAGTGAAACCAAGCTTATTTAATGAATTGCCGCCACCTCTTCCGTGTCTTGTTCTTCCGCTTCCAAATCCAGAAAAACCCTAATGTCTGAGATGAGCGACCCAGTAATTGCTTACTTTGATTTCAAAAGAGATACTAGTGGGGTTCTGCGGTTGGGAGTGATCCTAGTTTCTTCTGAGACGCTGGCGCGCATTGTTGAATCCGTGACTACGCTTCGCGATGAAAATCGAGATTGGCTCAATGGGGCACCTACATTCCTTGAAATCTCCGATAGGGTCCACGAAATGCTCGACGGAAGAATTTGGATGGGCCATGACATAAAACCCGACGTTGATAGATTGAAGAAAGCCTTTGAAGGAATCGGCAAAGAGCCTCCCAGGCCCAAATCTATAATTGATTCACTCGCCTTCTCCAAGTCCGGCACGAGGGTATCTCTCTAGCTAGTCCTTTGTTAGCTTGATGGAAGGGACCGATCATTGCATCCAGAATCTTAATGCTATCGAGCAGAGTTGTGACGTCATGTCATTATTGGTAAGTTGTTGTATAAAACATTAAGAGTGGTCGATTGTTGTATGAGCATAAACAGTATCTCTGTTTGCAGGATCTCGATATTCCCAAGAATAATGGCGATGGTATGCATCCCATGATTTCTCATTTCAAAGAATACATTGCGAGCTAGGTAAGAAATTCCCAATCTTGATATTCAGAATCTGACCAGGCTTGTTATTTGACACTGTAGCTAATTTTGATGAAGATAGGATTAGTCTTTTTGTGTTGAATTTGAATTACAAGTTGCTTTATGCAGGGAGCAGATTTGAGGCTGCTGCAACTACCGAGTCACTTTCGCCATGATGAACCAATAGTAGTGAGTGGCCTTTACTTGCAAGTTTCAATTGCATTTGCTGAATCTGAGAATATAGTTTTTTCTTTTTTTCTCTTTGGGATCATATTATTGTTTCAGTCTTATTATCAGATTTGCAATGTTGTTTATCATGGCAAAAACAAAACTAAAACTGAAACACATCCGTATCAAACAGTATTATTCAGATATAAAGCAAGCAAGTGTGTTGAATTTGAATATGGCGTGTATATCAAGCAAACAAGCAAGTCGTCATATTTTATCTTGACTTGCTTTTATAGAAATCACCGGACAATCACCAACCCTAGCCGGTAAGTTGAGCTTGACGGCATGGAATGAAAGGAATCCCATCCCATGATGCCATGAGTCAGCACATCACCAATACCAAACATCTACTTCCTCTGTAATGTATCTGTATTATAACTGGATGTATCTGAATGTGTTTTGAGGTTAATACATCTAGTTATAATGCAGCTAGTTATAATGCAGATACATTTTCTCAAAATGAAACTTATTATGCAACAGAAGGAGTACTGTTTTGCCTCAAAGTTAGTGAACTTAACCAAAACCAAAATCGTATCCTAAACCGAAAATACTGTGTGTAAACCGATGTGACGTGTCCTTCTTGTGGAGCGTACGGTTGGTGTGTGTGATTAGTGGGTTTTAAGCTCAGTAGTCAGCACATAGTTATGCTTAATTCAGTTCACTTTATAGCTCACCGTATTTGTAGATCGAATTTTTAAAAATGTCTCATTTTAGCAAAACAAAAAATAAGAAGATGAATGCTCGTTTTTCTAAAAAGGACAGTTATTAGTTTATTAGTACTTATTAGGCATCACTAATAGCAAATATTTTTCTTGAACCAATCTCATACATCCAACTTAATTAATCAAGGAATTCATCATTAGAAGTTAAAAATACATAAAAATGCAGTGAACGTGGACGCTCTCCCAGCTGAGCTACCCTGGCTTTGTTATTAATCAAGTAATATTTAATAAAACTAACCTCTAAAGTCGGTTAGTTATTTAATCAAGTAATATTTAATAAAACTAACCTCTTATTTAATCAAGTAGAGTAATAAAATTGGATATCTGCTATTATTATTTTATTTAATAAAAATAAGAGAAAACTAGATATTATATTTAAAATCTTTTTATTTTATGTAAATTTATTATAGTTTTGATTATTGAAAAGATATATAAAAAACAAAAAAAACAATTAATATTTACCAAAACCAAACGGAAGAAGCCCACAAAATTTAAAAAAGTGACGACGGGTTTATAAAATTTGGGCTTGGGCCTACGTTGTAGTTTGTCTGATTGGAGACAAGAGTGAAACCAATCTTATTTAATGAATTGCCGCCACCTCTTGCAAGTCTCGTTCTTCCGCTTCCAAATCCAGAAAAGCCCTAATGTCTGAGATGATGAGCGACCCAGTAATTGCTTTCTTCGATTTCAAAAGAGATACCAGTGGGATCCTGCGGTTGGGAGTGATCGCAATTTGTTCGGAGACGCTCGAGCGCATTGATGAATCCGTGTCTACGATTCGCGACGAAACTCAAGATTGGCTCGAACTCGAAGGGGTACCTACATTCCTTGAAATCTCCGATTGGGTCTACCACATGCTCGACGGAAGAATTTGGATGGGCCATGACATAAAACCCGACGTTGATAGATTGAAGAAAGCCTTTGAAGAAATCGGCAGAGAGCCTTCTCCAAGTCCGGCACGAAGGTATCTCTCTAGCTAGGTCTTTGTGAACTTGTTATTTTTGTGATTTCGCAACGTTGTTTTTAACCAATGCATATGCAGCTTGCGAAACTTGCTGTACACTTTGGTTTAGGTAATGAAGGATCCGGGATCGATTATTGCACACAGAATCTCAATGCTATCGAGCAGAGCGGAGAGGTCATGTCATTGTTGGATCCGGATAATGAGAAGAATAATGGGGATGATATGCATCCCATGATTTCTCAGTTCAAAAAATGGTAAGAGATTCTGTCTTTGTAATCGATTTGAAGCAATTCTTAATATTCAGAACCTGACTAGGCTTGTATTTGACACTGTAGCTAATTTTGATGAGGATATCTGGATATGATTAGAATTTTGGCTTAGCTTTTGTGTTGAATTTGATTTACATGTTGCTTTATGCAGGGAGCGTTTTGAGGCTGCTGCAACTAGCGAGTCACTTTCGCCATGATGAACCACTAGTAGTGGTCTTTACTTGGCAAGTTTTTGCAAGTTTCAATTGCATTTGCTGAATCTGAGATCATGTTACTGTTTGACTGATTCAATCTTATTATCAGGATTTTCAATGTTGTTCCTTGTTTGCTAAACAATTTTATTCAGATATAAAGCAAGCAATTGTGTTGAATTTGAATATGGCTTGTTTATCAAGCAAACAAGCAAGTCGTCATATATGATTTTCTTTTGAGCTAGGAATGTTAAAACCGTTTTAGCTCAGCAGTCAGCACATACTTATGACTTAATTCAAAATCATTTTATAACTCACCGTATTCGTAGATCAAAGATCATTTAGCAAGACAAAAAAAGAAGAAGATTAATGCTCGTTTAAAAAAGGACCTTATTAATAGAATTTTTTCTTGAACCGATCTCATTCTATCTAACTTAAAAATACATAAAAATGCGGTGAGCGTGGATCGAACACGCGACCTTCAGATCTTCAGTCTGACGCTCTCCCAACTGAGCTATCCCCGCTTGGTTGTTAATCAAGTAATAATTAAGAATACTAACCTCCAACATATTAACATTTGATTCGTTTGGCTTCGTCTCCATCATAGGAAAATACAGTCAGCGAAGAAATCTCGGATGAAATCTTTCATAATCTCTTCATCATAGTATATTCCATGTGATGAGATTATATGAAGTAGTTTTAAATTGTTCTTGGCAAAAGATGATGTTAGGTCAGGTTCCACGAGATAATTCGGTTTTCTTTTTTGTCTCTACATCTCTATCTACCGCTGCTCTAATGGACTCGATCGACGAATCTTACAACGACTAAGATGGATTCGTTAACCATGCGTTAAAGCAGTGAGAAACCTTTGGTTAAACCAAAACAATGTTAGCACATAGCTTTGTCACTTGCATCAAAAAGACACAAAACACTTGTAAGCTTATCTGACTGTTTGATAATCTAGACTTGGTTCATCTGTGCAAAATCTTTCTACCACAAACCTCGTCTCCAACTTGTACTTCTCCCAAAAATAAGGCTCCCCTTTAGTCTTTATTATATCATTGTTCCCTGAGAAAGCAAAAGAAGCCAGAGATTGTGTTACCAGGAGAAGAGCAGCAAAAGCTCTTCCTCTCCGCCAAGCACCACGAAGTTGCAACCCACCGCTAGAGCTCTGGCTACTTTTGGAGTTATCCTTCTTAGATTCTGGTTCAGGGTCAAGGTTAGAAGAATTCTAAGGTTTAGTACTGCACCCATTGATTTCTTGCCTAGACGTGATATATTTAGGATAATGATCATCTTGATTAGAGATAAAATAGAATCTAGTCCTAGTTTATCTTTACATTGTAAACCTTTATATAGCAGTTGCCTATGATTAATATAAATGACAAGTTCTCCCAAATATATTTTGATTACTTTTATATGGTATTATAGAGGATCAAAGTTAAATTTTTTGCTTTATTAGTTCCATGATCTTTTATCATGGAGAGTCAGTCTAAAGACGAAGACGAGCCAGATACATTATATATGTTTGTTTTTTTTTTAAAAAGGAAAAAAAAAATGGAAGCTGTGCTTTCAACTTTTGTTTTTTTTAACATCATTGTTGTTGTAGTTTATGAGACGTGTTTTCTTAATCTCTGGTGGTAATGTCTTGGTCAAGGCATGGTAGTTATTGTTTCGTTTTAGACGTGATTTCAATTATATTGGTTATAGAGTGTTGGGAACAAGGTTTGTGTTTTCCAGGATTTTCATCAGGTGGACTTCAGTTCAAGAATTTAATATCCATATTGAATGTTTCATATCGATATATATCATCATATTATGCAAAATGCTGCTCAAGATTGTTTTATCACCGCAAGGCAGGTGCCCACAACCCGATTAGTTGATGGAGAATAAGTTTAATAATTTTTTGTGCGAGTTAAACGTGTATACATTTAATTTGAGGGGAGTATTAGAAAAGGTTCTAAAGAGTTAATGATCATTTTGATTAGAAATAAAAATAGAATCTAGTCTTAGGAGGTGTTATTAGTTTTTGTATTTTAATGGATTTGAGAATTCAAACCAAATTTAGTGTTATTGGTTCATGTATTTTAAAATTTATATTGAAATACAGTGTTATTGGTTCTATGATTTTAAAATCTATAATGAAATACAGTGTTATTGGTTCATCATTTTAGAATCTAAATATTATAAAGATTTGAGTTTTAATTGAATTTGAATGGATTTGAAAAGATTTTTGATTTTTTTCTATTTTGCTGATTTTGAAATCAATAAATTTATCAAATACAAAGAAGATTTATAAATCCACCAAAATACAAGAACCAATAATCCCTACTTAATTTATTTATATATTGTAAACCTTTATATAAGGCAATGGCCTATGATTAATATAAATGAAAAATTCTTTCAAATATATTTATATTACTTTACAAACTCCAAGGGAGCTGGGTTATATTCACTTTACCTTAGCTTGGTAAATCTCTTTGTTTCTCGATTGGGATACTAATCAACCATTTAACAGAGCCGACGGCACAATACGTTAGCATTTTGTCCGATGAGTGCACAAAGCTACAGCTGATTTGAAAAAAAGCAATTTGAAGATGAAAAGATGGCAGAAAATATATATATTTCAATCTTATCGAGTGGAGATGATTCTTATATTTTAATGGATTTGAAAATCTTCTTTTGATTTAGAAAATATTCAAATCTAATCAAATAACAAAGTTAAACCTTATATTTGAGTTTTTGTATTTTAGTCATGAAAAAACTTCTAAATCTATTCAGATTCAATAAAAAAATCAAATCTTTATAATATTTGAATTTTAAAATCATAAAACCAATAACACTAGATTTCAATATAATTTTTCAAAATCATAGAACCAATAACATTGAATTTTAATATGGATTTTAAAATCATAAAACCAATAACATTTTATTTGATTTGGATTTTCAAATTCAATACAAGAAACAATGTTTAGAATCAATGCGAAATTTTATAGCTAACTCCTTCAGACTTTATGATAATGTTTTCCCATCTGCGCCTTTGAAGCTTGTAGAGCTTGACAAGCTTTAAAGCATGAGCATCACCTCTATTGGTTCCTATATTCATTCGGTTCCAAGTTTTGAGCACCGCTTCACCACTGTTTGTTGTATTCTATTTTCCTTTGTCTCTACAGCTGCTCTAATGGGATCTTACAACGACTAAGATGGATTCGTTGTTTACAATGCGTTAAAAAGCCGTGAGAAAACTTTGGTGAAACCAAAACGATGTCAGTACATATACTTCAGCATAAGCTTTGTCACTTACATCAAAAAGACACAAAAACACTTGTAAGCTCAGATCTGTTTGATAATCTAGACTTGCTTCATCTGTGCAAAATCTTTCTACCACAAATCTCGTTTCCAACCTGTATTTCCCACACAAAAAAGAAGCAAAAGAGGTGACCAGAGATTGTGTTACTAGGAGAAGAGCTTTGCACTTCCTCTCCGCCACGCACCACGAAGTTGCAATCCACCGCTAGAGCTCTGGCTACTTTTGGAGTTATCCTTCTTAGATTCTGGTTCAGTCTCTGGGTTAGAAGAACTCCTAAGGTTTAGTACTGCACCCATTGATTTCTCGCCTAGACGTGCTCTGTGAAACTTTGATGTTTTCTTACATTGCTTGCCTGTGTTGCCTAATCCCACTCCACCAGATGAAGAATCCACAGTTGTTGTCACTTTTGTCTTGCCTTTGTCTGAACGGTATGCATCCTTGTCTTCATCCTCAGAGAATTGCAACTTCACTCCCATGGAGTCACTGCTACTTTCAACCTTGACAGCTTTCCCTTTGTTTTTCTTCAAAACGCAACTCTTCGAACTGCTCCGCACCGTATCGTTTCCTCCTCTCAAGCAAGCATTGTGGGTATCAATGAGCTCCTTCTGCCTCTTAGGATCAGGGCAGAGTCTAGCCATGTCAAGAACTAAGTGAGACAAGCCACAGCCTTTCACGTACTCTAAATAAGTTCTTGCATCGATCGAACCATGACGATACTTTCCTGATGCATCCTTGAAGGCCATGAATAACTCTTCATCGTGACCCAGGCTGGCACGTATTTTTTCAATCAAACTCTTATTGGCAGACTGTACATCAGAAACACCTTGTGATTCTTGGATGTTCGACACCTTTGCACTGGCGGATGATGATGACCTGCGATTTTTCACAGCAGAAACTGGAGGAGAACCAGAATGAGAAGGCTCATCTATCGATCTTGTATCAGACATTTTAGGAGTTGAAGATGAGTGATGGTTCCTCTTTGCATTGCCAGAACTCAGTGAAGAACCAGATGAAAATCCACGAACTGCCGTAGGTTCATTACGAGCATCCTGTGGAACTGCAGAAGCAAGAGTTCTAGTGATTTCAGCCCTGGCATGGTGCCTAGATTGAGATTGAGCAGAAGCACTATATGATTGTGCACTGCTTGTAATAGACGCTTGTGTTGGGCCTCGGTTTAACGCTGGCCAGGCTCGAGAAGACTCAGCAGTTGCACTTCTATTTGTTTGATGTCTTAGATGAGTAGTAGTCATGGTGTTACTAAGTAAACTCTCCGAGTTTTGTCCAGTTCGTGTTTGCCCACGGCTTGCTTGCACAGAGAGTGGAGGAAAAGAAGATTCTCCCAGACCAAAACCTCCAGGGCTCCTCATAGGTTGAGGAAGAGGATGTCCATCGTTAATGGCGTAAGATGCTTGAGATTCCAGAAGTGCAAGATTAGTCCCGCGACGAGATGATCGTCCTCTTCCACGGCGGCTGTTCGGGTATTGGAAACCCGCATGTATCTGAAACAGAACCGAATATTAAACCTATGCAAGCAAAACGCAAGAGCAATACTCTGAAGAAGATACTGTCCATGCCTGTAGCGATGCGTTTTGCTGAGACCGAGACATTCTACCTCCATGATCAAGAGAGTTATGCCTCTACAAAAATAAAAACAAACGCAAGTCAGCCTTTAAATATCACTGTGTGTCAACTTAGAGCATAAGAAACAGCGGGAAGAAAGAAAAAAAGTGATTACTTTAAACTCAGCTTCGATTTGGAAAACTATGAACTTCTTAGCAAGGCAAGACTCGTCCTCACATAGAAAATGGTCGCTGCGGAAATGAGCCTGTTGCCAAAACAAGTGTCAAGCATTTACAGTTAAAAAGAGTTAGAACACAATGCAGCCACGATATTATACCATAAGTTTACATTCATATACCTCCAAATCATCATAGTTTCCATAATATTTATATTGTCCTGGCTTCAGCCTGCAATGCCAGATTGAAGCAAATGAAATCATTTCGAGGTCAATCAAACTCATAACTTTAATAAATACAAATTTTCGTTAACCTTTGGCATATATGGCAGGTGTAGTGCTCTCTAGACATATGAGTGTATAGCTCATTGCCACCATAGAATGGACTCTTACAGAACTCGCACATAGGATGACCAGTGAAGCCTCCTCTCTCACTCTCACTTCCATCCACTTCCGAGTCACCGCTGCTTATATGTTGATTCAGTTGTGCCTGAGTAAATAGCTTTTGCTCACAAATGAAAACCTGTCATAACAAAAGCAGTGAGCTTCTTCATGAGAAATCGTTACTCGTTAGCAGAAATCTTACACCAAAGAGGGTGATTTCGGATCCTGACCTTACGACCTGCAAGACACAAGCTGCACATGCACAGATTGTGCTGATGAATTAAGTGATCCTTCAAGTGTTGAACGCTCTTAAACGGCAAACGATGGTTAGATCCTTTCTTTGGTTGGCTCTTCTTTGTCTTGTCACAAGAGGTGCACGAGAGTCTGCACATTGCCTTAATCCTTGTGTACTGGTTCAAGTCATCAAAGAAAACTTTTGTTTCTTCATGATACCAGAAAGATCCTACTCGACCTTCCTTTGGTTCTGATGGGAAGGTCGAGAAATCAGTAATCGTCTTTGTATAATCACCAAAAGCCTGCAGCGGAAAGAGCAGATGGTGTGAATGTAGCCCGAGATTCGAGTGATTTCAAGCAGATTTACAAGTTTCGGTTTCAGTTTCTCACACTATCTTCTCCAAATGTCTCAGCCACAAAAGAGCAACAAAGGTTGGACCTTTAAGAAATAGTAAAGGAGAAAAAGCTCGAACCTTTGTAACGAAGACGACGGGACATTCGGTTTTGCAAATACAGCACCGGCGATCGCCGAATATGAACCGGAGACGAACGACGCATGTAGAGCAAACCTCTCGGTGACCGCAAGATCCGTAAGCAACCCATCCGAGATTCTCTGCGCAAACGGCGCAACTATCATCCATGTTTTCTACTGTGTTTCCGACTCCTAAGACGCAACAACACGAACAAACAAAACCCAGAGAGATTACAAGCAAGAAATGTATGAGGAAAAACTTTAAAGACCAGCCGAAGAATCGCAAAAGTCTCTCTCCCGAGAGACGAAAACAAACAAACTCTTTAATAATTAATAACAATCAGAAAATTTAACAAAGCGGGGATGTAGCTCAAATGGTAGAGCGCTCGCTTTGCATGCGAGAGGCACGGGGTTCGATCCCCCGCATCTCCATTTTATATTTTGTTATTATCAATTGATAATAGGCCCATATTACATTTTGTTATACCAATTGATAATAAGCCCAGTGTTCAAACAGTTGTATACAATCTTCTTCGGCACTGGCGCAATCACTTACAGAACTATATGTATATATTTAGTGTTAGACGTTAAACAACATAGAGCGCTCGCTTTGCATGCGAGAGGCACGGGGTTCGATTCCCCGCATCTCCACGAATTATATTTTAGCTTTTGGGCCTTCTAATTGAAGGCCCATTTCCCAATCTGCAAAGGCCCATTTGCTTTTCTTGGCAGATCGTCAGAAATGGGGTAATTACGTAATTTAACAAACGAAGTCCAAAACCCTAGCCTCTACTATCTCAGCATATAGAAGAGAATAAGTTTTTTTGCTTCAGCCGTTCGCTAGCCTAAAGCAAAAATGCAGATCTTCGTGAAAACCCTGACGGGGAAGACAATCACCCTTGAGGTCGAGTCCTCCGACACCATCGACAATGTCAAGGCGAAGATCCAGGACAAGGAAGGAATCCCTCCGGACCAGCAGCGATTGATTTTCGCCGGGAAGCAGCTCGAGGACGGACGCACCCTCGCCGACTACAACATCCAGAAGGAGTCGACGCTTCACCTGGTCCTCCGTCTCCGTGGTGGCGCCAAGAAGAGGAAGAAGAAGACCTACACCAAGCCGAAGAAGATCAAGCACAAGCACAAGAAGGTCAAGCTCGCCGTGCTCCAGTTCTACAAGGTCGATGGCTCCGGCAAGGTGCAGCGTCTGAGGAAGGAGTGCCCTAACGCAACCTGTGGTGCTGGAACTTTCATGGCTAGCCATTTCGATCGTCACTACTGTGGTAAGTGCGGTCTCACTTACGTGTACCAGAAAGAAGGAGCCGAAGAATGATCTCGCTTAATCGTAGATCTCTTATCTTGTCGTACTGCTTTTCTTTTTAATTTTGGGAATTTTGATCTGTTTTGGATCTTGTGTTTGAACATCTATGGCTCTTGATTTCGTATCTTGACCCTGAATTTCTAGGTTTATTTTATGGATACTATGCTCTTACTTCTCCGTTAATGCTTTGCTCATTTGTTGCTAATTCACTGCTCATATCTTATTGCATGATTAGAAACCTCACAAATCACATTATCAAATCTTTAGATTACAGAGATTATGTTTAGGGCTTAACGAAACGCATTTGGGAATAGGCTAGGGAAGCATGAGTTCTTGGCTTTTACAATTGCAGCATAAACTCCATAACAAGGGATGTGAGCAATTGCCATGCATAAGTACCTGAGAATAGCTTGCATCGATCATTAGTAACGAAAATTACAATAGTTTTAGAAATTGTAATTACGCGTGATGAATCTAATTGCATACCACATGGGAGCCCATGGCCGATCAAGCTCGAGGAATGGATATGGCCACCTGATAGTGTAGATGGGTTACAATATATCTTTACATTTGCTTTAGAAATGTTGATCATTTGTACTTACCAGGTGAGTCCACATGCGTGGATGATCCATTGGAAGACAATATAGAGACAACTCCATAGCACAAAGTATCCTATTCGAAACCATGGGAACCGCTGAAACAAGAACAAAAGCCATATGTTATTGGGCTCTTATCTTAAAATCTCTTCTTTCTTATAAATTTAAAATTGCGTACAAGGCTATTGAGAAGCGTGTCGAGTATGAGGAAGCCTGCATTTGCCGTATGCATGCAAATCATCAACTGCTTGAGCATAAATCCAAAAAGTTAAAGCCCATTAATCCGATTAAGTCAAAGTCGATTTATAACAAAGAGATTCGTTGAATGTTGTTGTCACCATGTTTAAGCCGAGGTGGGTGTTGGATATGAAAGGAACTATAACTAGCCAAAACACAACGTCCGTGAGCACCACTGCTCCTGCACCTGTCTGCATGCGACACAAACCCGGCACCAGCATTAGTCTCTGAATGTGTGTATGAAGCAAAAGTCTTGGGTCTCTGTGTTGTCACTAACCTGAAAAATTCTCTCCATGAAGCAACCATAAACCCCTAATCTTTGCCTTAACTCATAATCTCCGACATTGTTTACAACCGCATCTTCACCAGTTCCCAATGTTGGTTTTTTGGAATGTTCCAAGCAACCATATAATGAAGCCATAATCCCCATCTGCAGAGAAACCGATGAATCAATGTATTCGAAATCCAGATTTATCACTTCTATATAAAAAGCGTTAATCTGCTGCGACATACCGCAAAGTAGATCATCACAAGCATGAAGGTCCATCTGTTACAAAAACAAAGCAACATAAGTAAAAGGACAACAATATTTGGAATTTTTTTGTGAAAGAAGAAAGTTCACTCGGTGTAATAGACGAAGATGCTTGCGTCCCACTTCAAGACGTCCCAAGCCAATAGAGCAGCCATGGAGAGAAAAGAGATGGAACGCGTCAAGAGAAGCCACCCAGGATGTAACCTTCTCCAGCAACTCGTCCATAACCGAGCCGGACCAAGGCTCTCTGACTCTGATCTAGACAGTAACAAGCTATTGTGCGCCGTATCTTCAACGTCTATGCAGCCTCTTTCTCTGCGCAATATAAACCACAAGGACGCAGCGATTGCAGCCAAAACTATACCAAAGCATATGAAGTCGTACCAGTAAACGATCAGTGCCATAGTTTTACTGTTTGATGAAATTTCATTAGTTGGCTAGCTGGTTTCTTTGGTAAATGTCAAGGTTTTTAGAAATTGACCAGCAGTTTTGACCGTTTGGTACTCGCTCGTGTAAATTGACAGTTAGATCAAGTATAGATGCTCCCTTGTACAATATTCATGAATTTTTGAAGAAAAATAGTAAGTGATTCAAATGTATGGATACAAAATAGTAAGTGATCAAATGTATGAATACAAAATCTAGAGGCCATATATATAGATAACGATTTCATATTTTGGAGTTAAAAGTTAATTATTGTTTTCCCTTGCTCTATCAGAACTGTTACACAATGTGTGATCTTGAGATTGTGAGGAACAAAAACAATAAAAGCCCAAATATTTTCACGAAATGTAATAATCTCTATTTATTATTTCGACATTGATTTATTGATATAATTTACTCTTTTTTGTTACATTGGCTTAACGACAGTATAACCACCGTCCACCGCCAAATTCTGACCGCTGATGTAAAAGGAATCATCAGAAGCCAAAAACAGAGCCACCTGAGCCACGTGGTGAGTATTAAGCACCACACCCTTGAGAATCCCCCTGGCGCCAAATTCTTCCTCTACCTGCTTCGCCGTTTCCTCATCGTGGCTAGTCATCGGCGTCGCCAGCGCGTACGGTGCAACACCGTTTACTCTAATGCCGTACTTACCCAATCCGGCACACGCCGATCTAATCAGCCCGAGAAGCCCGTGTTTAGACGCCGTGTACCCATGACGTCCTCGACCACCGATCTCCGACGCGACGCTCGTCGTACATACGATTGACCCACGTGTGCCCTTCACAACCATTGCACGTGCCGCGTGTTTGATAAACGCAGCCGCGCCGCGAACGTTGACCTCCATTATTCGGTCAAACCGTTCGAGATCCAGGTCGAGGATGCTTCCCGGCGGATCCAAGACGCCGGCGTTGCTGAACAGAACATCTAGCTTTCCGTGCTTTTCGACGGTGAACTTAACGGCGTTCTTCACTTCCGTCTCCTCCGTTATATCGCAACGGTAAAAGCTGGCTCTGTCTTCACCGATTGAAACGGCTACGTTTTGGCCTAGCTCTTCTTGTACGTCGACTATGACCACTTTAGCTCCGTGGTCAGAGAACAGCTTAGCGGATTCAGCTCCAATACCACTGGCTCCACCTGTTATAATTACGATTTTGCCATCCAAGCTTCTTTCACATATCCAATAACAATAGGCAAGAAAATGAATTAATCTACATTTGTATGTAAATACATATATATGCAAAATTGAGCAGCGAGAGATGACTCCCTTGCCTGAGTCCCGACATTGTTTTTCCAAAGGCTACACATGCATGGAGCCGGCATTTATCAGATTTAGCGTTTAAACAAATATGTCATTGTCAAAAGGCCAAGAATGTTTTTTTTTTTTTTTTCTAATTTTGAGCATTTCCATATAGTACCTTAGTTTTCTTGTAAATAACAGAAAAATAAAATTAGGTAGATGAGAAGAATAGATTTGAGTGCGTGTCCATGATATTGCTCTATAGTATTTTTTCTTGACTGTGATAACATGTTTCAGATTGATGATTTTGAAAGAAGATAATATATCGTTTAAGCAAAACAAAATGTTTTCAGTAAAATGTAGACGTTCGTTCAGTTCTACTTATATTTGATTCATCTAGTGTGATAACTATTTGTACCCTCAACTGTAACATCACGTGAAGAAGAAAGAAAAAAGAAAAAGAAAAAACTAATCGTATCATGAGATTTGATATAAGCAAATTTCAGTATTTTTCACATGTTCTGTCTCCCCACGACTGATGGCTCCACAGCCACTCTTATTTTATTCAAACTTATCACAATACACTTAACACACGTAAGTGCTTACGTATAAGCGATCTGCATGGTGTACAGATAGAAGAAAACCGATGGCTAATTAATGTGGAATGAATATATTCATGAAATAGTCAAATACCATACTTTTAATATGGAATTATTCATTAATAGTAATACCTTAACGCAACAGAGTCTACGGCACAGTATTTTATAATTGCTTCACAGGGGTTTAACTACGCTGTAACCACCGTCAACCGCCAGATTTTGGCCGCTAACGTAAGCCGAATCATCCGAAGCCAAAAACAAAGCCGCTTGAGCCACGTGGTGAGCCTTGAGCACCACACCTTTCAGAATCCCAGTTGTGGCGCAATATCCCTCCACCATCCTCGCCGTTTCCTCGTCGTGGCTACTCATCGGCGTCGCCACCGCGTACGGTGCAACACCGTTGACTCTAATACCGTACTTCCCCAGCCCGCCACAAGTCGTTCTAACTAGCCCGAGAAGCCCGTGCTTCGACGCCGTGTACGCGTGAGGCCCCGGACCACCGATCTCCGCCGCAACGCTCGTTGTACAGATGATGGACCCACGCGTACCTTTCTCCACCATCACACGTGCCGCGTGTTTGATAAACGCCGCTGCACCACGAACGTTCACCGCCATCGTTCGGTCAAACTGTTTGAGATCCAAGTCGAGGATGCTACAAGGCTGTTCCATGACTCCGGCGTTGCTAAACAGAACGTCAAGCTTTCCGTATTTTTCGACGGTGAACTTAACGGCGTTCACTACTTCCGTCTCGTTTGTAACATCGCAGCGGTGAAAAATTGCTTTGTCTTTCCCGATAGAAACGGCGACCTTTTGACCAAGCTCTTCTTGCAAGTCAACGATGACCACCTTAGCTCCGTGCTCCGTGAACAGCCTAGCGGCTTCGGCTCCAATCCCACTGGCTCCACCTGTTATAATTGCGACCTTGCCATCCAATCTGTTGTTTATTCGTAAACGTATTGTGACTTAAATGTAAATTAATTTAGTAAACATATTTTTTTGTATGAAATTTAGTAAACATATATTAATGATTTGGAGCACTTACCTCAGTCCTGACATTGTTGATGGAGAGGATACAGAAACAACATTTCGAGGCTGAGTATATTATATATATACACGTGACGTGATGCCTTACTGACCCTGATTGTTCTATATATATTTACTCTTTTTTTTATATAGCTTACTTACTCTTTAGAAAATAGAACCAAGAATGTAAAGCTATCGGTTAACAAAGACGATTTCCGGCAAACCAGAGATACTTAATACTCCATCTATTTAATAAAATTTGTTTTTTTACAAGTCTCACCTATATTAAGAAATGTTTAATGCGTAATTTCAACAACAACAAAATAATTGGGGGTTTTTTTCGTGTTGTATTCAAATTGTGTTGGCCAAAACATTTATGATGAAAATACTTCCAGCCGATTTTTTGAAAATGAGCATCCTAAAATAAACGTTCTTTTCTATTAAATTGCAAGGAAAATAAATTACACGGATATGACTTTTTATAGTCATGGAGTTCAAGAACGTTCTTTATTTTTCTTGTTTCGAAACGTTTCTTCTGTATATGTCACAAGATATTTTCTGAAAATAATGAGATTTTTAAATGTTTAGAATTTACACAATATATATATATATAATACATGTGCTTACGGGTTAGAGCAAGCATTGGATATAACAAAAAAACTGAGTGTGTGGACAATATGTGTGGGACTTTACACCATCCTAAATTATTGCACTTCTCTCTTCAGTTTAGTGGGATACTGAAGATATGTTGACAGAAATCTTGTCAGCCTACGGCAGGTGCAGTCATCTCATAAATTATTTAAATCTTGAAAATATGTTTTACAGAATTTTTGTTAACTAAAAAAGAACAAAGCAAACTTCAAAGAGGGCCATATATGTATGAAAGCCCAAACGTTTTAAAAGGAGTATTAAAACCCGAATACATAAGGCCCATAATCTAATGGAACAAACTTGTAGTATAGTTTATTATCCTCGAGATGTGCATCTGATTGGGATAATGGGTCATGGATGTTTCCATATAAATATGCAACATCCCACGTTTTAAGGAAAATTGCTACCTCAATCCCCAAGTCAACTTTTGACCCCAATAATTTAAAAATAGTTTTATAAAAGGAAAAATCATCATCGTGGGATCTTTGAGGCCAAGTTGTAGCTACGGCTTAACCACCGTGTAACCGCCGTCAACGGCCAGGTTCTGTCCGCTAATGTAAGCCGACTCATCCGATGCTAAAAACAGAGCAGCTTCTGCCACGTGGCGAGCTTTCAACACAATACCCTTTAGATTCGCCGACGCTGACGTGTTCTCCTCCACCAACTTTGGCTCCATCTTGAAACCGTTACATACTAACGGCGTGGCAACACCGAACGGAGCAACGCCGTTTACTCTTATCCCGTATTTCCCTAATCCACCTGAAGCCGATTTGATCAATCCCAGTAGCCCATGCTTCGACGCCGTGTATCTGTTATAAATCTCACATTTAAATTAAAACTGTTTACCACTTAGATTTTGTTAAGTTGTCTTACAAATAAAAACTATGATTATACCCGTGTGGTGCCGTCCCGGCGATCTCAGCCGCAACGCTAGTGGTGCAAACGATGGAGCCGCGCGTACCTTTCTCCACCATGGCACGTGCCGCGTGCTTGATAATTGCGGCTGCACCGCGGAGGTTAACGGCGAATGTTCGGTCTAACACGTCGAGGTTTAAGTCTAGGATGCTCACAAACGGCTCTATAACACCGGCGTTACTAAACAGAACGTCAAGCTTTCCGTGTTTTTCGACGGTGAACTTAACAGCGTTTTCTACTTCCGTCTCGTTTGTGACATCACAGTGATAGTAAGTAGCCCTGTCTTCACCGACCGAAACGACAACATTTTGACCGAGCTCGTCTTGGACGTCAACAATAACGACTCGAGCGCCGTGATCCGTAAATAACCTGACGGTCTCCGCCCCAATGCCGCTTGCTCCGCCGGTTATGATTACGATTTTGCCCTCTAATCTGCAAGTAATCAGAAGATCATTACATTTATATACATTTATGTATCTTCGCATAAATGGTACGAGAGATGAGGGTAATTGCCTGCGTCCAGACATTGTTGAGCTTGTTTTGATGAATATAGCTCAATAAGAGAACTATGTTATATATATGTATGTGAATAAGTCAACTCTATCGTGGCAAGTGGGTTTCACTTTTTTTTAATGGCTCAAGAATTGTTTGACCGTATGAACCGTAATAATTACACTAATTCATTTTTATAATAATGTAGTTTCTTTACTAATATTTTTTTCTTGATTTAACCACGATTACTATATGTAATTTCCCTCAACCCCTCCGGCCTCCTTCACCATTTGCATCAAATTTTAACTGAAAACATGAAATTTTTAAAAATTTTAAAATGTAATCATCTTCGTGGACGTTATTATACGTAAAACCGACTTTGAACTTTATTACAGTTCTAAAAGTATTTTGTTTGTAAGAAAATGTAATTAGCGGAGGATAAGAACCACCAACCATCCAAATCCGATTAGTCTTCATAAACTAAAACAAGCTATACACGAACTAAATAACCGCTTACACAAAAATGCGAGCACGTAGACAATTAACGTTACATACATACAACAAATATACAAAAACAAAACAAAAAAGATCTCAGCTGCTTCAAATCTGTTATCAGATTGCCAAAACCAGCCAAGAAACAAAAGGGAACGTTATCATCATCATCACCATCATATCTTCGTTTCTTTGCCATAAAACGCTCCGTTTCATTCAGCCTTCCAATAAGCTCCTCAAGCTATGCAAAGCCTCTGCTGTCAAACTACAACACCGTTGCTTCTCCACCGGAGGAGCCACGTCATCAACCGACAAGAAACAAACAACGACAACCGTTAGGTTATCGAACGTGTTTAGCCTTAAAGCCTCCATGGCAAGCTCTCTAGCACATCTCATCGGATCATCATGACGGCGTAACCCACGTCGGACAATACTAACGGCTTCTTGACTTGTCAGAACATCCCAAATCCCGTCGCATCCGATGATGAGAAACTCATCTTCTTCTGTTAAATTGATCTGTTTGATCTCTGGCTCTGCTATGAGCGGAGACTGTGAGCCTCGAGGTAGCTTCATGTCCCAATCGCCGAGAGCTCGGGTGACTGATAAGATGCCGTTTAAGTAACCGTCATCGATGAAGCCGCCGCATTCCTCCACTCTTCTTCTCTCCGGTAAGTAGATTGGTCTGTGGTCTTGAGACATGTCTATGGCTTCTCCGTTCCTACACAGAACGGCTCTGCAATCGCCCGCATTTGCCACCATTAAATGTCTGCACAAACACAAGAACAAACGTTGGACATTGACAGCCAAAAACTACATTCAAACTCGACATTATAAGGACATGCTTGGATTGAGCACAACGTACCTTCCAAAAACAAGGGCAGCAAGAGCAGTGGTACCAGAAGAAGAGCCGACGCTACGGTCCTCTGCTAAAGCAAGATCAGCCTGAAGGAACGCCTTCTTCAAAGAAGTCTTGACTTCATCGACATAGATACTGTTCACTTCCGATGTTTGTGGAAACTTATCGTCTTCGAAGAAGAGTCTAATGGCGTTTTTTCTTACATACGCTGCTGCTTCCGGTCCTCCATGGCCATCAAAAACCTACATACAAAGATGCCAAAAAAAATAAAATAAAAAACAATTAACTGGCTGATCTTCTAATCAAGCAAATGACACCAAAAGAGTCTGCATTAGAGGCAAGGAGGCGAAAATGAAAATACCGCATAGAAAGCAGTCGGCTTTGGCAACTCACAAAGCGACCCAACTCGAGAAGATAGATCGTCTATGCAAATGTGCTCGTCTTCCATGAATCTCCGAGGTCCAATATCAGCATAGCTTCCCGAGCGTATCACCGGAACATAAAACGAGACACTGGAACTGCAATCATCATCATCATCATCATCCACTTCCGTATTTTGATCACCAGATTTTAAACCCTGTAAAGCAATTTTTTCAACCTACCAATCAATTGAGTTGTCAACACTAAACAAAATCTCTGAAGAGCATGTAAGACCCTTTTGAGTCCCCAAAGTCTTTCGCTTTACTAAACTATTCAAATCTCAGAGAAACATAGAGACATCCTGGGAACTAAATTCTTCAAATTTATCAAGACATCCTCTTTGATAAATCAACGAATCCCAAATCTAAACAATTTAGGCCAATTCTCAACTATTGGAATTCTATCAGAGCCAAACCTCTTCGATTTCTCCACAGAGAGAAATAAAAAGATCAAACTTTTATCGGGAACGCTTACCAAAAGAGAAGTGGATAAGTCGGCTGAGACCGACGCCGCAGGGCGACGGATACCCAGATGCGACGAAGAAAGTGGTGATTTCACGGCGGAGACGCCGTCGATATCTGTAACCCCGGCTGATGCTCCGAACAATTGGACATCCAGAGCCACCGGTAAACTTTGTTGAAACATAACCTCTGCTTCAGCCACCATTTCTGCTCTTCACATCAATCACAAAGTTTTCGACTTTCGATTTCTCCAGAAAACTTCTACTGAATTTCACTGCGTGCGTGTGCGTCACTTGTGTTTGAAACGAAATTCTTAAAGTCGCTTGCTTGTTTCTCTTCTCGTGGACGAAAGCTTTTTTGTGACGCGTGTGCGTCTTCTGATTAATATATATACGATCTGATCCCAGGTGTGGGTACCGGTAACCGGTGGCCACAGTTTAACCGGAAGGACACGTGACAGTAGAGCGTGGCGTTTTTCGAAGTTAGTGTGTGGATTACACGGCGAAAACAAGGCAGTCAGTAATGACACGTGTCGTCTTTTGGTGTTTGTGTTTTGGCTTTGACGCGCGTAGTTTTTAAGGAAATGACAGAAACACCCTCCGTTGAACACCAACCATGGCAGACTTTTAATGATTCAACTATAACTATTTCCGAAAATAAAAGGTTTTATTGGGGGGCAGTTGTGGAATGTGATTAACCGACCAGAATCTGAAGATGTCTTATCGCGTTCACACTTGAAAGTTGCGTAGCTTGTTCGAGACGTAGGAAAGTTGTGCAGTTTGATAAAATTGCCCCCAAGTTATTCTTATATTACATGGTTGTATTGATAAGGGGGTGAATCTGGACCGTTGAACCACTAGCTCAGACTGGATCCCATTGTTTTCGACGGCCCAGAGAACTCTAGACGCGTCTGGAGTTGAAATCCAAAATCTAAAAAGGGCCTTTAATTTTATGTTACTTTTTCAGAAAGTGAAAACAACTATTTGGAGAACTCAAATGATTTAACGTCAGTCGTGCCACGCAAGCATGTGCTTTTGTAACGATTATCGGCAATGGCATTAAGAAAAAAGAAACGTGACAGGTTCACCCACAGAATCCATACATCCAAGTATCCAACTATATCTATCATCTTGGATATTAGATTAATGTTTCTTTGGCGATGGATGATGAATAAGTCAAGTTGTTGTTGCTATGATCGAAAACATGTTTATTTCTATCACTTGTTTTGGTTTTTTCTTTTGTGTCCACAAATAAAGAAAACTTATATTGTTTTAGCGATCGATGAGTCATCTCTACTAATTACTTTAATAGCTGGAAAGGACAATTAGTTAATTTAAATTTTATCATAAACTTCCATCAAGATGCTAAAGATCCGTCGACTAATGAATAGAAGAAACGTGTTTCATGAAAAGTCTTATAATAACTCCAGAACTTGTCAAATGTAATATAATCACCACGAAAAGAAGAAGAAAAAAAAACTCAATCGATTGGCACTAAAGTCTTGATTGTTTGGTACGTGTGCGTCATATTTTATAATGTTATTTATAAAAAAAAATTCAAGATGTTTGTGTGTGTTTTTTTTCAAAAACACAAGCACCGATATATATATTTTTAACATAGACAAAAAAAATACAAACAAAAATAGTCTTTAGTTTTCATCTGCGTAAATGAAACAACTGGTTGGAAAATAAAATAAAAGATGAAACAACTGAAAATGTATAAATTACTCAGCAAAATTGCTAGTATATAAACATCACACATGAAGATATCTCATACTGTTGGTATTGCTGGATGATAGACGCAATAAATTTTTGAAATTTAGTCTCATGGGCCTAATCTTACAATAGAGGGCAATCTTGACCCATCAAGCCCTAATCGACCTCTTGATAAAAGGCCATTACGTTTGCTAAGTTGGTTACCTTGCTCGAGGAGCCACGGCCCAAGATGAATTGTTGTGTTGTGTGCTTGAAACTTCAAAGAATTACAGTTGGACTACACTGTTTTCTATATTTTTCTTGTCGTGAAAACACATTTTTTCTATAAAGAGTGAGTACTGGTTGGAACTGTAATCGCATGTTTTAACATTACATTTTTTGAAATAGTTGTGGTATTAATGGACGTGGTGTTGTTAAGAGCTAAAGCCATACTATTGGCTTAAGAAAAATTAACATAGCAAAAACAGAAATGAGTTCTAAGGATATACTGTAACTGTGTTTGGATAATAGTGATATCAATTCTCTGTTTTATTGGCTTTTGGCCAAGCTACTTTGGGATTGACACGTGGAAAGGGGTCAACGAGTGTGTCCTAATCTCTTTCCATCAAACGTGAAGTTCAAGAACGTGGGTTTTCCTTTAAGGTGAGGAAGAGAGGAGTGAATGCGAAAGAGTTCTGTTTTAGTCTGAGACAATAAAGTGTCGCAAAACAAAAAAAACAAAGATCCATTGCATGATTTAGACGGTGACCTATGCATAAGCCAACTTCTTATTTTTCATTATTGCAGACAGCAAGAATATCAATGATACACAATAAATTTCACTATCGTTGAGTCAATGGTTTAATGCTAAAAACAAATTCAGGCAAAAAATAGATAAGCAAGAGTTCCATTTACTAGCTCTTCTTTGATTAGCCACCCACGTTTCTTTCTTAAGTTTTGCTTTGCTAATCCGGTGTTTTCGACGGAATCTCAAATTAATGTATACTAAAACATGCGTTAGGTGAACGTGATATAGTGCAATATGCGTAATTTTTAGTGTTTATGCGTCCATTTCTGTTTCATTTAATTTCTTTCTAGCTATATTTTAAACAAAACCCTAGCATGCTGATTTTTTTTTTTTTTTTGTTAAATCGATTTTACTTTGTAGTATAAATTTATGCGTAAATGTCATTTTGTATAATTTGTTATGTTGTCTAGCTCACATATTATCATATGTACATGCTGGACTGAAACTTGGATTATATCTTTAAAACACTATTTATTTGAGAATTATATTATATTATTTGGAAATCTCACTCAGAAAAATAGTTATCTTTCTATTGGTATATCACCTCTTAAAGTTGTGACATGTCTCTAATAAACAAAAAAGAGGAAAAAAACTCGCAAATCTACCTTAGCTTAGGAGACCAAATAGTAGAAAGTCGATTGATTACAATGTATTAAGATACACCTTAGATAAATCACTTGGTTAAACTAAGACCCGAGATCAAATATACAGGATGTAATATCCTATGTTTGAAACCATACTTCAACAGTACGTATTAGTTGATACTTGATAGTATGTTAAATTATGATCACCATGAGCCTTCTTTTTTACCTCCATCATATGATTACACCGGCAAATAAACCCTAATATTAACATAATGTATATAAAAATGGTTTTCTTTTCCCAACAGGGTCGGTCTCAATTGGCTCTTGACCTCTCATACATTACATATTGCTACTCAAGTGCTACTAATTTTTTTTTCCTTTTTAGAGGATAATTAGAGACCATTCCTTTTCATTTTCCCTCATAATGACGAAATTCGAAATCAAAAGGCTTAAAAACTATTGATGCATCGCTTTTCCTTATTAAAACCGAACAGTACTCGCGTGTTGTTGTAGCTACTTTTGTCTTCGTCTGGTTCGATTTTGGATTACAAGTTGACCCTTGTATTGTTTTATATATATGCATAGTACCAAAGTGCTTCTTCAAACGACATGACTTAACTTTAACCAGATAGCCACTCTCTTCATGCTCAAAAGCATTTGCTTTTGCTTCTAAAACCGTATGTAATCATTCACGCTTTCCTGTTCCATTTATCTGCCACTCCTTTACCAAAGAAACGTACTTATGTAAGTCTAACATCATGATGTATTTGATTTACAGACTGTTGATTTGCATGATCATGCGCACGTAATCCTGAACTTTGTGGAAATTGTTGGTATCACTATCAGTGTGTCTTTTCTTATATTCTTTTTGTTTAAATGTTAAATTTTAATGATCTACAAAAAACACAATATTTATATACAAATCTCCAATTGTATTTCAGATATAAGAACAACAAAACTATAATATATATATATATATATATAATATTTTTCGTATCTCTAGTTTGAAAATAACTGATCGTTTTTGTAAGAAAATAGAGGTCTTCAAATATTTTGAACATGAGCCACTATAATACATTATTTATTATAATATGAGTGTGTTTTGGATTTTAAGCCAAAACTTTGGTAAGGTTGTATATGCATGTTTATATATCTACAAGTGAGAGAAACCCTGAATCTTTTAACTAAGTGGAAAAAATCAAATATACAGATATTTTATCACTTATCAGTCGTGTCTACGTAAAAGTAATCTACACCTGAGAGTAACAAAGGAGAAAATAATTTGTTCAAAAAATAGAATAAAAGAGAAAATAATACTAATAACTCTTTAGTCTCTAATCTGTAAAAAAAAAAAACTTCAATGTAATTTCTTATAACTTAAATAATATATTAGTTTCGAACTCTCTAAATTTCTGTGATTTAAAGAAATCGTGTTTATAAAACTAAATTTTCTGACGAACACATGCAAATGTAGCCGTTGAAAATGTAAAAATTGACCGAGTAACAAGAGTGAAACAGACAAACATATAAAGCTTGCTTACCGTTAACATTTAAGTTTTTTTACATATTTGCCCCATATCATTACATATATTACGAAATAAGTAAGAAATTTTACATAAGACTCAAGATCAAACACCAGAGAAGGGGCATAATACACACACAACACATAAACTAAAGAGAGATTCAAGAAGCTTTTGTTTTTTGATTTTAACAACTAAAGATCAAATTAATTAACTAATTAAACATTCATCCTCATAGGGTTTGTTTTATTGAGCTTCCTGAACATATAATCTCAGTTTGACGACGACTGGTTCAAGGGACTCCTCCCACAACTCGCCGGTTTCGGACTATTCCCGACGACTCGAGGACTCATCTGACCCAACCTGAGTTCACCCACTCGCGGACTAAACACTTGAGACAAACTCCGGTTATTGACCGGAGTCGAACTCGAACTCGTGACCTTAGGACTACTCGTGTGTCTAAACTCTCCTCTGCTTCGTGTAATAACCTCATCAAGAATCTCTGAGTCTCCTGGATACGAAGTTGTGGATCCAATCTCCGTCTCCTGTTGGAAATTTAAGTTTGAGATGAGAAAAGAAGAAGCTAAAGAAACAGAGAAAACTCTGAGAAAAAAACAGAGTAATTGGATTTGCAATTGGGGTTTTTTGGTTACCGCTGCGAGATTGAAAGGTAAAGCAGGGGCTTCTTCATATTCTGCTGCGTCTAAGTCCTGAAGATGAGCTCCTTTGAAGAATCTAGGGAGGATGTATTGTCGTACGGGAATTAAGAACATGATCATTAAAGGGAACATGACTCCTGCGATTGGGATCCATGTGAGGCCGAAGCAGATTAAGAGATAAACCGTTTGGAATATAGTGAACATTGCAATCGTCTTGAATGGAACAGTTTCTACGAACGTTGCGTGGTAATCCTCAAGAACCCTGCAAATAGACGATTGAGCCAAATTTAGCAAAGGAGGAGTCTTTTTTTGAAGTTGAATGAGAGAAAAAAGGTTGGAGCTTTAGTTACTTGAAGCGACGGCTCGGGGCGGTGAAGAGAAGTAAGATTCTTTCCCAGAACTGGTTTCCGGGTAAGCTTTCGATGGCCATGAATGCAAAGTATCCCCAAAGGACTGATGTTGGGATCATTTTGAGGATAGGCATAGCTGCAACGCATCCTCCTACCATTGTAGACTGAAGGAAGTTGCTTAACCGTTGTTCTTTGACTTCGACTGGTAACAAATCATCAATTTCTTTCTCTATATCGAACAGAGTTTCATCAACTGGAGCATTGAGGTTCCCTGTGAATGTAGTTGCTTGGATTGTCGATTCTTTCAGTTCTTTTAAACCCTGCAAGTGGCAAGAAATTATTCTTAGTTCCGTGTTCTATCAAAGAACGAAAAAAAGACGAAAGTTTTATGGGACATATTCTTACTTGAGGTTGCTGGTATACTAATGGTGTCTGCATGTGATGATAAGCTTCTTGCATATTGTTATAGAGTTGTCCCAGACTCGCGTTCGTCTTGATGCTTCTTCGTGCTGTTGCAACCAATCTGTTCCGAAGCAACTGCACAGAGAGAGAGAGAGAGAGAGAGAGAGAGAGCAAACGTTGATCTCAAAACGCAGTGATACCCTTGAAAAGTAAGGCTCTGGTGAGTTATGTTACCTGATACTTAAGAGTTGCTAAACTTTTGGTATGCATTGGAGATTGAGGAATGACACCATTTGATGGAGGGACTCCGAGAAGACCACACATTAAGGTCTGCATTGATTATGACCAATAAGCACCAAGAGAAAATTCAAGCACTGTAGGTAGATAGAATCTCTTCTTCTTACCAGAAACCCAAGAAGAAGCAAATCGTAGTGGTAAGAAGACGGTTTCCTCAGATTGAATTCGTTCTGCTGCGCAAGCTGAGAAGCTACACTATGATCGAAGTAATAAAGCACAGCAATCATTGATGCTGGAATGAAAGCTCCAATTATGTAGACGATGGGAACATCAAGCATCTCCTGCAAATTTTCAAGTCACTAGGCATTATAAGTCTGAATGTGTAGAAGCACATATGAGCGTAGGGATCAAAGAAAAGGACATACATTTACTACGGTCCAGTTTCCATAAGCACCAGGGGACCAAGGATTTGGGCTAAAAAGTCGCCGGGGAATTCCCTTTGGAACATCTCCTGCTGGAATGTAGGAGACACCGGTCCACACTAGCACCATGAGTGGTACACCATAGTCAGCTATTAAGCTTCTGAGCCAGCCTGGCGAAGAGAAGCAAACTGAGTCAGTAAATCCCAGAGATGAGAAGAGTCTCAAGCTCATGAGACTAGGGATGTGGTTTTGACTTACCAGTTCCGTACCGCCATGATCTGGCTTTTCTGCTTCGAAGTCCAGTTAGAAGAAGGCCAAAGGAGAGAACCAGAGCAAACATCCCATTAGCAAACCTCCAGGAAGGTAAGAACTCCTTGAGCTTCTGATTTTCCCGTTCAGGAATGCGAAACTCATCCACTAGCCCCTGGATAATCATGCGTTAGAGATGGTAAAAAAAAACCCACATTTTCTCAAAAAACCGGAAACTTTGCTTAAAAAGGTTCATACTTTGATAGCTTGTTGCATAAAGAGCATAGCGATAAGCAGTCCAAACAATTCCCCAGCTACACGAGTGAACCTATTGATGATGGAACAAGCTCCACATATAGCCAGCACAAACAGCATCAAAGCAGTCCAAACACAAACCCTACACACACACATTCAAACAGTTTCACAGTGTTTTCTACAGCACCTGATTACTCATTTAAGCAAATCAAAACTCAAAGAAAGCTTACCATCCCGACCACGCCAAGAAGAGGTTCCGTCCCAATTCAGGTCTCGCCTTTGCGAAGTTAAACATGAATGTATACATAATTACAGTTGGCTCTGCAACTCCGAGTATAAGCAGTGGCTGACCTCCGATAACCGAGTGTATCATGCCGCAAATGGCGGTGGATGCTAAGGTCTGAACAGCGGTGAGAACTCCATCTGCGGAAATTTCAGAACCCAATTCGAAAACCATCAGATATAAACTGCAAATCTCTGATACTGGTTGATAGTGATGTGGAAATTGATAAAGATGGAAACTTTATTGGAGAATCTAGTTGCAATTTACCGGTGCTTCTTTCCAGTTGTTCGCCGAATGAGATGACAGGAATCGCAGACGCGAAGAATATGTATGTGGTGGGAGCCAGAATCCTAACGCAATTAAAGCTCATAATCCATGAATAATTCACATATATTTATAAAGGTATATAATCAATGAATATTCATATACCTGAATCCAGCTTTGAATCCTCCGGTCCAGTCTTGCTTATAGCACATCAATCTCCCTTTAAGATCATTCCTGATTCCTTCGAACGGCACAAAAGTCTCTTCCATGACTTTCCACACTCACTCGCTCTGCTTCGTTCAGTCAATTCGTCAAACACTTGGAGTTCTTCTGCAGTGATAGATACTCTCCGATATGGGAAGAAGATTGAGCTCAAACCCGATTTAAGGGGGGAACAACTCATAAACTACTTCAAACCGGACAAACCCATTTTGAAGAGCATCTCTCAATTCAAGTTTAGCGAAGAGCAGGAGAGAGAGAAATGCAAGAAAACCCAATAAGGAGGTTCGTGAGAAGAAGAAGAAGATCGAATCTCGATGAAGAAACTGGGAAACGATACATGGAATCAAATTTACATGATATCGAGAAATCAATAAAAGAAAGAGAGAGAGAGAGAGAGAGAGAGAGAGAGAGAGAGAAACTCTGTATTATCTTTGATTTGGATGACAAGAAAGTGGTGGTTCGTTGAATTACATGAAGCTGCAAAAAATGTATTATGTGTTTATGTCTGGTGGCAACTGGCAAGGAAGATGAAGCCGAAGGAATCTCCATTTATATAAGCTACTGAAATAAAAAATAAAAATATTTTATAATTAAAAACAAACAAAAATACAACCAAAAAGGAAGAAAAAGATGATTTAGGAGAGACGAGACAATTGCGTGAATTTTGCGATTGTTGGAGAAATTATAAGAAAATATATTACCTTTTTCTTTTCTTTTTTGCATCATCATTCATTGTTTCCCCGCTTTTTTTATTTATTTCATAATTCAAACTATACTATACTGAAAAAATGGTCAAACTGTAATAATCTATTTTCTTTTCTTTTTTTAATAAGAATTTCTCTTTTCTTGCCAAAAACAAAAAAAAAAATCAGTGGGGAAATTAGTAAAGATTAAATTAAAAGTTTAAGAAAACTACATTAATACATAATAATCCACACGGTGGGTAGAATTGAATAATACAGTAAGCAATGTTATTAAAACAATACTCTTTCTATTTTTTATTAGTTGATGTTTTAGAGATATGTACACAGATTAAGAATTAATTTAATTTTTATTTTTTAAAAATAAAATATATTTTTTTGTTAATTTTAAAACAGTTCAACCAATAAAAAAATAAGATTGAAAATTAAAACAACTAAAATAACAAAAATACAATTAATTTTTATATAAAAATTTGAGAATATTATATATTTTAGAATTAAAAATAAATTTTAAAACATTATCTAATAAAAACGGAGGGAGTATTAGTTTTAAGACACGGATACAATTATGCTATACGTGGAGTGCCAATGTACGTGAAAACCGGGAATGGTTTTTTGGAACTCGGAGTATGTTAATGTTAATATATAAAAAAGGGCTACGTTACAAAAAACAAATTCTTAAAAGATGTTACAAACATTAAAAAAAAAAATGGTGAGTGAGATTGACATGCGTCTGTTTGGAGTTATTTGTTTTGGCTGTCTCAATCTGATAAAATATCGAAGTTAAATGCTTACTCTTCCTCGATCTGTCGATCGTTTCGATAATCAATTGGTCAACTTGCATTTTTTAGAATCTTATCTTCTAATTTTCGGGTTTATTAACTATTTGTACTTCATTTCTTCGCAATAATCGTTTAAAGCATCTTCTTTAGTATCTAAAAGTCGAGACTGGAAAAATATTCAGCTAGGAAAAAGGTCGAAATATTTTTTGATATAAATTAGGCATTTATGATAAATAGGAATCAATAAACCATGGCATATAAGATATTTTTAACATAAAAATACTAAATTAAGGAAAAGTAACATTTTTAATTAGTTGTAATAGAATAGTAGATGCTGCAGATATTATGCATATTTATAATAATCATGCAGTGATGTGGCAATAGTAAGAACTCAACCAAACACGCAGAAGCATCTAAAGAACTAAGAAGCAAACTTGACCTAACTATCCCATCCCATTTGATTTTAAATTAATTTAACTTTTTCACTTTCTTTTGTCGTCAATTATAACTTTTTCACTAAACTAAATTAATATTAATTATTTGTTAGGATTTGGATTCAGATACGTTTAAAAGTTGTCTTTCAAATGTTTGGCTGCGGTTTCGCACGCATAGCTTAATTTGGCTCCTTTAAACATGACCCATAAGAGACTTAAGAGTAATTAAATTAGTAAAGGCCAATTAAATAAAAAAAGCTATATATTATATTTATACGTGAGGAATGCACGGCCCACTCTTCTCCATTTATCTTAGATTTTTGATATGTGCTTTGCTGATTTGTTTTTGAAATATTCGATAAGTGTACGGATAATTATGGATTCGTTCCAGCAAAAGTGTATATTTTGCAGTTATAAAAAGTGTATTTGTAGAGGTTGAAAGTGTTATGTGGATGTGTTACATTTTGTAGATAGATAACATAGATAGATGTTAAGGGGGACACTATATTATATATAATGGTTATGTATGCACTTGTGTGATACACGTACATGTGCTTACGCATATATACATAACAAATACGTAATATATAATTTGGAAAAAGAGGTTCTGACCCATGTGCTATAGACAACTCGACGCAATCTCACGACCACAATACATTAGAGATCTTTAATTATTTATTTTGGAACGTTTTAGAGATCTTTATTTCCCGAGCTAATTCCACGATTTTTTTTATTTTAAAATAGATTACTCGAGATTGGTTAACAAAAGAAAAAATATTTCTCGAATGCAGAATTTTAAGATATTCTCTGCAGTGATCACTCAGTTTGTATAAAATTAAAGCTTATTGGGGTTTTTGTAGTTATCGTAAATACTTGTAAATACATGTATGATGTATTGTTCAGATTACTCAAACCACGAATTATAGTAGCGATACATTTGATTAGAGATAAATTACTCAAACCAAATAAAAATCATGATAAGTCATTGGGTAATTTAAATATATATAAATAGTTACATTATGTGATGATATAGTTTGTTTAAATTATCATGTAGCCGAAGAACTCATAATCGACGGCCTACCATGCCTCAAATGACGTTGTAATCTACGTAACCCTTCCACAGTTTTTTTCTCCTAAAGCATATACTTTGTATCGGGACCTTTCCTCGTGGGTCCATACCTTGTTTATTCAAAGAGTTCAAACGATAACAAAAGTATTATTAAACAATCAAAACGATATACAGTTCGTGTGATTGTTTCGTTGAATCCATTTTTTATATATTTAAAAAATAAGTAATGTGTCGATCAAGTCGTAATTTCATATTTGTGCTTTTTTGTTGTTATATTCGTTTTTTTTTTCTTTCTAAACAACTGTTACATTCGTTTCAACTCATTCATCTTATACGATATGAAAATTATGCACAAGAACGCAGCTATAAACGTTTATATATGATAGATTTTTTCAATAGACAAAATCGGCAGGATCAATACTTTGACAATTAACGATAAACATTAAAAATAAGAGTTGTAAAAAGCAAATATCTACGGAAATCCCCGTGTGATAATGAATTTAATCGGCTTTCTATAATGCCTTATCGCGTCATTGCATGCACATATTGCTTTAACAAAGTATATTAATAATAAATCCTCTCTTTAGGACGGAATTATTTTTCACGTTTATATGTATATATCTACGCTACATGCTAAAACATATATGCTTACTTTAAGCTGTTATTTAAATAACTTTGTAAAAACAGGGTTAGATTATTGAGTTCTTCTGTTAACTAAAGAACTTTGTAAAAACAGGGTTAAGTAAAGAACTTTGTAAATATGGATTTTTAACATCTGAACGTAATCTTTTGCTCGTAAAACAAAATTAGTAAATACTATCCAGCTGTTATATATTACACAAAAAACTATAAAAGAACCTTATATATTTTATTTCTATATATTCCATGAGGTGATTTTGCCAACCGAATCAGAATTTGTTGTCATTCATAAATCATAAGTATACAATATATAAACATGAGGTAACAGTGAAATTTGTAGATAAAAACATAACACCTAACCCTACACGTACATATGAGTAATTTTCACCATTCGAAATCTGCCAATAAATTACCACTCATTTGCATTTTGTGTATAAAGAAGCATGTTTGGTTTTATTTGACTACCAGTGGAGAATACAGAGAGCCTCCACATAACATTTGTCTTGTCTTTGATACACAGGAGGGAGATTCTTCGTTTTCACTTTCCATAACCAATACGAGGCATGCATGTATATCAATCTCCAAATGTGGTCAATTTAAACTATTTATTTAGCCTTTAGACCCATCAATTAAACTAACAGTGAACATTGGGCGTGGAAGAAGAAGATATTATATAGACAACTCATCGCAGTTTTGTATTTGTCCCCCTTTCCCTGTGCGCAAGTCAAAATGCTAAAAAACAGATTTGTTTTTTTCTGTCTTTAACTTTTTTTTTTGGGGGCAAAATTCTGTCTTTAGCTATTAATGTGCATATTTATAATATTGTAGTGTTTTAAAATAAAATTAATAAGTGGTCAGAAAATCAAAAGAAAATGATTGTGAGGCTTAACCTTTTCTCTAAACCTAAATAACATTTTAAAGAAAATAGTTAACTTATCCAAGTCATCCTAGCCTATTTGTGGGTTCGAAACTCTCAGGTGAGAGCTACCGAATATGTGATCTAGCTAGTGGTATAGAAAACTGATGACAACAAAAAGAAATATCAGTTTTAGAGTATTTAGTTTGTTGAACAAACCAAACCAATTGTTTTAAAGAGGGTAAAACAATTATGGGAGAAAAACAAAAACATTAAAAACATAAGTATTACTATTAAGCAAAAGAAGTGAAGTGAGAAGAGACAAAAACCAACTGTGGATAAAGCCGAAACAGGTGACGGGCCCATAAAAGGCCGAACCTCCACTTCTATTCTCTGTAGATAACTTTATAATTAATCCCATAATAACCAAAACAAAACACCTCTCAAAGTGGTAGGTCCTTTTCCTTCGTCATTTCTCTCATTTAGTCATTTTTCCCCCTTTGACACCCTTCGCTTCAACAACAATTTCACATTATTATGACCCATACATTTCTCCATCATAACTCAAGAACACAAAGACCCTGGTTTCTAGAGTTTTCCTCCATTGGAGGTCAACTACCTAACCTACACTGATCATCATGACCTTAGTTTCATTTCACCACGTTGCTGTTAGGATTACCACTTTGTCTCTCACATATTTTTACTCATTTACCTCACTATTACTTCACTTATTTTCTCTTATAACATAATTTACCTAGTTCGTTTTTTGTTAGTTTTAACTTATAAGTGTAAGATCGATCTCGAGTACAAACACGACCCTGTATCTTTAAAAGTTCTACACTAAACGAAGTACAACAACAACAAGAAAAAGAGATCATCACTCATATCTATAACGAGTTAGATATCATGCGCAACATTTGACCAATATAATCCTAAAAACTAAATAAATGAAATGTATATAAAAAAGAAAAAGAAGAAACAAAGCAATTGATTAGCCTGGGTCGAAATGACGTCTCCTTAACGTTTGTGCGTTGTTTGTTAATGCGTCTGAATCTCTCTACGCACAAATACATTACGGATATAACTTATGTTTAACATTATCTTATATCCTACTATATATATATATTATTTTGTTATTTATTGTTTCCATATCGAAAGAGAGACTGCCGATCGTCGTATGGCATAGTATATACAAACGCTGTCTCAAATTATTCGAACGTCTTTTGTTACTAAAAATATATTTGATGTGCTATGTACAAATATTCTTACATATTTACCACGAACAAAAAAAAAGCAAGACATCTAGAGTTTTCGGTTTGATTCTCAAGTTAAATTTAGAAAATTTGGATGTAAGAAACATAATGTCGTCCACTTATACAATAAAGTATGAAACATCGATGCATGAAGGCTAGACTTCCAATGTCTATAAATAATATTAGTTGCTTGTGGTAGGGTCTTTTCATTATCATGTCTCACTTTCTTTTCCATCCTCATTTTAACTACAGCAAATATAATTTCAATATAAACCATAATACGTACTGTATTTCTTTCTGTATAAATCGTTTATGGATTTTTTATTTTTTAGTAAGAGATCCAGGGAACTTTTGAGCCTCAAGATTTGTAATAATGTCGCATAGTTTGACTTCACACAATTCAATCAAACGCGCGAATCATTACCATTAATTAAATAACTTTGTACGCAATTGATTCAGACACAAGGACCGACCAATTCGGAAACAATGAATGGATATGATTCTTCCTTATAAAAAGCTTTTATGACAGTCGAGAGAAAAAAAGAAAGATGAAAGCTATTTTGCGACGTCGTTCGTTCTTGGTGAAGATTCAAATTGGTGAGCGAAAAGGGTTAACTTCTTGGTCCATAAGCCCAATGGGCCTATTTTGTTAATCAGTATTTGATAAACGGTGGGCCGAACTGTGCTGACCCATAAGGAAAATTTAGTTATGGAAAATCCGTCGACGTATTTTTAATTGAAAACATATATTCGACGTATTTTTAACGCTCTCTGGGTTAGATTATAAGAAGAGAATTGTGTCCCACAAAAAAATCATCGTGAAGCGTTCGAAGGCTATTTCTCGTAGGACGACCATCGGCATCAGAGAAAGAGCTTAGATCTCGTGCGGCGTGATTTCTCCGGTACGTTGCTTCCGTCGATTTTCTCTCGCTCTCTCTCCCTGTATCTCTCTCGGTTTACCTGATTCCTTCTGTTCGAATTTCCTTCCCGCGATCCTGATCCGTGCGTTGTTCATGGCTCGTCACTTCCAGATCTGTCGTGTTTCTTCCGTTTTCTTATACGAATATACGTGGTTTATCGTGATTTGCTAGTTCGTAATGCTGGATCTGTATTGATGGTATTTGATTTTTCTAGATCAGGCTGTTCTCTTATACTCTGGTTTAGCTGTCGATGATTCCCTGAAATTAGATATTTTCTTGGGAATGATTCAATCCAAAGCTGATGATACGAATGAGATCCGACGCAATTTGTAATCATTTTAGGTCCACAATGGTCTCGTTGTCTCCCGTCGCTAGATATATTGATGGTTCCTCAATTGCGTTTTTTGTAAATATATTTTGAAATTGATCAAATCTGTTTTTTGTGGACAGGCTTGAGAAAATGGGGCTATCATTCGGAAAGCTTTTCAGCAGACTTTTTGCGAAGAAAGAGATGCGTATTCTCATGGTTGGTCTCGATGCTGCTGGTAAGACGACGATCCTGTACAAGCTCAAACTTGGAGAGATCGTCACCACCATTCCAACCATTGGTGAGTAAACTTCATGATGAACTTGTCGAGTGTCTTCACTTCGTTTTGTAATTGTATGACACAAATCTGACAGTTGATGTTTGTTTTCAGGTTTCAATGTTGAAACTGTGGAATACAAGAACATTAGCTTCACCGTGTGGGACGTCGGGGGTCAGGACAAGGTATCGTCTCATTTCATAGCATTACAGATTCTGCTTGTATTGTTTTGCTTATCTATCATCATCCATGTATAGTGTCATTTTGTTCGAAGCTGGTTTGCTTATTAGGTTCAGTTCTGGTATTTAGTTCCGATACCAGTACTCTACAATTGATAAGCTAAATCAAATTCAGCCGGAATTTTTTTAGCATGCTTTGATTCTCAAAGAAATGTCATTTTTCCGGCTGACATTTCCCGTATTAACACTCATTTTTCCTAATGGACTATGTTCTCTCAGTTTAAATCTGTAATCGTGGAATTGTGACTAATGGTTCCCTTTTTTACTAATCCAGATCCGTCCACTGTGGAGACACTACTTCCAGAACACACAGGGACTGATCTTTGTGGTCGACAGCAACGATCGTGACCGTGTTGTTGAAGCCAGGGACGAGCTTCACAGGATGCTGAACGAGGTAACGTATAAGAATCAATTCTACATCATGAATGATTTTGTATGCACCATTTGGTTTTTGTCTTTCTGATGCATTTTCTTTTTTGTGTGGCAGGATGAGTTGAGGGATGCAGTTCTGCTTGTGTTTGCTAACAAGCAAGATCTTCCCAACGCCATGAACGCTGCTGAGATAACTGACAAGCTGGGACTTCACTCTCTCCGCCAACGACACTGGTGGGCCAAAATACACACACACACACACACAACTCTCTCGATCTATAATCCAAAGTCCAAACTCTGACATGTTTTACTGATTTGATCATTGTTGTAACAGGTACATTCAGAGCACATGTGCCACCTCTGGAGAAGGACTCTACGAGGGACTTGACTGGCTCTCCAACAACATCGCAAACAAGGTATTAACTGTCATCTACTTGTTCTCTTTTAAACTCAAATATTCTCATAATCATTTTGGGTAGAGTCTGATACACGTTGACGTATGTTGATGTGCAGGCTTAGAAAGGAGGTAGCAAGATTCTTCTTTGCTTGTTTGGTTTATAAATCAAGGATTTATTATCATATTCTTCTTCTTCTTCGTATCTCGTCTCAAATTCAAATCATTTCACGCTTTGTACTTTCCTTTAATGTAACTCATAAGTTTTTTTTTTGCTTTTTCTTCCTGAAGTGGGTATATTTCTTCTTTTAATCAGTTTTTTTCCTCGTATTTAGTTTCATGAGACCAAAATGTTTGAACACATTTCTCTTTCAAAACTGACGAAGGCTCCTTTTGAGCTTCAGAGTGACAGAAGTCGTATCTTTACTTCGCATATTAATTTCGTTATTCAAATTTCAACTCCGTATATATACAATAGAATAAACATTGCACAAAAATTAATGAAAGCACACGAGAGGAAGCAAAATCACATGTAAACTCAAAAGCAATCAAACAAGAAACACCATGTGTGGCTGTGGAGCCGACACATAACCCCTAGACCAGAGTACTCCACCGACAATTGAAGTTGCAAACAATTTGTTGACATTCAAGCAGCGGACGGTGCAGTCACGTATTTGACCCGTTCAACTTCAGTAAGAGCGGTGATGAATGGCTTCAGATTCACCAGACCGGACTCTCTCTCGAGGTCTGCTACTGCTACAGATTTCTTATAATCCAAGGAATCATCGTTGTAAATCTCCCACCATTTGTTCACCAACATCTTGATGTCTTCTCTCTCCATATTCGCTTCCTTCCCTGTGTATCTCCACGGCTTCGAACCCTGTAACGAGAACACACAACGTATTAGATAGAACTCAGAATGAGAAACATCGGTCTAAACAAAACAAAATTGGGATATAAGAAAAACTCACCGCTGCACAGTAGTGAACCACCTTGACTTTATCGAGCTCCACATTTTCTGGGTGACGCCATAGCATCGCTAGGACAAGATTGTAAACCAAAGGAATTGGCTTGTAGATTTTCTTGAAATACATGTTCAGAAAATCCTACACAATCAAACCACAGCTTTAAACATATGAAAAAACAGAGCAAAACAGAGCATAACCAGTCAAATTATATTAAATATTTTTTTTTATTACCTGTTCAGCGAAAGGAGTAGGGGGAGTGATCTTAAGGGTACTTAAGAGATCGTCGTAAATCTTGAGGTCAGGCTCGAACACAAACATTCCGGCGTTGAAGTAGAGAGCCGGTGGTTCTCCAAGCTCTTTTGCCCACCGAACTTTTTCAGGGCATTGTTGGCAATATCCGATCTTGTATTGCGGCGTGTGACTCCATGTTTTCTCGCAAAAACAGTCCATCACCGCGTAGAAGTAACCATCAGGGAGATCAAACAAGTGATCGATGTTTTCATAAACTTGAATGTCTCCATCTAAATATATCATTTTACTGTGCTCAACAAACTGTGCACACAACACCAAAAACCAGAGCATTAAACGACGACGTATTTGCCATAACAAGAGCAATGAAAACGACGGCGTATTGTATACCTTCCAGATACGGAGTTTGGAGTAGTTGATCACGTAATAAGCCATAGCAAACTGGGTTTGGTTCTCGGGTGGGTAAACGGGTTCAATTTCGCGGACAATGCAACCTTGTTCCACAAGTATACGACGGTGCTCCTCGGGAACGTCGGGTAATATCGCCACAACGAGTGGATACGCCGAGTTGACTTTTCTTAATCCTTTGGCTAAACCAACGACTCCTTTCACGTAATCACCGTTTCCGGCAAGAAATGTCACGTAAGCTCGATCACCACCGTGGATTTGCGGTGACGGTTTGGTTATCATCACGGTGGATTTGGCGGGCATGGTTTGCGTAAGCTCCGGAGCCATGTGAGAAGCACGTTACGATTTAGAGAAGTTTTTTTCGATGCTGTTGTTGTTTTCTTTTGTGTTTAGTGATGAAGGACTAAACGGTGATTATTATAGACGCTAGGATTAGTTGTGATCATTAAATCTGGAACATACACGTGTAAGTTTAAAATCAGACGGTGGTGATTGGCGTTTGGTGAAAGTTCTGGAAGTGGGACCATCACGAGAAATTTAAAACTACGGTTAATTAGGGAAAATGCTAGAAGCAGCTACGGTATTGTGAGAAATAGAAGATTTGTTATTTCCTGCGTGTGGGTGCATTGAACATTTCCGTAGTCCTCGCTATTTGTATTTGAATCCTTTTTATATAGGTGAAAAAAACTCATTAATAAGTTTAAATAATTTTGTTTTTGTCATACATTAGTAGCAATTGTGATATTTTTGGTGACACAAACTTCGTTTAATGCAAAATATATAAATATGACGACTGTCAGACTCTAAAGATAATGTATTGCTAATTAATTTAGTAGTTATCATCACGGTTTAGCTCATCACGGTGAAATAATGTCCATTATTGAATTGTCCCACCCCACACTCTCCCACTAATCTGATTTAGTTATCTTTCACTAGGATGGGGCTTTGTAATAAACAAAATATGGGCCTATAAAAGCCCAAAATAACTGATTATCATTCTTGGCCTGAGTGCGCCTATGGGGGATCTGAGTTTCTGGGAAATACGACGCAACTCTGTTGTATAATTCTCCTGGAAAATTCCAATTTTCTGGAGGAAGTTTGTATCTGAATCTCACGCAATGGATCTAAGCCACGTAATCTTACACTCTCACTCTTCTCGCATACTCAATTAGTCAGCAGCTGAATCGAATTCGGCACAATTTTATCGACATCGAGTCATGTTCATCCCAAATTTCAGTTCGAGATTGTGATTTAGACCCTGATATATCTTGATATGTTCAGAATCACCCTAATTTTCTGCAATGAACTAGTGATTGTGGGTACGTTGTTGAGCTTTTTTAAATTTTTTGATTTTCCGCAGCCTGCTGGAGATAACTATGCCAATCCAAGAACATGTTTGTTCCATGTGCTCTTCAAGGTAGTTTCTTTTCTTTCTTAACTGTCCTTTAAGACAAAGCAGCGATCATAACAGCAATTAAAAATCGTAGCTTTGGGCTTTGTTTTGTTCTGTAGGCAGCAGCACTGGCATTCTATATACTCTCAGCTATATTTGTGAACAGCTTTGTTATCATCTTTGTGGTCACTGTTGTTTTAGCTGCTCTTGATTTCTGGGTTGTTAAGAACGTTAGTGGCCGTATCTTGGTCGGCCTTAGGTGGTGGAACGAAGTCAATGAACTGGGCGAGAGTGTCTGGAAATTTCAGTCACTTGACCAACAGGTAACTTAAAAACCCTAGATTCTGATTGGTTTCATGATTCGTTTCGTCTATGTTTGATGTCTCATCCTTGCGTTATTTTCTCTTTGCTGCAGTCATTGGCTCGTTTGAGCAAGAAAGATTCATGGTTATTCTGGTGGACATTGTACCTCAATGTGAGTGTATCTATGTACTTAGTTTATCTGTATGTTTCATTTGTCACCAAAGTATGAAACTTTTTATTATGCTACTCTTTCTTTAGGCAGCTGCTTGGATCATTCTTGGGATATTTTCAGTTATAAGATTCGAGCCTGATTATGTTCTGGTTATTGGAGTTTGCTTGACTCTTAGTGTTGCAAACATCGTTGGATTCACCAAATGCCAAAAAGGTACAAAACTGTAACTCTACAACACATTAGAAATGTGAAAAAAATGCAATCTTTGGATTATATGATTGATTTTTTTAATATACTTTTGTAGATGCCAAGAAGCAGATTCAAGCATTTGCTACACAAACACTTGCCTCTCGTTTCTCTTCAACGGTACAATCGGCTTTAAGTGTGGTCTAGAGACTTAAACACATACTTTGTCTGTTGAATCATGATGTTGACATTGACTCTAAACGTGTTTTGTGTTGCAAAATTTGACAAAAGAAGAGAGAAAAAATAATGAGAATGGGTCTCTTACGATGTCTTTTAAATTTCCTGCCAAAAGTGTCGGTTGGGGATTGACTTTTACCTTAATCATCGCCGGTCATCTTTGATTTGGGTTCCTTAATATTCGTCTGTTTCCATTATTGTATATGTTTCTAGTTTACTTTCTTTTTAGTTTTTTTTTTCCTTTTACAAAGCTTTGAAGTTATTGCTTTTGTGAGAACATATTCCGACCGATCAAAGTCAACTCTTATAGTGTCCGAGTTTTGGCAACATGCATTTACATTTACTTACAGTTTTTTGAATCTTCACTTTTTCACCGTTAATGCCTTAGTGGTAGACTCTTACTTAACCTTTTAAATTTTAATACTCTTTAATTAAAAAAAAAAACTCTAAATGGTAGACTTCTTTCAACTCCTTTTATTGACTTATTTTACACTTCCTTAAGGTGTATAATGTATACACTCTAACTGGCACTAGAAAAAAACAGAAATGAAAAGAAAAAAATAAAAAAATAAATGGAAATGAAATACATATAAGAAAATAAATAAATTTGTTTGGTTTCTCCCCTTATTTTATAAATAAGGAATACTTTTGTTTTATATTTGTTTCTATAATTTTAAAAACAAATTTGAGAAGGAATGATATAAAAAATATATTATTAGTAAATGGTAGGAAAAAAAATTACTATTGGTTATCAGTTGAAGCTTTAGTCTATTAGATCATGGGTAATTACTTAGTTATCAAGTTATGTATATTTAAAGATAGAAAGTACTTTTTCTATAAGAGCATAAAGAAAAAAAAATGTATACAATGTAACAATTGGAATTTCGAACGGAATTTTTGTTTTCTTTTTGTAAAGTCAGGATAGTCAAATTGGTTGAGTCAATACTGCTGGAATTTTCTTTTATTATAACCATTAAAAATCTATTAAGGTGCGGAGTCCTTTAGAATTGGGATCCCTTTAGAATTTAATGTTTTGATTATGGGATGTTTCTTTGAAGGGAATATCATATCACATGCTTTATCAAAAACTCTGATACATCGAACCTCAACCAGAAGATGGATCTCCAAACTCTGATACATGCTTTAGACCCTACCTTTAATGCAGATATTTATATAGAAATACTACATAAATACATGAATATGGACATACATGAATACGTCTATTTATGTGCGTTGACGAAAAAGAACTACAAATGATTTTTTCATGGTCATGCCTTTCGAGTTTTGAACCACATATAGATGCTTTAAAGTTTAAAGTTCGAACCTCATTAGAGGATTCTCCTCTGCGTCATCATCTCTACGTCATCGCTTCTACGCCATGCACAACAAAAATATTTATAAGCAGTTTACAGATTATAAATAAATAGAATTCAGAAAATAAAAGAAAAAAAGTTCTTCTTTTAAAGGAGATGTATCACGACTCCTTGACCTAAAACGGATCCATAAATACGAAAAAGATACGAATACATTGGCCCTCTTCGCTTTTAGAGTCTTATCTACTGCCCTGTCATTTTTAAACGTGTTATTCGATTTTGAGATTGACCTATCTTATAGAGATTTTTTGTTGGAGGCTTATGTGTTATGTCGCATCAAATCGGAACTGGACATAACCACCCAGATGACAAAAGAAAAAAGAAAAGAGGCTTTGCATATGAATTTGACAGAATTTCGAGCGTGTAAGTTAAAAAGATTGTGGGTTCTACTTTTGGTACTTCTTTTGATTTTGATAGATCGTAAACGTCTTTTTAGGTTGATTGTTCATCTTTTTGTTGATTAATTATCTCTTTCTCTTGTGGTTTTTTTTTTTTACATTTTTCTAGTTTCGTTTAGTGAACCAAATTACCTGGAACGATGAGACGATCAAAATAAAAAAGCCAACACCCATTAAAATTGCTAAATCTGTAACACCACGATTTTTTTTTTTTTCTAAGTCTAACCAAACTGGATTCAAGTTTATATTTCTTTTGTTGTTTTTAACCTTTTTAAACGTGTCGTAGTTTTCGTTTAAGCAAATAACCTAATTTAGGGGTGTGGATCTATCTCTAGTCTCTCATACATTTTGGCATCAAAGTGATTTTCCTTTTTAGTCTAATGAAATTTGCATTCAAGTTTGGTTTAATGTCCCCGATATACACAATAGTTGCTGTAAACAGGAACATGTTCTCGCAGTAAGTAAATAAATCACTGAGAATCGATTAATACAAAATAGCGGTCTTTTTCATGTGAGTAGGAAAAAATAATATTTTTCTTCTTCTTGTCATCAGCTTCTTTGGGCTGTCATACAATATCAAATTTCCAATCGATGTAACAATTCACTGAATTGGGTATTACAACAAAAAAAAAAAGTTATTTTCTTTACTAAAAGTCTAAGATACTGAAACAACCCAAATCTAACCTATATTCAAATCAAATTGACACGTCACCACTTGTTTGTGTTTTTGTCGTAGGCTGAAAGTTAGAAGCAGACAAGTGTCTCAAAAAGACACTGAGATCTTGATTCGCTTCTCAGGTACATACACTTAATCGAGAGTGTTGCTTTCCCAAGAACTATGGAGGCTACTATTTATGTGTCTTTGTGTAATAATATTGTGTTTACTTGCATTACTTAAACTCTTTTTACTTTAATTAATACTATTATTAACATTTTTTCAACCCTCCATTTTAATATAGTGGGTCGCTCTGATATGTGCGCATCAAAATGTATTCGATAATCCTTTTTGTGTTGTATATTTGTAAAATTTTAACCCAGTATAATGTGTAGTTGATTAGAATGTTTATGTTCTTACATAGATGTTCTCTTTGGGTTTCAATGCTTCTATATTCTTACGTTAGTACATAGGGAATCATGCATGCATGCGACTATAACAAATCTTGTGGTTTATTTTTTAATAGTTATGAAATCACAATAACACATTTGTTTTTACTAATCAATGTGCACTATATGTTTTGTGATAAGAATCATTTATCTTTTTAGTTTGTTACACTTACACATGTTAATAATTGAAACCGTCGTGACCTGTTTTAGTAGCCTTTTCCATTTCTTTAGAAGTTCGTCTTTACTGAGACAGGGTTTACAGTAAGTAATTTTCTCTTCTCGTGAATTCTCAAAGAATTAAAAAAAAAAAGGCAAGAGAAGGTTGCAGGTGTTTTTTTCTTTCTTACAGCAAATATTAAATTATCACATACATTATTAATAACTTATACATTGTTTATCAGTATTATTTTAAGGTACGATACAATTTCGTTGAAAAGAACTCATAAAAGTCTTACCGTTTGTGTAACTATACGCATAGAAGTCATAGTGATAGATATAGGAAAGACGCCTCTTTGACTACTCATCAATCTTATAAACAAAAATGTGCTAAAGTTTCAAAAGCAAAGTCCATAGCTCGCCTAACTCCATTTCTCATTTGACTTTGCTTCAAATGTCAATAGTCCTATGTTATTTAGCTACATTCAAATTTGGAAATTAAGATTTGTTTTTACTATATACTCAAAGATAGTTCCATCGTAAACTAGTTTTAGTATTACGCAATTGTTTACCGAGTAGTTTCTTAATGCTAGCTAATTTCAAGAAACATAAACATTTTTTTTAAGAAAACTCGATTTGTTGAAGAAACAATTACGTATTAATTACAATTCCATATAAAGTACAACCAAGAAAAATACTTAAGACTATTCTCATATTTTTCAAAAATAAACATAAAATTGTTAACATAGCAATAACAGTGAAATTATCTCATTTTGTAGCCTATATACATAAATAAACACATGAAACTCTTTTAGTTAGAATTGTAAAACATTGGAATTTTACATGTCACTGATGCACAAAGGGACTAGTTTGATCAGTTTCCATCCACAATATTCCGGTAAAAAAAGCAATATATAGTTCCATTTTATTACTAGTCATTGATTCTACCCCATAGTCTTCTGGAATAATATCATTTCATAAAGAGATCACAGAATATGTTGAAAAATGTCGCAGATATGGGAAATCAAAGAAGTACCAAAAAAAAATCGACGAAATTATTGTAGATAAAGTGAGTCGATGATATTCCATAAAACTGTAATCTTATCCTTTAGATAATCTAGTACATTTGTATCTACCTGTAATAATTTCACGGGTCATTTATCTCTAATATCCTTATCCATAAAGCGAATCGATGATATATATTTTAATAGTGATCCGGACCGGAGCTAGAGATTCATCACGCAATATGTTGTTGTTCGTAATGACATGATCTTTCTGTAGACAAGCATGACTAGTTCGATAGATAGACTGTGGACAAGCTCATTAGATATAATCACACCGTGTGAAGACCAATTGGTCCATGCGAAATGACTTTGTTTGGAAGTTGAATCGATTCCACAATCTTTACGAGTTTACATTATGAAATGTAGTTTATCAACCATTTCCCACCATCGGTTTATTTATGTTAGTTATAATTATTTTATTGTATCAGTTCATATAAATAAAATTAATGGTTTTTTAATTTAGTAGAAAAATAAGCACATATTTAACAAACACGATTTAGCTATGATTCATTATTTTTTTCTATTGTCTCGTTCATAAAACAATATGTGATTGATAAAGTCAATTCGCCCATTGAAATCAGAGTTGTTTTAACAAGTAGTATACAACAACTTACGTCTGCGCTACTGTGTGGTAAAATCTAGAAACTCTATAAAATAGAAATCTTAACCAACGAAAAACAAAGTGAGAGTGCGTGTTACTATGCATTTGAACAAGTCAAAGGGTCAAACCTTAAGCATTTTAAATCACACAAAAAGTTGACGGAATGGAGCATAAATTATTATAAGAATAGTATATATTATACAACATAGTTGCAAAATTCCACTTTAGAAACAAGAATAAAAAATAATATTGATTATCACACTTATGCCGTGTTCCAGTCACTCTTCATTCTTCTACTTATTTTCAAATGCCCTTAATAAATTACTACTTTTAAAATCCTTTATTCTCGTGTTCCTTCACTATATATATAAAAATCACACATTGCTTAAACACTTCAAAATCTATCCACAAAAACCTTTCACACACCATCTCATCTCTCTCTCTCTCTTTTTTCCTTTTCTCATTAAAATAAAGAAAAATGGAAGATTACGAGCGAAACTCAAACTCTCCAGCTCATGAAGAAGATTCCGATGTACGGAAAGGTCCATGGACTGAGGAAGAAGATGCTATTCTCGTCAACTTCGTCTCAATCCACGGCGATGCTCGCTGGAACCACATCGCTCGTTCCTCTGGTATCAAACTAAACATCAAATCTCTAAATTAATCGACATATTTATTTTTTATATTAATAATCCATCCTTATATGTATTCGTATATGCAGGGCTTAAGAGAACTGGTAAGAGTTGCAGATTAAGATGGCTTAATTACTTACGCCCAGATGTTAGACGAGGCAACATCACTCTCGAAGAACAATTTATGATCCTCAAACTCCATTCTCTCTGGGGCAATAGGTATACATATACTAAATATTCAAATGTAAACATTTGCGTTTCCATTTACTATTAGAAACGCAGTACTTATATTTTTTTTTTACAAAAAAATTGTATGGATATAAACTAATATATGCGTACATTTGATGAAATATAAAAGGTGGTCGAAGATTGCACAATATCTACCGGGAAGAACAGATAATGAAATAAAGAATTATTGGAGAACTCGGGTGCAGAAGCAAGCTAAGCACCTTAGATGCGATGTTAATAGCCATCTTTTCAAGGAGACAATGAGAAATGTTTGGATGCCGAGATTAGTGGAGAGAATCAACGCCCAATCATCACCCACCACTTGCGAGCCTATGGAGTCAATGATCACCACCGACCCAGGTCAACCTATTGACGAACCGAATACGGTCGAACCGGGTTCTGTTCGATTTCACCCGCATCATCATCAGCAGTTCGTACCGGCGTCGGAATTGTCCGCAACGTCTTCGAATTCGCCAGCTGAGACGTTTTCGGACGTTCAAGGTGGGGTGGTCAACGGGTCGGGTTATGACCCGGTGGGTCAAACGGGTTTCGGGGAGTTCAACGATTGGGACTGTGTTGGTGGGGACAACATGTGGACCGATGACGAGAGTTTTTGGTTCTTGCAGGACCAGTTATGCCACGAAACGGCATCGTATTCGTATAATTAAGAAAAATATACGATTACGATACGTAACGAGGAATTCAATTGCGTCACGTTTGGTGTAATATTCATTCGTGCGTGATGCCACTTTAGATACGGCCTTTGGTATACGAATCTTGACTTAATTTAGTATGTTTTTTCTTTTCCGTTTTCTTTTTTTCCTCGATCAAATTATAAGATCTGATCATCAGGCGAGGGTATAATATACTTGTGATTTGTGATATATGTGAATTATTAAATATAACGTTTTTTTTTTCCTTTGAAAATGGTCAAGGATAGTTCTTATACCAAAGTTGTAGACTAACTAGAATCTGTTCATATTTGGGTTGGTCCGTTTCATTCACAACAAAAATGAACAAGGATCGAGCAAAATAACACTCGTGAAAATATAACCTAATTTATTATTTGACGGTTAATTAACCACTGGTTGGTTCAAATTGTCACAAATCATGAATTATTTTGATATACTAATATTTAAGGACATCTACAATTTTGGTAGTCCAAAATGCTCATACACCTCACGTGAAATATGCATGGTCGATCCAACGAAAAGTACGGATAAAAAAACATAGAATTATGCAAGGACTCACAAATTTAATTATATATACATGCTTTATCAATTCACATCAACAAGTGATTCCTGACGATAATCCAGTAAAACCCTTCCTCCATATCGTTGTTCCCACTCGTACTCTCGATAATAAACTCGTGATTATCACCGCACTGCGATGTTTCAACCACTGAAATTCTCTTCCTCGTTGTGTTTTCGTCTCCGGCGACATTTTTGTAAAGTTTCACCGCCGACGAAGAAGCATGATGATCTGCTGTCTCCGGCTCGTCTTTAGGCGTAAGACGACAACTCATCAATGCTTTGAAGAGCATCACTATCGACGCCATGTGTCTCCGACGTCGTAGGATATATGCTTTAGTTTGCGTTGATAATTGCGTACCAGAAAACATATGTATATATAATGTGTGCGTTTGTGTGTGAGCTTGTGTCAGTGTGTGTATAGTCTTAACAACCATTGTTGAATGTTGAAACAAGACAGGACAAAGAAGAAGAATCTAGTTTTGCTCAGTATTGTTAATTTACGAAATTGACTTGACGGGATGCCAACATGGAGCCTGTAAGAACAGAAAGTGAGGGCATTATGGTCTTTCGCAGCTTATGATTTTGATGTTGTGGAGAAAGAAAAGAGTTCATCTTCAGCAAGAAACACAATTTAAAGAAAAGAGTAAGAATGTTAAAGAGAAGTTTTAAAGAAATATTCTGATCTAATCCTTCCATATACCGCCAGTCAATGATGGTTGGACAACCTTCTAGATTCTCCCTTTTTTGCCTAATACAGTATTAACATTTTGGCCAATAAATATATTGTGTTTCTTATTTTTCAAAATTCTATTTTCGCGAAAACAATTTTTTTTTGTCTATCTAAATATCTACATGATATTTTTTTTTTCAATACTACTACAAAATAAATATAACTGCATAATAAACCTAATTTTCATTTCATAAAAAAATTCAATAATTATTTTCCTTAATTATATATTTCTAGGGTAGACAAGACTCGCTGAGTGAGTCCAAAGGTTTAAGCAATATTTCGCGCTCAAAACCCCCAATTCCCCAAAATCGTCGTCCTCGTTGAAATTGGAAACCCTAACTTCTGAAATCGAAGTGGGATCCTGATCGAATCGAAGGTCGTATTGCTTCTGTATTGGATGATAGCTTCCCGGTAAATTCGGAACCCTAATTGCAATGGGTGGCACGGACGCGAAGGACATTCTCGGACTGCCGAAGACTCCACTGTCTTTGACTCAAGAGAAGAAATCTCGACCCCAGAAGGAGTCCCACAGAAAACCAGATGGCATTTCTCGCGAGGTGAATCGCAAGGATTTTTGCTTCCTTTCTTTCTCGTATCGAGCTTCAGTTTTTCACCGTCGTTGTTGAATCTCAGGTTTATGCGCTTACCGGCGGCGTTGCGCCTCTCATGCCTTCAATTGATGTTACCCAGCTAAAGCGCCGTCCTCCGGCAGATGAGAAGGTCAAATTTAATGGCTTTTGAGACTTCTCTCTTCGCGTTTTAGTGTCATGATTGTTGTTTTATAATCATAAGCGCCCTTCTTTCAGGTCGTTTGGCAATGGCTTCCCTTTACAAACTCTGCTCGGAAAGATGATTTGCAGCTTTACCATTGGGTAAGTTCCGTATCTGTGCAACGCCATTGCAGGAGCGCTTGAGCATTTCCTTCTTTTTATAATTAATGATCTGTATCTTCACAGGTTAGAGTGGTTAATGGTGTTCCACCAACAGGTGACTACTCGTTTGCCAAATACAACAAGGTATTTTTATTGTTTTGCCTTTGATGATTTGTACTCTCCTCTCACCCGTTTATGCTTCTTCTGACATCTTTCTATGATCTTAATGTGAAAATTGCAGTCAGTTGATATCTTGAAATACACAGACGATGAGTATGAGAATCATTTAACGGACCCTGTAAGTGTCTCCTCAAGGAAGAGTTTCTGTTTCGTGCTTTAACAGTAGCTGTTTCTTGCTTTTATGTATGACGTTAAGACATTTTCTGCATCCGCCACTTGATACATGCTTGTTTTAGGGATTGTTGACTTGGTCGATGATTGTGCTCCAACTTGCAGGTGTGGACCAAGGAAGAGACCGATCAGTTGTTTGGATTGTGTGAAAGGTTTGATCTTCGCTTCACTATAATTGCTGATCGCTTTCCATTATCACGGACTGTAGAGGAATTGAAGGATCGTTACTATAGTGGTATGTTTGGACCTTTATCCGTCTTCAAACCGTTACCCGTTCACTTCCACCTTTCCCTTTCATTTGTTTTGCATCTTTGTTCTCTCTGTTTCCATTCCGCGTTGCACCAGGGTTCGTTAGAAAATACGAGGACTGAGAATTCTCTTACGTAATGTCTTTTGTAGTAACTCGGGCCCTGTTGCGTGCTAGAGCTCAGTCTCCAGCAGATGTTGCAAACCACCCTCTGATGAAGGTGAACTTCCTCTTTTGTATTTCTTCATAGCTAACTAAGAAGGACTCTTATGTTCATATATTTGTTTAATTTAGCAATCTATCTTCGTCGTGTTATCTGAAGGGAACATCTCTATAAAAGCTCTTTTTTTCGCAATATATTGGCATAACAGGAGCCTTATGATCTTACACGCGACAAAGAGCGCAAACGTGCATTGTCCATGGTCCTTTCCCAGAGTAGACATCAGGAGAAGAAAGATGCTGAGGTTTTTCACGTTAATTTTGAATAAACATCCCACCGAAAAATATAAGATAGTTCTTTGCTTTCTCTTACCCGTCTCCCATGACTACAGATTCTTGCTGAGGCTAAAAGAATCACAGAGATGCGTTTAGCCGCACGTGTAAGTGCTTACTTAAAATCAATATGCTCACTCATACTAACTACATAACAATAGATGTAATGTGCTTACCATGATTGAAGATACCCTTTTTTTTACCTTAGACGCATATCATAACTCTATCCTTATCATTTTGTCCATAACACTATTGGTCTTTTTGGCTGTCCAGCGTGCGGAAGAGACTGATGTGTCTGCGAATGAGAATATGGGTGTTGATAGAGCTGATGGGGTAGTTCCAGGGCGTAGTGTATCTCCATCATCTAATTCTCAGCTTCCTGCAACTGCTGTGGCTCCATCAACACTAACTATGGCAGATTATGCCTCCACCCTTGCTTCTCTGCGCATGGTGAGTGTCTCTCTTTTCTTCTCTTCCCTTTTTTCATTTGTGTCTCCAACCATCTGATTCTTTTTGGTGAATCTGTGAAATTTGCAGCTTCATGTATACTTGAGAACCTATGGACTTGAACAAATGGTCCAAGCTGCAAGCTCAGCTGTTGGTCTTCGAACGATCAAGCGCGTTGAGCAGACTCTGCAAGATCTGGGGGTTTGTTTTTGCTTCTAGTTATGTTTAACTCTTTCTGGTTTTCCTAATATAACTTGCTTATCTTCCCCATTGAATGATGAATGAGAGTCTCACTCAAGCTAGCTTTTATATGTCTTCTACTACTAACTTATGGGGATTTTGGGTTTGTTAGAGGCTAGGTTACTATCAGTTTATTTGATTGGAGCTACTTTTAAAATTTGCCAAATGGATTTTGAGTATATAGAGCTTTCTGTCTACAGGTAAACTTAAAGCCAAAAGTTCCTACAAAAACTGTATGTGATGAGCATCTTGAGTTACGAAAAGAAATCTTAACACTATTGAATCTTCAGAAGCAGGTAAACCATAGGATACAAGTTCTCTAATAGATTCACAAATGTAGAGCTACTTCTTTTTTCTAACTTTGTCTCCTTTTATGGCCTGGTTCGTAATTTCAGCTACAATATAAAGAATCAGAAGGTTCGTCACAACAGCGTGAAGGGTCATATGCCGCCGCGATGCCTGATACTCCAAAGGTCAGCATCAAAAACTTGAATCGCTTTAATTCATACTGCAGTTTCATCTTCCTGTTGATCTCTCTAATCCATTCATATTTGATCAGGATCGAGTTTTTGCAACTGACCCGTTCAGTTTTGGAGGTACATTTCCTTTTATCTTGTTAGTTTCAGCATTGTATCTACTTCTTAACCATCTCCAACTTCATTTTCGTGTGGATTTCAGCTGAAAGACCAATCATCAAGAAGGAACAAAAGCGCAAGGTGGTGCATCTTTCTTTCCATATCGATTTCTCTGAAAATCCTATGAATCTCAATTTACTGTACGTTTGTGAATTGTACAGGGTCCTGGAAGACAATCAGACACTCCTTCACCAGCTCATAAGCGGCCCAGAAAGATGAAAGCATCTGATCTCTAAAATATCTAGTCGCAATTTACATGTGTATGTATATATTTACCTTACTGCACAATTTTCAGCTTTTGCATTGTCCCGAGAATCAAATCTTTCGTTTGTGATTTCAAGTCTCGTTTTGAGCCTCACACTGTGAAGACCAGACTGGTCTAAAACTCATCAACCTAATGAATTATTAAACTAAAAGCTTTGTAGACGCATTATTAATCTGTTGTTAACAATTTTAACTGAAATGCTTGTATAATACAATAATGAGATCACAGTTTATAAGCTAGCAAATTATTCATTGTCCAGCTCGTTAGTTTATATTAGATTCGGCCCAGTAGTTATATTATTATACTCTTTTCATAATCGCGCCAAAATGAGAAAGCTTCCGACAAGTGATGAAGACGTGTGGTTGAAACAGAAACTGTTGATGTGAGCGATAGTTTCTCACAACTTGTGTGTTGTTTCGGCTGCTTGAGAAGGGATCTTCCCGTTCTGATTTTCTGAGAAGACCCTTCACCCAACGAGGATGGAAAATGGCTTTGGAGTTGATTTTCAACCGGAGAGTTAATTCATGGTTCATTTACATGTATCATTCTCACTTTCTCGTTACTTCATCCTTTGATTGTCATCCATCTTTGGTGATATGTCCATGATCAACCGTAAGTTCTCTCATGTTAAAGGCAAAGTTAGAAACAAAACAAAAAGCTATGATGAGCTCTAAGACTATCTCCGATCTATTTTTCTATTTTTTTGAACTTTAAAATAGAAGTATATTTCTGTCAATATATTTCTATTTAAGAGAAATACTTCTATTTTAAAGGAAAACAAAAATATACCTATTTTTTTTCTATATTTTTTCTTTTAAAATGACATCTCTATTTTTTAAAAAAAAAATAGAGAAAAAAATAGCAATATATTAGAGATGCTTTAAGCTTTGTTTTTGCGAATCAAAGCTAGATTCCAAGTAAGTAGAAAGACTTTTGACCTTTATCGTTATGGTAGATGATAGCGGTTAGTTTCAGTTTTAACTAAGCTGTTTCTATGATGAAGATTTGAAGACTAAGCTGTTCAGTGATATTTTGGTAATTATGAATTGCTGATGCATGCTAAAGCGGTCATACTTTTCTGATTCCACCATTATTAATTGGACAATTAGTTATGATTAGTTGTATAGCTGGAAGCAATAAAATATCGAATTGATGCTAAGATCAATCCAATAAAGAAGGAGACTAGCAACATATTTCTGCAACAATGTCTTCGATTGATTTTTGTTTGTTACATCTTGTAGATTTAGTTCCATATTGGTAATACGTTTGTGTTATTTATAAATAAATAAAGTAAACAACTTTTTCTATTATAAATGCAAACGTTATGACTAAATCTCAAAAAAAAAAGATTTGTAATAAAAAAGAAAATTATGTTTCTATCTAAACAACAACATAATAATACTTAGTTAAGAAATTAGCGTTTTCAAACTACAAAGCCCAATATTACAAATGAGTTTAAAGATGGGGGAGATGAAATACCAATGTGGTGACAGCTAAAAATTGTATAGAAGCTAAGTCTCCGACTGATTTAGAAGGTTTATGTATTGGTTATTGGAATAAATGCAATAGTATTTTTTGTGCAAAATAAATGCAATAGTATATACAAACGAACTTTGCCAAATGAAACACTAAGTGTTTTAATTTGGGAAATTGTCACACACAAAAATTGTCACAAATCCATTTTTAAAAAGGGAAAAATTTATTTTGCAAAGTGATTCTCAGAAGTATGATACAAAAAACTTGGCTTAGGTTTAACCAATCTCAACTTAGTGAGTTAGATTCATGTAAACTAGAATCGAGATAAACAGCAAATTTGATAAAGTTCAGATCATAACATTCAATTTGACAATTTAAAATTTTCGAACCATAAAGCATCTAAAAATGTGTTCAAATTTGATCAATGAATGAGAGCACATTTTACAAGCTAACAAAATATATTCATCTTTCAACTCGTTAAGTTTATTAGTTTTGGCCCAGTAACTATACATGGTTATGATGCAGGAGAGTAACGAGGTTAACAATTGAAAAAGGAAAAGAGAAAAAAATCTTAGTTTTACTGCTGGTGTTGAGGACACAGTAATGATTTTGCCATTTGTAAAGAAGTCGCCGTTTTGGAAGACATGAGACAATGAGACACAATAGAAGTCTTTTATAGAATACCTCAAAGTCCTCATTTCAGCCCACTTGTGGAGGCTAGAGAAGCTTTCTGTGAAGGGTCTGCCTTTGGTATGATGCTGACCTTTTCCAGGTTAATGGAGGAACTAAAAGATCTTGAAACCTACGTTCCCATGAGCCAACTAGTTAATCTCAAAAATTCCTTTGGCGAGCTAGAGAGACATGGTTTCAATGTTACAAGGCCTTTAGCATGGATCAACGAGCTGTTGGCTCTCAAAGAAAGGCAACTGAATATAATGGAGGAGCTAAATGGTTTCGATAGCCAAAAGCATAAAGCTGAAAAAAGATTTGAGTGAGATGGAAGCCAAGATTCTTGAGATGAAGAGGCAACATGTGGCTATGAAAGAGACAACCTACAAAGATATATGTAGGATGGAGTCATGTGCAAGAGATCTTGGCGTAGAGCTTGAAGATATGGAGTTTGAGTTTGAGTGAAAAGCAAAACTATGTTGATCTCTCTGTGTTTGAGTTAGTTGTTGATGATAGTTACTACTTTTAATGATCCCTCTTCTTTGTTTTTCAGCATTTGTATCGAACTTTAAGCCATCTCTCTTAGCTTCAGTTTTGCTTTTTGTGGATTTCAGGTGAAAACCCAAGCAAGATGAACAAAAGTGCAAGGTGTAGATCAAGATCAAGATCATAGTCGAATGTATTTTGCAGTTTTTTTAGTCAAACAAGCTGATGTGGCTGTGACTTGACATGTGAATCAAAACGTGTCTTATAAGACTAACTAATTAGTAAGTTAAAAAGCCTTTGTTATTAATCTATAATCTTAAGAAAGTTAATATTACTCTTAGTGATTAGCGATAACAGAGATGGGAGAACGACAATTACAAAGCAATTGTACATTTCTAACTTCCTCTACAATATTTAAGCGCCAAAAAAAAACTATATAGCTAAATGAAAAACACAAAATAAGAACAGAACAATTTGCTTTGTAATGGGGTCGTTAATTTAGGCTAGATATGTCAATTTAGGCCCAATAGTTAGTTTGGGTTTCTGATATTCTTAATTTATTACAATAATTTTAAGCGCCAAAGAAAAATTGAAAACTAAATTAAAAAGTAAAAACTAATTTTTGTCAATTTATCTTTCCACAACAATTAAAGCATGGCGGATCGTCTTCTTCCCCAAGTTCTTCGAGAAGTTTCTACTATTTTTCTTCTACAGCTCTAGGGTTTACACTTTTCAGGTTTCAGAAGAAGAGAAAGAGAGAAGTGGGTTTCAGTTTTAGGGTAAAAAAAGAAGAAAAGGCGCGTTTTTGAGCTTCAATTTAGGGTCTATTCAGAGTGAGGAACAATGTTGCAGAATCCGGAGAAAGAAGAGCAAAAATGGTCCATTGCAAAAGACTGTGAAGTAGAAGTCTCTTCAGAAGAAGAAGGGTTCGTAGGTGCTTGGTACAGAGCAATCCTCGAGGAGAACCCGACGAAATCGAGACGCAAAAAGCTCCGAATCCGTTACACGACGTTGCTCCAAGACGACAGTTCGACTCCTCTCACCGAAATCGTCAAACCCAGGTTTATCCGACCGGTCCCACCAGATGCCATGAACGACGGCGTCGTTTTCGAGGAAGGTTCGGTGGTCGACGCCGATTTCAAAGATGGATGGTGGACCGGTGTCGTTGTTAAGAAACTGGAAGATGGTCAGTTCTTCGTTTACTTCGATTCTCCTCCTGACATAACCCAGTTCGAGAGGAAGCAGCTGAGACCTCATCTTGACTGGACCGACACGGATTGGGTCCGAGCCGAAAGCAAGGTATGCAAAAATCGAGCCTTTGTTCTGATTTGCATGTCAAAGTTTTGGACTTTTTGGTTTGTGTAGCTTATTTTATATCTCTCCGTCTTTGAAAATGAAGGAATTGAGTAAGTCCTTGTTTAGATCCGGGACAATGGTGGAAACGAGTCGTGAGATTGGTGTACTGGGAGCTGCGTGGGTCCCTGCGATAGTCATCAAGGAGACTGAAGTGGATGATGAGAAGAAGCTCATTGTCAAGACTTGTAACAAGTCACTGACCTTGGACGCTGATGAAGTGAACCCAAGCTTTACCGTTGATCCGTGCAACGTCAGGCCTATCCCTCCTCCGTCTGTTGTTGAAGAGTATAAGCTGCTAGATCGCGTTGACGTCTTCCATGGCGAGGGATGGCGTCAAGGTCTGGTGAGGGGAGTTCTCTCTGACAAACGCTACTCAGTGAGTTTCGTGGCCACAAAGGAGGAGTCGGTCTTCAAACTCTCTGATCTTAGGCCTTCAAAGGAGTGGGAAGATGGTGTTTGGCGTCATGGTCCAAAGGTACTATTTTCTCACTTACATTTGTCTCCAAATTTGGTTTACTTTGTGAAATAAGTGATAATGTTCATTTCCATTTTCAGAGAAAACCTGAAAAGGAAACTCCTTTAGACGGCAAAAGAAAGATGTTGTTACCTACGGAAACTACGTTGTCCGACATCAGTGCGCTCCGCAGACCGAAGAAACTGAAGGTGATCCGCCCTTGTAATGCTGCAAAAAGAAGTAGAAAGCATACCAGAAAATCCCCGAATCCTGCAGAAAATGTCGAGACAGCCACTGAGGGTGAAACGGAACCTGTTGCTGTGAGTTATAATTTCTCACAACTTGTGTGTTGTTTTGTTTTCGGCTGCTTGAGAACGGATCTTCCCTTTTTAATTGTTTGTTTACTAATCATGTGTAGGCAATGGAATCACCGTTAACTCAGGAATCTGGAAATCAAATGGCTGACGATATGATCAATGGTGCTGCTACGCCAGTCGTAACCTCTCAAGTGATACCAATAGGTAAAGTCTTGATCTTCCTTAGCTCCGGATTCTGTTGACTTCTGTCTTAAATGGTTTAACTTTAACCTCACATGTTGTATCATTCAACACTTAGGTGGAGCTTCTTTAACTCCAAAACCTGATGGATTCTCTTGTTTACTTTCATATCTGCATCATGAAACTGATCATACTTTGTCTTCCAGAAAAGGAATTTGCTCCACCTGAAACCTCTGTCGTAAACGCAGCAATACCGGTGAGAAAACCAGAGGCTGAAACTCAAGGAACGGCATCCCCTGAGAAGACCCTTCAGCCAACGAGGATGGAAAATGGCTTTGGAGTTAATTCAACTGGAGAGAAGGTAGAGTTAATTCATGGTTTTTATTTACATTAATCATTCTCACTTTCTCGTTACTTCGTCATTTGATTGTCATCTATCTTTGGGGATGGTTCTATCCTTTTTATGCAGACGTCTGAAGAGAATAACAGCAACGAAAACAGCTATAAAAGGAAAAGAAAAAGAAAGCATGACTCAAACCTTAAAGAGACTGGTATGTCCATAAATTGGCATCTATTTGATTTCTTACTGAATCCTCCTAATTCTCTATTTGAGTAACTAATACGTGAGTCTTGCAATGGTTCCAGTGGCTGATACAAGTGACGATGATTTTGGTCGGCTCCTTTCTTCGTGGTTCGTCGCAGGAAAATCATCTAATGGTATCGATTCCTTTTTCATATAGATTTGCTCCAGCTTCTTAGATGTGTCCTTTTGAACAGCATGCTAAATAAAGTTGTTTACTTTCTCACTTGTTTTGCTCTATCCAGAGTTGTCCCCTGATCGAACCCCCAATGCGGTTAAGAAGCCCACTGCTGAGGAACCCGGAGCAAATGAGTGTACAGCGATGGTTCTGCCTTTTGCGAAGCAGTCACCGATTTGGAAAGTGTTTGAATCAATGGAGGTCTTTAAAACAGTAAAGCAGAGTCCTCATTTCATCCCTTTGCTGGAGACAAGAGAAGAGTTCCGTGAAGGGTCAGCTGTGGGTGAGATGGTGAAATTCTACAGTCTATTAGAGAGAGTAGAAAACCTGCAACTTGACACTCCCAAAAGCACACTAGAGGGGCTTAAAGAGTGCTTTTCCAAGCTTGATAAGTATGGATTCGATGTCACAGCGCCTATATCGCGGATCGACATGCTCCTCCCTCTCAAAGATAAACAAGTGAGTACAGTGGATAAACTAAAAGCTACTGAGAAAGAGATGGCAGAGGAAGCTAGCAAAATGCAGAAGGTTGAAGAAGATCTGAGAGATATTGAGCGCAAGATTCTCGAGCTGCGGAGCCAGAAAGCTGAACTGACAGAGAAGAAGGATGCTTCAGAGAAAGACATTGCTCAAATGCAGCTGTGTACGGAAGATCTTGAAAAAAAGATTCAACATGTGGAGCTTGAGTTTTGCACGATCGTGTCTGCTCCTTGGTGATATTTCCATGATCAACCGTAACTATGATGAGCTCTAAGATCTGGTTTTGCAAATAAAAGCTAAGATTCAAAGTAAGTAGGAAGACTTTGGCCCTTATGGTTATGGTTATGGTAGATGATGCAATTAGTTTTAAGTTCTTAACTAATCTGTTTGACTGTTTCTATGATGAAGATATGAAGACTCCCTGTTCAATGGTAGTCTGGTGATTATGAAATGGTAATTTATGATAAAAGGGGTTACTTTTCTGATTCCATTAGTAACAGGATAATTAGTACTGTTTAGTTGTGTAGCTAGAAACTTCAAAATTTCGCAAAGATGCTCAATTACAAAAAAATCTAAGATTCTAAACATTAATTCATAAAAGAAAGAGAGATTAACAACATATTCTTACATATAGATAAGATATCTTGTAGATTCATTTCCATATTGATATTACGTTTATGTTCCCCAATTCCCAAATGACCTCAAAGATGGAGATTAACAACAATGTACAGTAAAAAAAAAAAAAAAAAGACAGAAGCCTAAGTCTCGGATTGATTTAGAAGGTTTCTGTACAACTGGCTCTTCACGTTGCAGTAAAATACTCTTCCTTTTATTTTTATTTTTTTATAAAAAGGGCTACTCTCTCTTTTATTGGTTACTGCATGCTGAATTATATTGTCGTTGGATCTAAAAAACAACCACAAAAATATCTAATGTGTCTGTCTTCAGTCTTTCTCCTATGTTACATATATCGTTTCGATTGGCCATTTGTACAAGAGCTTGAATTCGTTTAAACCAGTTGTATAAACCCTACAACTCAGTCTGTGACACATATTAATGCGAACGGTCTTCTTGTCCAAGCATTACGTCTATTTAATTATTATTTATTCAAATGTTCTGCAAAAATTTAATTCAACATATCAATATTGACCCCCTTTTTATATCAATAAAAAAACTATTTCCTATATGTATATATACTAATGGTATAGTAGGCGTATCGAAGGTTGGAGATTTTTAATGTCACATTGTACCTAATTAGGTTTCGTTCTAAATGCTTGACAACGTTCTTTAATTTGGAAATAAACAGGAGCTTAAAAAGTACAATAATTTGTCCCCATATAAATTAATTAAATATATGGATCCATTATATATATATATATATAAATTAGCTAAATTATTTGCTACTCGTATCTACTGTATTAGTTAACAAAAAGCGATTTCAAAATAATGACCGGCAGTTCTTGAGGCTGAAACTTGACAGTTAGAAGTTGGATGGCACATCAATAACTAAAAAAAAGCTAAGCTGACAAACAAAAAGTTGCAAATTATTTGGTGATCTATTAAACAAAAAGATAAAGTTGAAAATTAAGCATTTGTATTTGACCGGTTACTAGAAATAAGACTAACACGGCCATTACAAATTAGCACAACTTGATGTACTATTATTAACCAACCAAAAAAAAAAACAAACACTTTTTATTAGATCTTTTAAACCGAAACATCGTTAACTTTTCGAAGATGATACTGGAACAAGACTGAACATTACAAGATTATAATCTATTTTAATCAAGACTGAACTTTTTATAAGAACTGTTTTTCAACTTTAATCCGTAGAAAAATATACGAGCTGGATACTTGGATTGGCTTGCGTGTTCTAAGAGATATAAAAAGCTATCAGAAAATTCGGTGATGTTTTTCAAATGTGTTATATTAAAGATGTAGTAGACCCGAGCAAAGAAATATGGTTCCATTAATATTATGTACGGACTATGAGAAAAATTTAATATAAAGGCGACAATATTGTATGATGTCGAGCCTCTCCACAATTTCAAACATGAACGACTTCTTACAAAATAATACTATAAATTACAGGATATTCTAGTATTTAATTGTCATGGTCGTTGAAATTTTACAAATATAAAAAAACGAAGTGTGTTTTTGGTCAAGGTCCACATCTTTTGAAAGTGAATAGATTGACTAACGAAGGGTTTCGAGTTTCAACATGTCTATCGAGAATCGAGATCATGGGTCTGTTTTTTACTAATCTCACACATTTAATCATTATATAATTCGAAACCCCAAGTGTTGCGTTGATTCAGTCGAAGTAGCTAGTGAATATGGAAACTAGGAGTGAATGTAATTACAAACAAACATAAGTCACAATAGAAACTGATAATTATGATATAGTAGTGTATATGTTACTGATCAGTAACCACGTGACATACGATAAATGCAATAGTATAAACAAAACAACTTTGCCAAATGAACTACAAAGCATTTTAGTTTGGGAAAATGTCAAAAAAGCGTTCGTCACAAAACCATTATGAAAAGGGGAAATTTTGATTTTGCAAATTGATTCTCAGAGTGTCATGCAAGTTGCAAATTGGGAGAAAAAAAGGTTTGGTAGTCGCAACGAATCATAATAAATTGTTGTGCAAATTGATTCTCAAATTACAAGTTATCCCAGTAGAAAGAGACCGTTTTATATATAATCCACATATCATATATACGCTTTATAAAGTCATAAAAGTGTGTTGTTTTTATATAAAGGACGTATATAATTCAATAAATGGAAAATAGTAGTTGATGATTTTGATGATAAAGACAACTTTCGGCGAACAAAACACTATAGCTTATATAAGACAAAGAATTAATTAATGAAATCTACTGGTTGGATCAATAAATTTCTTTTGTTTCGCTTTTTTTCTTGTATATACATATTGGTATTGAAGATTTAAGAATAAAAATATTAAAATGAACGAGGCCTGTGTCAACCAACTCATATAATATTATATAAACCAACGACTCTCTCTGAGCTTCTCAACTTATCTTCTTTCTCCCTGATCATTTTCTAAAAAATTCACAAACAAATACATTTTTTTTTTAAACAAAGCATCTAAAAGAAATTGAAAAGAAAGTGAAAAAGATTCTAACCAGCGACCTAAAGATCATTTGCAAATTACCACAGTTCTCCGTTATACCAACTGAGCTAATAAGGTTTGTTGCTTAATTTTTGCCTTGCTCGTTGTTATCATTGTGTTCTATTCATTTGTCTCTGCTTTTGGTATTTTAGATCAGAATGGTTTCTTGTATATTTAGATGTAAAGGTTCAACTAATGCAAACGAAAGACACTCATGTTTTTTATTTATTGTTTTTGAAACAGAAAGAGTATTATTTTGATAACAAAATAACAAAATAAATAAGATTGTTTATTTACGGAGGAAAGAGTAAAATTGATATCGTTATGTCAGTTTTCCCTTATATTACAAAAGAGAGTAGATGACTTTAAATGTTCCAAGCATGAAGATGGTTAAGAACTACAACTGCAGCATCAGTTTCATACTTCTTCGTTTTTATTTTCCTCAGATCGAGGTTTTCTTATATTCAAATAAATTCTGCATTCAGCAATTTCATGTAATATAGAGAATATGGTGAAAAGAAGGATAAAGAGGGTGGTGAAGCCATGCGCTCACGTTTAGGGCGTGATTCTTAAATTAGTGAATTAGTTGATGGTATTATTAATTATAATTCCACAAATCATAAAACTTTACGAAATTTTAAATTAAATGACTCGACTCCTACTTCTTGGGTTGGAACAAATCACAAGATATGGAAACCAAATTAGTGTCAAATTTAAATGGAGTTGTTAGTAATTTTTTTTTGGGGCCAAATTAATAATATATTGTGTTGTTTGCGATTTTTTTTTTGGGGGTAAATGTTGTAAACTTTGGGTTTGTAAACCCTTTCGCAAAAAAAAAAAAAAAAAAAAAAAATTGGGTCTGTACTTGGTATGGTTAGGTGGAGCGGACTGGTGACAATAAATGCATATATCATAATATAAAGTATTTATTCAATTCATGCCTATAAAGTATGGTTATGAAAAGTACGGAGTACATAAGCAGATTAATTCATTAAATTTAATATCTGTTTCGTTCAACGATAATGTATATGTTTCACAAATCATAAAACTTTACGAAAATGCATAACTACGTATATTATTAATTTAATAACAAAACTATGATAACTAACTTCCCTCATATGGTAACAAAGATATTTCCTTTGGTGATCACTTATTGTATATTTTCACATTTTGTTCTTAAGATTTGGACCATTCATCAATTCGGGCAGTGTAATATCTTCATATATTATTGACTACGTCGGTTGGATTCATCTTATATCTTTATGGTTCTTCTATCTTCTTTTTTTTTCATTTCTATAGTTTAAAAAAAAAAAAATAGCTTCGGAGTTTCTTTTCAAAGAAAGACAGCAAAAGGGAGAAAGAGAGAATGAAGTCTTTCGCGGCGAAGGTGGAAGAAGGAGTTAAAGGGGAAAACGGGAAGCCGTCGGTAGGTCCGGTGTACCGGAATCTTTTGTCGGAAAATGGTTTTCCTCCTATGGATTCTGATATCACCACTGCTTGGGACATTTTCAGGTACACTTATTTATAATCTTCTAAAAAGATAATTTTCATTTACTGTGTATAATTATTGTTAATAAGTCTCTTATTGGTTTTGTTTTTTTTTTAATAAAGGTGAACTCATTCGAAATCTAGAAAATGTTAGGTCATTAATCTCTTATTGGTTTTGTTAGTAAATCAGTGGAGAAATTCCCTGACAACAAGATGCTTGGATGGCGTCGAATCATCGATGATAAGGTGACTTCTAAAGCAAAGTTTTCTTACTAAAACAAAAGATTTTGATCAAAATTTATGTGTACAGATAAATTGTTCTTATACGTATATTTGTACGGATCGGTTAGGCTGGACCGTATCTGTGGAAAACGTACAAGGAAGCTTACGAAGAAGTTTTGCAGATCGGCTCTGCATTACGAGCTCTCGGAGCTGAGCCTGTAAATATATGTTTATAATATACCTCTATTTTCTCATCAAAATCAACTCATTATTCTTATTTAATGTTCTTGGAGATTATTTTATATACTGAAATAAAATGGTATATGCAGGGGTGTCGAGTAGGAATATATGGAGTTAATTGTCCTCAGTGGATCATAGCAATGGAGGTCCATCTCATTTCTTTCTCTTTTTTAATATAAAAATCTCTTGAGATATTTTTGTATATATCAAAGTTTCTTACAATAAATATATAAGCATCTTTGTGAAAATATTTAGGCTTGTGCAGCTCACACTCTAATCTGTGTGCCTCTATATGATACATTGGGTAGGTTAAATTTTACTTGCTTGTGTCTATATATATAAATGTTTGCGACTTAAATCAATAACGTATGACTCAAACAAACAAAATTATTCTTTAGGTTCTGGAGCAGTGGATTATATCGTTGATCATGCGGAAATAGACTTTGTATTCGTCCAAGACACCAAGATTAAAGGGGTTATAAGATCTTTTGAAATCAATTTCACTAGTGTTGAAAAGTATTTATCTATGTGGGTAAATTAACTCTCTCTTTTTTTAATCTTTTTTGAAATTTAGCTTCTTGAGCCGGATTGCAAATGTGCTAAACGACTAAAAGCTATAGTTTCCTTCACTAATGTGAGCAAAGAACATAAGCTCAAGGCTTCACAAATTGGAATCAAAACATACTCTTGGCTCGAATTTCTCCACATGGTTCGTCTCTCTCTTTTTTACTTTATACTATAAATGATAATTTTGCATCCTTTACGTTAACTCTATATTTTATGGTCGGACCATTCTTTGAGGTATTTAATGTCTATCACATGTTAAAACAACTTGACGGCATTTGATTTTCGTGTATATGCACAGAATTAAATGAATTAGGTGGCCCGTACGTATAAACACAGAGACCATAGTTGTATATGATAAAATATCTTTTCTTGTTGACTATTTGACCAGGGACGTGAGAAACCGGAAGAAACTAGCCCACCTAAGCCGTTTAACGTATGCACCATAATGTACACGAGCGGCACAAGCGGTGACCCTAAAGGTGTGGTTTTGACTCACGAAGCGGTCGCGACTTTCGTTGTTGGGATGGATCTCTACATGGACCAGTTCGAAGACAAGGTAACACTACTATGAATCAATTATTAAACAATACTAACAAATTATTCAACCTTTTCGGTAGATTAATCCCACTCCCACGCCATGTAAAAGAAAGCTTGATCCTCTGTTTTCTTTGGGTGGCTTAAATACAAGCAGATGACACATGACGATGTGTATCTCTCCTTCTTGCCGTTGGCTCATATTCTTGACCGTATGAATGAAGAATACTTCTTTAGCAAAGGGGCTTCCGTTGGCTATTACCATGGAGTATGTTTGATCTCTTAAGATACAAAATCACTCATCAAATTATGGAACAATATAGACAAAGGAAATAATTGGTATGATATACGTTGACGTGTTTTGGTGTAGGATTTGAATGTGTTACGCGATGACATTCAAGAATTGAGACCAACTTATCTAGCTGGAGTTCCAAGAGTTTTTGAGAGAATCCACGAGGGAATTCAAAAGGCTCTTCAGGAACTTAACCCGAGAAGGAGACTTATCTTCAATGCTCTCTACAAACAGTAAGCAACTTCACCCGTTGATTACTCTGTTTTTTCTTCTTGCTTCTCTGTTTTCTAATGATTTAACCTTGCAAAAACAAATTGATGATGCAGCAAGCTTTCGTGGTTGAATCGTGGATACTCTCACAGTAAAGCCTCACCCATGGCTGATTTCATTGCTTTCAGAAAGGTTTAAACAGTTGAAATAATGGTTTTTAGGACTTTCTTTTGTCATTATCTAAACTGACTTGTCGCGGTTTTGGATTTCCGTTAAAGATTAGAGACAAATTAGGAGGTCGAATCCGGTTGCTAGTATCTGGAGGAGCACCTTTGAGTCCTGAGATCGAAGAGTTCCTGAGAGTTACTTGTTGTTGCTTCGTCGTCCAAGGCTACGGTATGTATTCTAGGGTTTCTTCTCTATGTTTCGTGTAGTCCAAGGAAAGTCAATGTTGATGCGATTGTATGGATTAGGTCTAACGGAGACGCTTGGAGGAACGGCATTGGGTTTCCCGGACGAGATGTGTATGCTGGGTACAGTCGGTATTCCGGCGGTTTACAACGAGATACGGCTTGAGGAGGTGGCGGAGATGGGCTACGACCCACTCGGGGAAAATCCGGCAGGGGAGATCTGTATAAGAGGAAAATGTCTGTTTTCTGGGTATTACAAGAACCCTGAACTTACTGACGAAGTCATGAAAGACGGATGGTTCCATACAGGTGACTTACTGATTGAAACAAAGATTCGATTGTTTCTGATTCTGGTTTCTAAATTGTTATTGATGTGAGTGTGGATGTTTTAACAGGAGATATAGGTGAGATTCATCCTAATGGAGTACTCAAGATAATTGATCGTAAAAAGAATCTGATCAAGCTCTCTCAAGGAGAGTACGTTGCTCTTGAGAACTTGGAAAACATCTACGGGCAAAACTCTCTTGTCCAGGATGTGAGTTTTCAACTCTTTCTTGTGTAGCAAGAAATCATTTTAGGGTTCCTTCAATTATTTTTTAAACCCGTCTTCTAATTTTTTATCACGGTTTTGGTCCCTGTTTATCTTCTCAGATATGGGTTTATGGAGACAGCTTCAAATCAATGCTTGTCGCGGTGATTGTTCCAAACCCAGAAACCGTGAACCGATGGGCTAAAAATCTCGGTTATACTAAACCATTCGAAGAACTCTGTTCTCTCTCGGAGCTACAAGAACACATCATTTCAGAACTGAAATCCACGGCAGAGAAGAACAGGGTTTGTTTTAAATTTGTCTGTCTAAATAAAAATTCTTTAATTTTATAAAAATTATTTTATTCTAAGAGAAAAATATTGGAAAAAATATAAATAGCTAAGAAGGTTTGAGTACATCAAAGCCGTGACGGTGGAGATAAAAGCTTTCGACGTTGAGAGGGACTTAGTGACTGCGACGCTAAAGAATCGGAGGAACAATCTTCTCAAGTACTATCAGGTTTCAATTATCTTAATTTCACTTTTTATAGATTTTTTTTATTTATAGTAATTTTGTATAGATTAGTTAATGTTAAATTTAAAATGTTTGCAGTTGCACCAATCAGTCCACTAACGTTCCATTATACAGGTACAAATCGACGAAATGTACCGAAAATTGGCGTCAAAGAAAATGTGAAAAGTGTTGCGATGATGTGTGTGCTATTGATGATTATATTATGTATACAATAAATAGAAATGAGCCTTATGCTTTCTGTAATGTTTTATTTCTATGTTGTATATGTTTATTTCTATGTTGTATGAGTATGACCGTTTACATCATAATTTGTTGTTTTTCCTTTTCTTCATTTAATGTATGTATTGCGTATAATATTGTTATTACCATCCATATATAAAGTTGTACCACTTCATAATCTATGTTAGATTTCACGAGTTACAAATCACCATAGTAGTTAAAAAGGGAAAAAGTCTAAAAACTCACAAAAATCGATTGTATAAACGAATTGGGAAAGAAAAAAAAAATACAAGAGTAATATATGGATGCATAAAGTAATTTTCAATAGACAGAGAAGTCACAAGTGGGTTCAAGAACTTGTCAAGTACATTTAGCCTTTAAGCATATAAATAGACTGAGAAGTGAGAAGTCACAAGTGGGTTCAAGAACTTGAAGACTTTCTTTAGGCGTATGAAAATCTCATGAAGAAAAGTGGCAAAACACTTTTCTATTTTGACCCAAAAGGACTTTATTTTCCAAAACAATCACAATAATAGTTATGATGATACATCAACTTTCAGTTGTAGTCATTAGTAAATAACTTCGACAAAAAAAAGAGTCATTAGTAAATAACTATGTTTACTGTGTAATACGATCGGTTGTTCTTTTTCACACTTTTGTTGTCAAAATGCCGTTAAATAGCAAAGTTAAAAACATAGTATATGAAAGGAAACTTTGTCAAGATAATGAACAATAACATGTTTAGTCGAAAGAAAAGGAAACTCTTAGAGACAAAAAAAAAGAGGCAAATTTTATATTGTTAAAAACTAGGAAACTTTTTTTTCAATAAAAAGATGTATTCAAATTATACAGGGCATGGATATAAATGCAAGATAATATAATTTTTTTAATACTAGTATAAAAATTAGATAAAATGAAAATTCATTACAAAATACTATATGGGGACCCAATGATTTAAAATAGGCTATAAATAAAGAGGATCTAAATCTGAGACACATCAAGTTCCCACACTCTTTCGTCCCTCTCTCATCTCTCTGTAAGTAAGTGTTGTAGTAAACCTCCTTTAGCTAGAAACCATGGGAATCGGGGAAGAAAGCAGCAAGCCAATGTGGGGGAGCGTGATCCACGCGCCTCCAGGCTATGCTCTCAACAGCAAAATCATGCTCTCCTCTGTGATCATCCTCTTCATGGCCGTGATTATGATCCTCTGTTTCCACACCTACGCCAGATGGTTATTCCGCCGTCAGAACCGTCGCGTTCGCCGCCGGATTCGTGCTCATCTCCGGTCTCTCTCCGCCTCCACCATCTCCTCCTCCCTTTCCCCTCTCGATCCCGCGGTTCTCGAGAAGATCCCGGTCTTCGTTTACTCCTCCAAGACTCACCATGAATCGCCACTAGAGGATTGCTCCGTCTGCTTGTCGGAGTTCGAGGAGGAGGAGGAAGGCCGTCTTCTCCCGAAATGTGGCCACGCTTTTCACGTCGATTGCATAGATACTTGGTTCCGCTCCAGGTCCACTTGCCCGCTTTGCAGAGCTCCGGTTCAACCCCAAACCCCCGAACCGGCAGCTCCGGTTAAACCGGTAGAGGACATAGAAACCGCAAGCTCCTCTTCCTCCGCGTCTTCTTCTCCGTTGAGATTTCCGATGGAGGCCTGTGAGAGAGAACCGATCCATCTACTCGATGTCTCAGTGGAGATTCCCAGTGAATTTGAAGGCTCCAATCCGGTTCTACCCAGCCATAACGGATCTAAATTTCCGGGTAATCCGGTTTTATCTTTGAAAAGGCTATGGAGCATCTGATATATTTAAGCGGGTGGGTAAAAGAAACTAAAACGGGTTTGCAATTTTTCCAAAACCGCATGAAACTTCGACACGCGGCACTAATGTCAGCCCACGTGGCGTTGTCCTGGACCACAAAGAGCTTCTAAAACTTCATTTGTTATTGGGTGGATTATTAGTGTAGCCAGTCTCTTGTAACACGTTTAAATTCCGAAAATAATGACTCGGTTGTCAATAATATTGTAGATAAACAAGTATTAGTAATTACTTATGACAAATCCTAGCCACCGTGGGAATGGAACCAGGCATCACTAAATTGACTTGGATACACAATTATTTAATTTAGAAAAAAAGAACACATGAATGATATATATATATATATATATATAAGTATAAAGTTAAGTTATGCAATCAGTCCACCTACGAAAGGCACTCCGGTTTGTCCGATCCAACCCTCACCAACAAGAAAATTTGTGACCGTGAAATTGGAAGCATCACTAGCGTTAATGACGTGATAACCGGGCCAAGTGACTCGGTTTGTCGTGTTTGAACCGGGTCCGGTATTATTGAATTCCGCATAATAAAGCGTGCTCAGTGCGAAATCGCCGCTCCATGCGTTCCAGCCAGTCGGTTCAAGAAAAGCATCAATGTAAGTCTGCATAACAACGGTTCTCGAATATTCCTTCCACGGCCGACCAAGATACGTTTTTACTGTATAGTTGCTCGTAGCCAAATCATCCGCCGGTCTTATGGTACACCCATGGATCGCCGTACCAGTGTTCTGGTTCGGATCGGTACGACCCTGAGCCGTAACTTCGTTCGACTGACCTTTGCGAGGCTGACGTGGATAGAGATTACAGTTCTGTAACACCACCGCAGCATTACCGAATATAAAATCAACAGTGCCGTAAACATCGCATTCACGATAAAACTGTCGGAGAGAATGCGTGTATAAGGTATCTTGATAGGCTTCAAAGCTGCAACTGTAGAAAACTGAGAAGTCTCCACCGCTCCTCAATGCGACGGCTTGACCTTTGGTCGGTCCTGCCGTGTTGCGGATTGTTATGTTCACGCCAATAAAATTAGTACCTGATAGAACTGCCATTTGTGAACAAAATGTAGAGTTAGTTAATTATTTCATCAAGACAATCCTACAAAAAAAAAAAAATACTCATTACGGCGGTTGGTTCGTTGGAGGAACATTTGGGAATAGTTTAAATTTGTGAAATAATTGTAGTTTAATGGACTATGGTATCATGTTAGTTGAGGACACGACGAATTGACGTGGAGTCAAGACTTTCGGTGGACCATCCGACCAAGTCGCCTTCGATTGCATGGGAAAGTCTATTTTAAAAGCTAAGTGGACTTACAATAATTATTTTCTTTTATGTTTTTGCTGGTAAATAAACTATTATGTCTTAAAATATTAAGTTATATATGCTTTTGGGAAAAAAAGTTTCTAAAAGAATAGTTAAATCGCACTTGCACGAAGAAGCCATGTCTTGTGCACATGCCTTGGTATTTTTCAACCAATTTTCTAATTTGTGGTGCTAAACTCCAATGCTATTTTTTTTTATATTCATTGAATTTAAACCGCATATATTTCTGTTCTACTTTTTGCACGTATAAATATACTGGTATATATGTTGTTGAGGATAATAAAGGAAGAAGATATTTTCAATAATAAAATTGGTTTCGTATATAAATGAAGTACAGTACTTACTAAATGTGGCGGAATTGAAAGTGGTCCATCCGTCAACGACGCTCCGGTTTCCGGTGATAACCGTTTGGTTAATGCCATCACCGATCATCATCACGTACCTCTTGTTCTTGGGAACCTCCACGTATTCCTCGTACAATCCCGCCGTTACGTAGATCAAGAAATAACCGTTACTACCGTCAGTTTTGTTAGGCGCGGCTGCAACGGCTGCGTTTATGGTCGTGAAGTTTCCCGTCCCGTCCTGGTTCACCGTCACAATGTCGCTCACCTGAACGGCGTCTGCTTCAGCTTGCAGTAGTTTTCTACCAGACCCAGTCACGGTGTTGTAAACCGCACGTGCCCTTTTCGTCATGTTTAACGGTAATCTACGGTTGCGGAAACCGAAAAACTTTTTGAATCTGGCTTGTGGTTGCCAAATCGGTCTCGATCTATTCCTTCTTGGCACCCAGCCTGTAAAGTCAAATTCCAATTTATAATTTCATTTTGCAGTTCATATATATAACACATATACATAATAAAACTAAAAAATTCGTATCTACCAAGATATTATTGTCGTACCTTAGTAGATAATTATAATCTCAAAAAAAATAAAACACTAATCCCACAAGCAAGTGAAAAGAACCGGATGTAACCATATATAGTAATAAATCTTTCAACTATTAAACCTGAAACCTCATGAGTTGGTTTTCTAACGATCGCCTCTTAAATAAATATTGAAAAAAAACGTTAACGAAAGCAAGAATCGTAGAAATAAAATGCGAATAAAATGCAGATTTCGTGGCACATTATAGAAGACGTGCATATTTAAATTAAAATAAATGGAGATTACGTGCATGTTAATTGTTTTGTATGTACCTTTGGAAAATAGGGCAAGAGAGACCCCATAGAGTTTTGTATCGTTGAAAAGATCACCGGAGAGACCATTTTCCGACACCGTGGATTTAAGTCCTTCAAGACAAGTCTGTTCGTTGGTGATCGCAGCACTTAGAAACGTATGAACATCATCGGCCCTCGAAACCGACAGTGTTTTGGTGGCATCGACGGTCCGTGAGCTACTAAGGAGGAAGTCGTTAGTCAAGCTGGCTAGGAATTTGCAGTCTTCGAGTGCCCGCACGGTGGATTTAGCAGCCACTTTGCCTTTCCGGTTTAATTCATTGTCAATCAGCGACATGAACCGGGTGGCACGTGAGAGGGAACGTCTGAGAGAGAAACGGCCGTAGGAGTAAATATCTCCGGGCTGGTTTGGTAGAACCGATCGACAGTAAGATGGATCCGGGGCGAAGCGACATACATTTGACGGCCACGTGGCATTTCCGGTGGCGAAAGATTGGGATGACGATAAAGAGAGAAAGCTAAGGGTGACCAGGAACACGAGTATTTGAGACATCTTCCGATTTTTCTTTTGAGCTTAATTGTGTGTTTGGTTTGAGATATTGTGTTAAGTGTGATGGATTATTTATAGGGTTTTTGAGAAGTTGAATCTGAATACATACACGGTGAAGTCAATAATAATGTGTGTGTGCATCTATAATGGTGACGGTGTCACAAAATTCAAACATATATACCATATGTTTATAATATTCACACGTATATGTCTGTCTCTCACTAAATATTACACAAATAATCACCGTAGTTAAGGAGTAATTAAACTCCGTTCCATACTTAGGAATTATAAATAGGTGTTTAGTTGTAAGTTAATTGGTTATTATTATTTTATTTTTTGGTTTTACGAGTTTACTTGAAAAAGTCAAATTTTGACCAACTTCTGCTACCGCAATTTGAATTTGTATAATCAGGGAGGTTTTCGTAATTTAAAATTGTCAACCAATGTTAGGCATTTCAAGAAAACTATCGATATTGTTTATAACATGTTGGTAAAACAGCACATTACTCATTATTAAAAAGTCAAGATCTTGACGTTATAAATTTCGATAGACTAGTCGACGACCCTTGCAAATAAAATTCGTTTTAAAACTGTATAGTTGGAAGTTTTCATGCACATGAGAGTAACTAAGATGAAGACATTCGGATGGAATGACACGTTTGATGACATATTTTGGATTGAAAATGTATTTTTTTTGTTTGTTTGTTGCACCCAAAAAAAAAAGAAAGAATGAAAGAAAAGAGTGTATATTTATCATATAGTTGTAACAAATTCCATTATTGATCAGATAGTTAATCTTGCTGCATTAAATTGGCTGGGTATAATAATTTTGCTTTTTAGTTAAGAGGACAGCCAAGAGATACGTATTTGGATATGTTTGTATACATAATGACACATGAATCCGTGTAATAGAATGTTACAGATATTGATAATTTTGTTTCCTGTCGACAGATATTAAGATCTTACTTAATTCAATACCTACACATGTATATGACCGTAATTTCATTTCATAACATGAATTAAAATGTATTGAAATGTTATAAATTATAGTTGTGAATTAATTTTGGAGTTAGGAAGCCTATCAAGTTTTATTTGATGCCAAACACTGAAACAATAATATAATGTCTGATCACTTTGATTTAATGAAATTTGTGTTCAGAACAGCAAGTCAACGATATAGGGAATAATGTGATGGGATTGTGAATCAATAAACATATCTACATGAATCTTGATAATCAACAAAATTTCGAAATTAATTTTAGTTTCCAGTTATTAACATGCTTCCTGTGACAAAACCCATATTAATACAAAACTAATCTTCCACCGTTCTAATTTAAAATTTTAATGTTTAGATAGATGTAAAATGAAAATGGAACTCAGGGAAGGGGAAAACCGTGTCAGAATTCCCAAGTACGACGGCGTTTTGCTTAAATGAAAGTACAACGCGTGAAGAAACCCATGCAATGCCAATGGAGTTGGACCGTTTGCGTAACTCAAAGAAGATTTAAAGGACTTTTATAATGTCAAGGGTATATATAAGATAATTTCTATAAAGTGTATATTTCAATCAACTAATTTTCGTTTATTATATTGGTACTTAACCAAAACCCACTAGCACTAGTTGTTCGAATTACGCGGGATAAAACATGTGCCTCCTCCATATTGCATTTTCAAGGCAAGTTTCGAGTTGTTTATTAATCATTTGACTTTTAATTTTGTTTTTCTGCCTCCACTGCCCTTGGTTCTTCGAATTCTGGAGTAATAATCACTATTCACTGGGAAAATAATCTCTATATATTTATAAGTATATGAAGCAGTTGTCCCAGTTTGACAAAAAATAAGCACTTGCCCAAGTGTAATATTTGAAATTATGTATTGGAAAAATAAATTAGTGGAGGTATATATGTACCGTATAAGATACTATAAACAGGTTATAATTAACCAAAGGAAAAAATCACGATAAGCATAATTTTGATCGGTTTATTATTAATGTCCAAGTGCTTATTGACGTACTGCATGGACCTAGATCCGTTCCTAGTGTTTTGGATGTCAGAAGCGGCTACATAACTAATACCGTTATAATTGAAGAAAATAAAAACGATTGATCACTTGTAATATAAATAACATTATTAAATCAATAAAATCATAATTATATAAACACCAAATTTTGTATATATTTCATTTTCTCTAAATATATATAATAATAGGTATAAAAAAGAGTTTTATCAATAAAACATGTCAAAATTACCGAAAATGGTGTAGTCTTTTTTTACTATAGAAAGAAAAAGTATATTGGAAAGGTGAAAATAATATATTAAGAGCTTTTACATGTAAGAGTTATTTTAAAATAATATATGTTCATATTGTTAGTTCGGTGATAAACTCTAAAGGAAATTAAATAATAAAAATCACCAATGAAAATTTAAATTCGTTCCATTATCGTTAATTTAGTGATACTTTGTGACGATTACTAAACTTAAGTGAACAACAAACGAACGTTTGACACTCGGACCATAATAATCGTGGGCTCAGAATATAATTGGCTCATGAAGGCATTTAAAAGAGAGGAACAAAAAAAAGCATCTAGTAGCCGTTGGGGATAGACTTGTCCTGAGTTTCCTCAGGCGAGAAGGCGAAAGGGCCAACGGTGAAGAGCTTCGTCTTACTTTTGTTTTCTAGGAGACGATATTTCTGTAGAATGGCTCCGCTGATTCCACGGTTGATTTCCGTCGGAAAAGAACACGTGTCAGCCGGTGAAAGCTCAAGAAACGCTCTGCACTCTTTGATCCTCACCTTCTCATAATCCTTCACCTCCGACGGAGAAAGCGTCGCCAGGAAATAACCCTTCCCATCAGTCGCTTGGCTAAGCACCGTCACATCCTCCGCCTCGTAACCGTATTCGTCCGCTGTCTCGCAGGTCACTCTCGCCACCGCGCCTGTCCACGTGTGAATATTACTACATTTTTATGTCTATTTTTTGGAGTCTGTAATAAACTTTTGCAAAGAAAGTTTTATACATCAAATTACGTTTGATGAGAAAAAAATTAATGTGGCCTGAAAGTAATGAAGAGAACTATACTAGTAGTCTTTTTTTTGGAACTCGCGACATTAATTCGTTATAAAAAAAAGCAAAAAGGGCTATAAATGCTGTATTCAAAAGAGCTAAACTATTCTAACAAGTTTCGATGTTGTATTGTTACAATTTGCTCAAATCAGCCAATATGAACATATCTAAATTTTCTTTTCTTTTTATGTGCGGCACTCATCACAATATATAATTATTCAATTACGAACTCGTACGGTATATATATATATATATATATGACGGAATTTACCTTGGAGAGGGGTAAGTTTAGATCCTTGTTTACAGTAGATGAGACCCTGAACGCCGATCATCGAAGAAAGCAGTTCTCCGTGGGTGATTGTGGCTACTCCGGCGGCGAACAGGGACGAGAGAAGCAGCATGTAGGAAATGAAGAAAAACGAACACTGTAGGGCCATTTTCAAGTTTCTAACTGGTAACTATATGAGCTTGATTCAATCTTCAGTTAGCTGTATAAATGTGTTTTGTTGACGAAAGAATGTTGTACGTTGTGAGAGATATATAAAGGTTTAAGCGATAAGGTTGAAATTCCAAATTTACAAATGAGAATAAGGGATGTGACTTGGGCGCACGTTTTAGCTCATGTTCCTAATCATTGCATTATTATGCACCCAAAAGTGTCTTTTTTATGCATTAGAAGATGTGTAGCCACTTTTCTATTTTACTTAAAAAACATTTACCATAGATTTAGTTTCAATTTTTTTCCACCCGCTCGATAATCTAATTAAATCTCATGTTTTGCAATAAAAAAGAAGAAAAATCGTGTTATGGTGTTTCAAAATATCTAAAATTTTAAAGTACGTACCTGAAAGCTCACCATACCTTTACGGGCTTTCATTTAGGCCCATTAGTTTGGTGTATATACACAGTACATCAAACTTAGAAGAAAGCTTGCGGATCAAGGAACTGTTTATTGTTGTATATACACGGCTCAAACGATCTACGAGTTTTCTGGGCCCACAAGTTGACTCTGATTATTGTTTGATCATTTGATGCCATTCGAAAATTTTGAGTACCAAAACATAAATATACAACATTTTTGATTCATCTTCTGTTGAAAATTATAGAAATAGAAAATTAAGCGTTCTTTTTCTTTTCTTTTACTTCTGGAAACTGAAAAGATTGTTTGACGAAATCCTAATTTTTGTTGTTGATGTTGATTTAGGAAAAACCGATGACCTTTCTACGGCGCTAGTGGAGGTTTTTGATGAGCCAAGGTAAATTCTCTCTTTTGAGGTACGTATCTGCAACTTGATCACCTTATTTTTTTTCTCTTTTTCTTTTCTATTTGGCTTGTAGCTTGGTACTACTAATTTATACTGTCTAAACCGATTTGAGAGCCATAGAGAAACATAACGGTTCATTTTGAGTGCAATTTTTTTTTTATCTATAATAAAATTAGTTATACATTTCTCTAACACATTTATACCTAATCTTATTGTAAACAAAAACAAAAAAACTTACTATTAACATCTTTAGCTTGATAGACTTTAATACTTCAGAGCATTTTTACAAACATAATGAATATGAAAGAAAAAAGAACAGATAGAATAAATCGTATATCGAAAGAAGGAAATGATTTCGGTGAAGAAATTGTCACCATTGTTGTATAAAGTCTCTCTGCTCTCTGCTCTCTCTCTCTTTTTCTGCCAGTCACCTTCTCTAGCACGCTTTTAGGGCCCTCGCGGAGCAGTGATAGAGTGCAACGAGTATACGTTGCAGGTGTATGGTGCTCCAACCACACTTGAGAGCTTTCCGCAATGAAAAAATTGAAAACCATGTTTCTTTGCAACAAAGTGAATCAGGCCCAGTAATAAGGCCCATTAATTAATTAAATCCACTAGAAAACTATAATTCGGATCATCCACTAAAAGAATCCGAATCGGTTCGTTGTATCCTTAGAAATTAAATCCGGCAAAAAAAAAGTTTTGGTTGACAGACGAACCATCACCACCATCTCAACATCAATCATCATCATCTGCTGGTTTCGAAATGGCGTCGGGATGGGGAATAACCGGAAACAAAGGACACGGCGATCTGATGATCCTAATCATTGCATTATATTATGCACCCAAAAGTGTCTATTTTTATGCATCAGAGGATGTGTAGCCACTTTTCTATTTTACTTAAAAAACATTTACCATAGATTTAGTTTCAATTTGTTTTTCCACCCGATCGATAATCTAATTAAATCTCATGTTTTGCAATTAAAAAAAAAAGAAGAAAATCATGTTATGGTGTTTCAATATTTTTACTTTTAGCCCCCAAAATATCTGTAAAGTACCCGAAAGCTCACCATACCTTTACGGGCTTTCATTTAGGCCCATTAGTTTGGTGTATATACACAGCACATCAAACCTAGAAGAAAGCTTGCGGATCAAGGAACTGTGTGTGTGATTTGGTTTAGGTTGAGAGGATGGCGTGGGCGCAGCCTGAATACGCGACGGCTAAAATAGCGGTGTGGTGGGACATGAAGGGCTGTCCGATTCCCGAGGGTTATGATGCTCGTCGGATCCGTCCGAATATGGAAGCGGCGTTCAAGAAACTTGGCTACTCTGGTCCTGTCTCCATCAAGAAACAAACCCCTGATCACCTCCTCCGAGGTGTCTCTTCTACTGGAGTCGCTCTTGCACATGTCATTCCGGGTTAGTCCTTCTCTGGTTATCCATCTCTGGAGTTTCAACTATATATCCTCTACTGAAATGCTTTCCTTTTACTGAAACAGGACTCACGTACAAGCGCATGTATTCAGATTATAGGAAGTGGAAAGAGCGTAATCCTCCTCCGGCTACAATGATGTTCATATCCAATGATGTTCATGTTATCTCGAGCCCTCTTGCCCTCCTACTACAACAGAAGAAGTACAACCTTTTTCTGGCATATTCATACAGGCCTTACAAAATGTCAGTCCTGGTCACTTGTGCAGAGTGGCTTTGGAAAAGCTTACTTGCAGGTGTTTGTTTGCCCTCTCATCATCCACTAATGCTTGAAACTAATTACGCTATTGTTTCTGAGCTATAGTTTGTTTTTTCCCCCTTCTTTTCCACATGTTTCAGAGACAACAAGACATGTTTCAGAGACACCAAGACATGTTTCAGAGACACCAAGACACGTTCTTCGCAAGTGCAGTGAAAAGGGTGAATCGACCGAAATGTTTTATTGCAAAGTGTGCTTTTGTGATTGCAAAAGCCTTGATGATCTCATGGAGCATCTCTCAAGTGATCAAAAACATGCACTCCAAGTAAGCATCCTCTGTATCATCACTACATTTGTCTGGCCATTTGAGCAACAACCTGTTTAACCTTTTATGATTCGTTGTCAAGCAGGAGCGTAGTATTTATGCGACTCGTCTAGAAAACGAGTACAATCGACAGGAAACTCTAAAGGCAAGTTTTTCTTAATGATGATTATAGATTTTCAACAGAGAAAAATGATTCGATTTCTTATAAATAGTTGCGCAGTTTTTTGATACTCACGTTTTATATACATCTTGTAGGCAATAACACTCGAAAATTTTCCAAAGAGCAAACGTTTGAGGAAAGCATACGGGACGGGTTTTGGTCATCTTCATAATCATTTACGTCCTACTCATCGTTGAGCTCGAAAATCTCAAACCTGCAAGAAAAAGTGATTTTGGTTATTTATTTTTCATTTCGTTTTCTTGTTTAAAACAGTGATATGAGCTCTTATTTTTCGCTATTTATTTAAAGTTTAAACATCAGTGGTGTATTATTTACAATCGTTTTTGTACTCAAGTCTCTTCCAAGGTTTTCATACCGTCCCCCAGGCGATTTCCGCAATGCTTGTATGCTTAATAGCATACTCAAAGCATCATCAATGACGCCTGACAGCTCCTTGAGCCAAACTTTCATTCTTTCATTTGATGACATTCTAAAATTTTGAGTACCAAAACATAAATATACAACATTTTTGATTCATCTTCTGTTGAAAATCATAGAAATAGAAAATTAAGCCTTCTTTTTCTTTTCTTTTTTTACTTCTGGAAACTGAAAAGATTGTTTGAGAACAATAAAGCCAATTACAAGAAATCCTAATTTTTTGTTGTTGTTGTTGATTGTTGCTAATTCATCTGTTGAATCTTTGTTTCTCTCTGGATAATATTGTCCACACGACCGCCAAATCATTCCTTCAAGGGACACAACCATCACAGAGACATCATCATAGTGCTTCTTTCGGTCTACATCCAACAGATCATGAAACTCCATCCCTGCAACCACAGAGTCGCTGGTTTAAATTTTCATATGAACCGGCTGGTTAACCAGAAACCGTATCAAAACCGATCATCATTTGATGTTTACCGTTCTTGGTGGCCGCACGAGAGAGAAGCTCTGCAATGAGGTATTGAGCACGTGAGCAACAACCTCTTCGTTGCTGAAGTATTCGTTCAATCCGTCAGAGCATAAAACCAGGAAAACGATCGCTTGAAGTGAGCCTGTGATGGACAGTACACGGTTCTGTACGGATCTGCTCCAATGTAGTCTTACTCGGAACATCTCAAGCAAAGCTTCGTTGAAATCCGGCTGCAACAACATGAATAAAATATTCAGAAGATGAAAGTTAAAACAATATGGTTACGAAAGTTCGAGTTGTTGTACGTCTCTACCTTTTTGAGAAATCCAGCACCGAATGCTCGAGTGACTTTGAGTCGGCCTTTGACTCTGTCTTTGAGAATGGACTGGTCATCTTGTGACTTTGAGTTGGCCTTTGACTCTGTCTTTGAGTATGGATTGGTCATCTTCCGGATGTTCTGATCTAATACGCGATACTTCCTGAAACATGTAAAGAAACTTGCTTTTTTGGCAAACCAGAGCTACAATGGAGTTGGCAAATCCTATCATTTTCCCAGAACTAAGATTCTTCAATTCAGTTTAATATCTCTTCCCAGAGCCGTGCCAAGCTTGATGGCTTCCATAAACAAAAACAAAAAAAAAATGCCCTCATTTATAAATTGCTTTTTATAATAAAAATTATGATTATCACATAACAAAAATAATAGAATAAAATCCAAAATTTAAACTATAATTTTTAAAATTATATATATATTTTTTCTACAAAATCTTTGACCAAACTTTTATAATCAATTTTTTAGATGAATAAAATAAAAAAATCATTTAATCTTTTTTTTGTAATATAGTCAAGCAAAAACAAGTTTTTTATTAGCCTTAACTTTGAAAAATTCATATCAGCAGATGCAACTGAAATTAAAATGGTTAATAATATTTGATAAATAATCAATAAAAATTTGGATAAAAATCTTCAGCATTTTTTAAAAAAGTCTAATACTTCAATAGGTTTTTTAACTTCTTTTGGTAAAGCTTTTTTAGAAGCTTACGTTCACAAAAGAAAAAAGATCATGATTAACAATATCTAAATGATTTCAATGTCTTATTAAATCTACATCGCTGCTAAAAAAGTGAGAAAAAGATAGTATCATTTTAGTTTTTATCCTAATTTTTTAATATTAATTATTATTTTTTTATTTAATAATTTAAATGTTATTGACTTATTGTTAACTTCTTTTTTGTTAACCCGTATATATGTTTAAGAAAACTAAACCCATATTTAAAAATTGAGATTAGTACAATTTAATAATAATAATAATAATAAATTATTAACTTTTTCTAAAAAATTGATGACCTTAAGATAGAAATTTTTTTTATGCCCTACACCAATGTTTCTTTTAACAAAGGGTAGGCACGCCCCACACTTGTTTCAAAAGATTCATACACAAATACATTTTTAAAATCAAACATCTAAAAAAATTGAAATAAAGAAAGACAAAAAGATTCTAACCAGCGACCTAAAAATCATTTGCAAACATTGTCTAACAATCAAATAAAGTTTCAAGCTCCACGACAAACAAAGTTTCATGCTCCACTACAAGCAAAGTTCCTCAATCATCAGCCTCAGCCTCGTCATCAGCCTCATCCTCAACAGCAGCCTTCGCAACCTTCTTTCTCTCCTCCACCCAATGCTTCCTCTCCATCTTCTTTTCCATAATCTTTTTCATCCTTTCCTCCCTATGCCAAGCCTTTCTCTCACGACAAGTGATCTGTTTAGGTTGAAGATACATAATTTTTTTAAAAATCCCAGTACCTTCTTACTTGAGCAATTAGTTCATGCGACTATTCCTCATCAGTCTTACACACATAAACGTGGTGACCAGCATCTACCATTCTGCCCACATGGTCACTGAAACCCTCTTCTTCATCCTCGAAATTGCCTTCCGCACGGACACCATAAAGAAAGAAGTACAAGATCAAATTGTATAAAGAAGACCATTCAATGACTATGCAGCAAATGGCCCAACTCGTAGCTTGGTACTACTAACTTATACTATCTAAACTGGTTTGGGAGCCACAAGGATGGAGAAATAAAACAGTTCATTTTAAGTACAAAAAAAAAATTTATCTTCAATAAAATTATTTATAAAGTTCTCTAATGCATGTTATACCAAATCTTATTGTAAACAAAACAAAAAAAAAACTTACTATTAAAATCTCTAGCGCAATAGACTTTAATACTTTGGTCTAGACCAGGTTCACAATCAAGTTTTTGTAACAATCTCTCTTATTTTTACTCAGCCCATTAAACCAAATTCTTCCAAATTTCCACATATGCATCAATACACCTCATTTGCTGGCAAATTGGTGGAACTGGCTGGTTTTCCATGTCCCACCAGAACTTCAGTAAGGTATTTTATATGTCACATTTAGAAATGCGATTATGTTAACATTGTATACTAATTCTATTTCTATTGTCAAATATTTCACACGTTTCCATTGATATCGTGGTCTGTATTATATTTTTGTAAATTTTTATTTTCTTTCATTTCATATTTAGCATGGTTATATATCTATAGATTGGTTTCCATGGTTATTATATATCAGCATGGTTCTCTTGAATCTCTTCTCGTTGACATCATATTCTTCTTAGGAAACTAAGGTTTACTTTATGTTTTATACATTGCAAGTCAAAATGGCAAAACATGGCCAAGAATCAAAAAATTAGAGTAAAAGGAAACAATCTAAAGAAACATATAAACCACGGTCTACTGATTGATTTGCTAGTAAACCGGTTTGGGAACCACAGGGCTAGAGAAATAGAAAGGTTCAAGGGTGTATAGATTCAAATTATCGCGGCTATGGAAGTTGGAGTTGTCGAAAGAGAGTGGAACTCCAATAACACCTTTGTTGACATTGGTCGGAATCTTACACGTGGAGACCGGAGAGCTCTCGAGCTTCACTTTGCAGCCATTGATATTCTTCAATTTGTGGGAAAGTCCGTACGTGATGAAGTAGAAGTATCCCTTCAAGTCCGTTGGGTAGCTCGAGATCGTAACCTTAGCCACTAACTTTCCGTAGGAGTCCACGATAGGACACACAACCTTAACCCTGCCCCCTGTCAAGTACATCACCAGGTTGGTTCAGTCCGCGCCAGAGTTAGCCACGAGCCCAAGTAGAATCAGTGCTTCGACGGTATTAATTTTAGAATAATATATTTTGGACACACAAAATTTAAAACTATTTTGGACATCCACATTTCCGGGGTTCAAAGTTAAATGTGTATCTCAAGATATAGAATAAAAATTATTTCCCAAAAATAAACGATTCATATGTTTTTTTTTGTAACGACCGCAAATTCAGGAATACATATTCAATATCTCCCAAGTCCCAAAAAGAGTTTTTGCTCCCGAAGTGAGTTATTTGTTTTACAATTGTCTTCTGTAAGATGTCATGAAATGAATCGCATAATATGAAATCATATAATATGTAAATGCACCTTGGATAGGATAGGTTTCGTAGCCAGATTTGCAGAAGATGAAACCTTCAATGGCGATGCCAGGGTTTGGTATTGGAAAGTATGGAGTCTTAACCGGTGAAGTCAACGGTTTGGGAACGTAAGGTTGTGGTGGTGAGACGTAGTAATCAGCAGTGGCCACAACCACCACCAGCGCGAGGAGGAGGACGGAAGCGACAGCGCCTGTGGATGCCATTAATTGTTTAAGCTCTTGTTCTTGTGTTGTTTGGTTGGTTAAAAGTTTGATCTCAAGACATGCATGGCCTTTTATATATAGAGCAAATGTGATAGAAATATCTTAAGATTACAAGACAAATGTTAATAAAATGTTGGAGGGAAGAGACTTCATTGGATGCACGTTTAAGTTTGTGTCACATAGTGCTACTAATTCAACTCCAGAATCTAAAATTGATTGGGATATGTTGTAATAATAATTATTCATCGAATCCGATTTTTTTTTTTTTTTTTTTTTTTGTGATTTATATCTTTTACTTCAAGAGGAGTTTTTTTTCCCACGTTGGTCAACTTAAAAACGTGTTTATAGATACGTATATACAGGCATTCACGATTATGAGATGATTAGATTAAGTAACAAAAATAGTCAGAATCTTATGGTCGGAACTCGGAATTATGCCATATAATAAATTCTCGATGTAGACTATATATGCATGATGCATCTCTAGTTTGGCACCTGAAATTTTGAATGCGTTAGTATGAATGACAAGAAAAAAATTATTATGTGAATTAGTTTGATTTTGTCGTGAAATCTCCGATCAAAATGGTCGGCCCAAAATAATAATGATTTAATTTGAGAATAATTAACAGTCAAGAACGACCAGTTGCGTTATTGTGTACGTTTATGTATACCGTCTGTTAATGTTTTAATTTTACGTGGAGATTTAATCATTTTGTCAAAATATAAGCTATTGTAAATTGCTCATATAAATGCCAGGAAACAATTTTATGAAATTCGTTGGAAGTAATTACGTAACTATTATTGGTTGTAATTGGGAAAAGTACATTATAGAACAAAAACATTCTAGAAGAACTTGGTGGTCAAGTAAAAACTGCAACAGTGTAAAGTCTCCTTTGACTTGTCTCTATATAAAAAGCACAGCCGATTCCCAATTAGCATGCGTTGAAAAACAATAAAAACCTGCATTCATCTTCTTTTCTTCCTGTAAACCCTAGCGAGAAACTCGTAAGTTACCCATATTAGTACTATTACATTAGTTTGGATCCCAAGAATCAAAAATGTGCGGCGGTGCTATGATTTCCGATTTCAACTCGGATCCGAGTCAACTCGGCTATAGTGGCTCTGTCTCGATCAAGAAGCGTAGACCCGTCTTCTCAGCCTCAGGTACACTCTTAGTAGTGACATAGTCTTATTTGACACATGTTGTGTGTTTCTGAGTGTGGGGAATCTTGACGCTACAGGTGGTGCGCAGAAACAAGGGATGGAGAAGAAACCAAAACCAAAACCGAAACCAAAGAGAGAGAGGAAGAATCTGTACAGAGGAATAAGGCAGAGGCCATGGGCCAAATGGGCAGCGGAGATTCGTGACCCGAGGAAAGGTGTTCGTGTCTGGCTTGGCACTTTCCAAACCGCCGAGGAAGCTGCCCGAGCCTACGACGTTGCAGCCATTCGTATACGTGGCCACAAAGCCAAACTTAATTTCCCAAACAGCAGCGACAGTCAAAAACAGGTTCTGATAAACTATAGTGCTTGCGAGTCTCCTAAAGACACCGTAGAGAAACTGTCGGAGGAGCTTATGGCCTTCGAGGATTACATGAGCTTCTATCAGATTCCGTATCTCGACGGCGAATCCGCCACGGACGATGCTCCTCCTCAACTAAGCGTCATTGGCAATCTCTGGAGCTTCCAAGACTCCTAAACTATCTGCACTTCTAATACTATTTCTTCTTTTCTTTTCCCATTGTTGTTTACCAATTTAAGTGTAATAAATTAACAATTATGTGGAGTATTTGTTTCGATCCAAGTTAGAAGCTTCGATTCTCAAATTCAACTTTTAAATCATCAAACACACTACTCTAGACGCAGAATTCTTTTCAACAGTCGGTTTATCTTCTTCGATGTTTATGTGACAATTACAAAATTATTTTTCTGATATAAAAAGCTCATTTCTACATATAAAAAAATATATATATTAAAGATAAACGCAAACATGAACAACATATTGAATATTTAAGTTTAAGCTTGTAGTTTTTTATTTTTTCACTAAAGTTGTTGATTAAAAAGTTAATAAACGTAGTCGATATTATGGATACAGGCACAGTCACGGAGAAACAGCTGCCGGTGACGGCGGCTGATTAATCTGTTGGCTTCTGGCCGCACATGGTTTCATCAATGGTCTCTGTTGTGTCAAACTGTCACGTCATCAGTCCCGTTCCGTTTAAGGCCCAATAAAGCCACTTTTTATCGGCCCATATAAGCAGAACTAGGCGAGAATGGACTTGCTCTGGTAAAAATCCACCTCTCTTTATATACACAAGATGTACATATTTGTTCAGTCAACAGAGTGAGTAATTGGGTCTTCTATCTGAGTTTTAACTGAGTTTATTGGATTTAACAGGCGGTCCTGTTTTTTTTTTTTTTGGGCGTCTCTGTTTTTGGGTTTAACGGTTTAGTAATCTAATCGAAGTTTTTAGTTTTCGTGAGAGTTTCAGCTATATTATCATCATTCATTACTTTTCTTTAATCACTCTCTTTATTTTTTTGTAAAGGTATAATATAGAATCTCCCACAAAACCACAAAGGATTATTCTTTTCTTGAGGATTTGTATCCATCTTTAAACAAGTAGATGTGGCATGTTCTCTGATCCATAAAATGTTGGTGAAAAGATGAAAGATACCCATCCCGGTATATATAATATGTATTTTTATTTACAAATTACATCCAACAAAATCCAATAAGTTAAAAGAAGATGAGACCTTCCGGCCACATTCTCCTCTCTCTTGCTGCAGCGTGTAGTTAAAAAATCTCTCCTCAATGTGTGGAAGTCACCCACAGTCATGTATCACCAGTTCCACGGTCTGCTTTGCGATTTAGCTGCCAGACGTAGCGCCATTGAACCGCTGCTACTGCTCGGACCGTTGCAGATACCGAGCCTGATGATGAATGAAGCGGTGCAGCCTTTCTCTAGGCCTTCGCTTTCTATCCATATGTATCCTCCCATTAGCCCCACGAACCTGAACAGAGACAAACTCACCCTTTAACTATTTTGTGACACCCTATGCTTACAGTTTATACTTTCGGATGGTTACCGTTTGCAGAGAGCTAGACCGAGTCCTGCACCGCAATGGTTCCTCTGGGTTCCAGTACGTGGCTGTACAAATTTGGTGAAGAGAAAAGGAATGTCTTGCGTGTGAATTCCACACCCTGTGTCCTTCACCTGCACCAAGAGCATAACATTTTGGAACTACAGTATGAAGCTTTTGTTTATATATTATGCAGATTAGGACTAACCTGCACGCATAGGTAGAAGTGATTGTCACTTGGCACTGGATAGAATTCTGGAGATGGTAATTCTCTCAAGGACTCGGGTTTCATGATAGAGGCTATTATGGAGACGTAGCCTTCCTTGGTGAATTTCACAGCGTTGCCCATGATGTTGAGAATAGTTTGCATCAGACGTTTCTCATCACCGATAGCATAAGCCGGCAAGTCTGCAGATAGAATCAGATTCGTCGATAGTTTCTTCACCGATGCGATTGGCTTTATCAGAGAGATGACCTGCAGTTTCAAAGAGCCCCCAGTTATGTTATCTTTGTGTTATAGATAAATGAACTTCTCTGTGGTTAATCTTTACCTCTTCAAAGATAGCCTGGAGACTGAATGGTTCATTTTCCAAGAGTAAACTCCCATCTTCCAATCTCGATAGATCGAGAACGTCGCTGATGAGTGTGGCCACAAGATTGCTGCTTTTCAGTATTGTCTCGATCATCACTCTCTGCTCTGGAGACAGCTCAGTCTCAAGAAGCAGGGAAGACAGAGAGATGATGGCATGCATCGGTGTCCTCATCTCGTGGTTCATGACAGCTAGGAAATCATTCCGAGCATGTACTGCCATCTCCGCCTCCTGACGAGCCTTATCCAAAGCAAAGTTCTGCTCCATAAGCTGGTCACGGGCGTGCATGGATTCCTCCAGAATTGCAGCGTGTGAGAGAGCCACGGCCACCTAAATGAGTAATGTGAGAACCAGAGACTAATTACAAACAAAACATCAAAGACTGGAAAGTGAAGATACGGACCTGATCCGCCACGACTTCGACAAGTTCCAACTCGTGGTCTCTCCATTTTCTTGCACCATCCGTGGGGAGAATCAGTACCATGATAGCGTAACCTTTGCCAGAGAGATCAGACCAGTCACTGCCTTGGAAATTCGAGAGATGCAGAAGAGGAACACGGACGGAAACAACCTCGGGAGGTGAATATCTCCCAACTGGAGGCCCAATCTTAGCCAAGGGGCACGAGTGAGGTATGTGCATTGCTTGAGCGCTATTGAAGAGTTCGTTGATTATTGGCAGATTTATCGGCACACTGCTTCCGACTTGGATCTTGTGGCTAAGAGTATGAGAAAGCTGCAGATACAGACCACTCTGTGAAGGCATCCACAAGGCGCATTCCTCGAGGCAAAGAGTTTTGCCGAGCTCGACGAGAGTGGTTCGTAGAATAGTGTGTCTGTCAAGAGTGCTTCTGATCTCATGAGTAAGCATCCTGACGTGCCGTCCAGTCTCCTCCTGGGTTAGAATGAGACCCATTTCTCTGTCTAGCTCGTCGGCTTTCTTCTTGAGAAACAATTCTCGGTTCTTGACACTCAAAAGATCAGGGATGATGTGAACCAGCATCAACGCGGTCGCACACGACACGATTGCGCAGGAGACTTTGGCGATAGTCATCACGATCGCGACGGCTTTGGAGTGCATGAAAAACATCCAAAGGTTGATGAAGTGAGTGGCGCCACAGAGGATGATGAAGGCTCCGAACTGCATGAGCACCCATTTGTAAGGGAAGAAGGCAGACTTCTGCACGAAATAGATAAGCTCGAGTGGGATCGAGAAGTAGGCAAGAGCAATCAGCGCATCCGAGATGTATTGATATTTCACTAAGAGATCATCCTGATTCACATGCGTCTCAAAACAATCACACGACTCCATTTTTGGAGCTCGGACCTCGCTTGACCTGCTCAAAACATAGCCCAGGAGGTTTTTGATTTAGCGATTTAACTCACCAATATCTCCAGTGACGTTCCAGAGATTAGGACTAGAGTCACACCTTAACAGAGGAAAAGTTTCAGGAATCTGCTGAAAAGCAATCAGATGAATTTGGAAACACGAAGAACTAAATCGATCCAGCTAAGTAATATCATACAAAATCGATCCAGAATTAAATCTACAACTGAATTTATTCCTCGTTCATCGATGCCACGATAAAAGCCGGAGGCCGATCTGAGAAACTTAACCAAGTCACCACACAGATCGATCAGAAAAAATGCTAAGCCAGTGAAATCAATCATCCATTAACGTTTCACCTAAAGCTAAAGAGATTCTCATCGAAACTCCAGACATATGAAGATCTTCTACAGATTTGAACATAATAATGCTGCGGAAAGCGGCAAGGATCGAAATGAAGAAGAAGGCATCACAAACCTTGAAAGGTCGTAAGAACGAGGCACCGTAGCTTTTGAAGAAACGGAAAGCTCTCTTTCTCTCTCTCAGAGATCTCAGTTTAAGGAAGCTTTCATGGGAAAAGAGACGACGACAGTGAAACTGGGAGAGGAGGAGGAGAGGGAAAGAAAGGAGGAAAAAGCGTCACGGAGAGAGAGAGAGAGAGAGTCATGGCACGTGCGAAAGACGACGTGGACTACAGAGAGTAAAGCTCAATCCACACGTGGGAATAATTGGTGACATGTCGGTGCATAATTGGATGTATTTAGGGACTCCCATTCTTCAGAGGTCCCATAGGTCGTAAGAGTCCATCTCAAGTGGTGGTGCGTTCAATTATTTTATTCGGTCTCGGATATTTCAAAGTCCACCATATCTATTTTAGTAGTTGATAATTTTACTTTAATCGATTTCTCAATGTTCAAATGCAATGTTTCTAAGTTTCTACTTATTTTGTACTCAGTAACGAAACAATATCAGACGAATTTTTAAAACTATTTTTTAGGTTCAAAAATGTTGGTCCAAGATGATGAACTAACAAATAGACTACATCTCTTTAATCGGAAACAAAACGGCTTTGGGTTAAGGATGATGGGCTCGTTGTTATAAGAAAGACAATAAAAAAAGAAGAAGATGAAAAAGGAAGATGCATTGAACCAACCATTGATGGATTGAGACAGAAAATTAATAAACAAATAGAAAAAGAGAAAACAAATCCAACAAAAACGGAAAAGTGTTGAGACAGATACATTGGACATCCTCGTCTTTTCTTAATTTAATGATATTTTTTTTTCTTCATCTTTCTGCCTACAACAAGTGGCGCTACGATACCCCACGCGCGCCTATTTAGGAGGCAAAAGCTCATTTTAGGCTTTTTGGGCTTTTTACTATGGCCAATTCTAACTCCCTAAGGCCGTAAATAAAAAAAATCAAGCGCTTGCGATCACGGGCTTGAATTCATTTTATTCGAAATTACCTTTCATTCACCAACTGCCCACAACCTGCGTGCGCTTACGTATATTTACACAATGCAGAAGCTTTTCAGTTAAACACACAAATTCAGTTTGGCTATCTTCTTTCTTCCTGGTATGAATGGTTGTTGCTCTAAATCAACAACAATATAATTGATACATAAGAGAGAAAATCCTCAAGAATTGAACAATGTTTCCCCTCCCAATAAAATTTCAATTACAGTTTTTCAGCATTTGCTCATTTATTATATAATAACCCAAAAATAAAATAAAAACCATCAATCGGAGGGACCGATCATCTTCTCAGGAACAACAAGAGTATCAAACTCTTCCGCACTCAGAACACCTAACTTCAGAGCCGCCTCCTGTATGATCAAATTTAAAAATCGAGATTCAACAGACCGATAAACACAAGAACATGTTTAGGATAACTAATTTATGATCTGCATTGAAGAAAATTTAAAATCCAAAACAGAGCCGCAGCTATATTGCAAATACACTAATAGAGACAGACAAGAACATGGGCTCTCTAGTTGCAATTCAATATCAACTCCGTTTGAATTTCGTGATTGAAGCATAAAGAGTTTGTTGTTTACCTTCAGCGTAGATCCTTCTTTGTGAGCTTTTTTAGCTACTGCTGCAGCGTTGTCATAGCCGATTTTCTGGTAAAGAAGACAAGGATTCCAAAACTTAGCATCGGTGTAATTTCAATTGTTAAAAGCAGAGTTTAATATTTGGAGACTTACCGGATTCAATGACGTCACAAGCATAAGAGACTACAGAGAAATACATAAGACAAAGAATCAGTTCCCGCCCGGAGATTATTTTCACACCATGGACAATCTTAAATACAGCAAATTAAGGAGAAGAAGCCTACCTCGTGCAATAGCTTTGAGATCCTTTCTCTGTTGGCCTCAATGCCCCTCACACAGTTTTTCTCAAACGAAGCTGAAGCATCTGCCACCAATCTGATGGACTGTCAAAGAAGCGAGATCAAATGGTTAGGGTTGGCATATTTTAGATTGAATCAAAGAAATAGATGCACAAGCGGCGTACATGCAAGAGAGCGCTTGCGATCACCGGCTTGAATACATTTAATTCAAAATGACCATTCGATCCACCAACTGTTACAGCTACATGGTTCCCCATAACCTGCAATTAATGAAAGATGCAGCTCAAAGAGTCAGGAACTAAAAAAAATTTGCAATTTAGATTCCTATATCAGTAAGAATGTAATGATGAGCAGAACTTACCTGAGCACAAACCATAGTCAAGGCCTCGCACTGTGTAGGATTTACCTTCCCCTGAGAGAGAGAGAGAAAAAGAGATAAAATCATGATGCTAAAATCAAAATGAATGAAAAGGACAGAAGAACAAAGAAAGACCGCATTCATACAGGCATGATGCTGCTTCCTGGCTCGTTTTCAGGCAGAACAAGTTCACCAAGTCCGCATCTTGGGCCACTTTATGAAGACACGCTAAACCATATAAGAACACAGTACATCTTGAAGAAAGAAAAAAAACGAATCCCTAAAGATTAGATACATACCTTCCAAGAAAACGTATATCATTGGCGATCTTCATCAACGATGTGGCGATTGTGTTAAGAGACCCACTGGTTTCAACGCAGGCATCGTGTGCAGCCTGAAAAAGCAGAATAATTCAGCAACTGATTTCATAAATCAACCATTCAGAAGCGACTTGTCTCGTTTAGAGGCTCACCAGTGCTTCAAACTTGTTTTCTGCAGTGACAAACGGCAAGTTTGTTTCTTCAGCTACTGCAGCAGCTATCTTTACATCAAACCTATACAGATATTACCAACAGTGGACTAAGAGGAGATGAACTTTGTATGAAAATAAAATTATAAATGAGATATACCCTTTCTTGGTGTTTAATCCGGTCCCAACAGCAGTTCCACCTTGTGCAAGCTGGCCAAACAATTCTGGCAAAGTCAGAGCTCAATGAAAATTGGACAAGTAGAGGGAATCAGTTCCTCCAAAGAAATCATTTCCCAAACCTGATAGATGCGGGGTAGAGTGCATGTGACCCTATTAAGTCCATACTTAACCTACAATCACGAGATCAATTTTTATTTTTTTGTTTTGGGAATTTCAGATTGAATTTGATTTTCACTATTGCTAGACAAACACAGTCTTCTGAACAAAAAAACTTACTTGAGTAGCATAGCCACCAAATTCTTGTCCTAGAGTCAAAGGTGTGGCATCTTGAGTGTGAGTTCTTCCAATTTTCACAATATCTTTGAACTCGAAGGACTGCCAAAAACCAAGCAAGATAAGAAAAGTTTGTAAAATATCAGAATGCAGAGCAGATAGACCATGAAGCCTGAGTGCATATGCAACAGAAATGTGAATAAGGCTAGAAAAGCAGGATTAAATAGCATCTCTAAAGCAACTCTTGGATGTAAATACTACCACAATCACAAAGAGCTGCAGTGACACCATTTAGGTGAGAGCAAGTTTCAATACTAAAAGAGTAGTGTGTTGCAATATAGCGACTAGATCATGTGAGAAAGAGCGGAAAAAAAGGTCAGACCTTAGAGTGTAAAGTGCTATATAAAGTTTTCAAGCTAGGGATCAGCCTCGAATTAATCTCGGTTGCAGCTGCAATGTGCATGACCTAGACGAAACCAAAAAACAATACAGAGCATCAATAAGTAGTAACAAACAGCTTAAAGCAATTCGACGAAACCAAGGCTTACAGTTGGGAAAGTGTCGTTAGAAGATTGTGATCTGTTGACATGATCATTTGGGTGCACAGACTTTTCACCACGTTTGTGACCGAGAATCTCAGCGGCTCTATTAGCAATGACCTGCGAGGAGCAAAAAAGAAAACGCTTTATGATGATGCATCACAAAGACTTGTCTTGTAGCACTATACAGTGGCATCCTCAGAAACAAATCTCCATGACCATATTTCATAAAACAGCACACAAATTACCTCATTAGCATTCATGTTACTCTGAGTGCCACTGCCAGTTTGCCATACGACAAGTGGGAAATGATCATTGAGCTTTCCCTCGGCTACTTCCTGTGCAGCTTGCATAATCGCTTTCCCAATCGTTGGGTCAAGACCATATTCCATGTTGACCTGAATTATAGTCACTCGATTCATCACGAACCGAAACGAGAGAAGCAAATGAAAACCCCAAAGCCTAGAGCTAGAGTTTGATTACCTTGGCAGCGCATTTCTTCAGGACCCCGAAAGCGCGGACGATTGGTTCGGGCATTCGTTCGCGCTCACCGCCGATTTCGAAGTTTTGCAGCGATCTCTGCGTCTGGGCTCCCCACAGTCTGACACAGAGACAGCGATAACGCTGTGTGAAATGTTTTCCCTATGGGAAAGAGATAATGAACGATATGGTAAAGATCAGATCCCGTACTTATCCGAAGGAACTTGGATCGGCCCGAAGGTGTCCCTCTCCTCCCTAAACGAGGTCGAATAAGATCTCAGAGCCGTGGCATAACGCAGCGACGCCGCAGTTGTTCCGACAGAGAGCCGCCGCGACGCGACATAAATCGCCATGGATTCTTCTACCTAACAGTAATACTGCACTGAACAATAGGCGAGAGAAGAACTATCAAATTACGCATTTCTAAAACCAGAAAACAGTAGGATTTAACGAATCTGTAAACGATAGCGAAAAAGAACCTTCGAAGATGAAGAGTTGAGAGATGACGACGGATCACGTTGCACAAGAGCAAGTAGAGAGAGATAGGGCGAACAAAAAAAAACAAATTATTATATTAGAGAACGAATTCAACGAATCAACAAGGTTGGTCGATATTTGAAAAGTATGTATGGGTCGATAAAGTTTTTTTTCTTCGCTTTTTCTAACAAAATGATAAATATCTTTTCATTATCTTACAACAGATATACTGTTGTTTATATATTTCAATTTACAAAATATACTTATTACTGTTTCCACTTTCCACTATGATGGAAGACGATCAGAAGATAGCCAAAGTTCATAAATAAATATTTGGTATAACTCTGCAAAAATCAAGGGGAAAACCAAACATTATAGGAATATACTAGAAAAGTTGTCAAGCAATAGTGTACATACAAATCTTTCAAGCTTTGTTTATGTTCAGCTATACATATAACAGAGAAGGAAAAACAAAAAACCAAGAAAGGGAAGAAGAGCAACAAGAAGAAACTATTGCTGCATTGTGTAGCTACTATGTCTGTGTGCTATAGAAACTTGCACAGCCAAAAGAGAGAAGAAGAAACAAGAAACCAGTGGAAGAAAATAATCAAATAAGAAAACGAATGAAAAAAAAAAAAACAGTGACTGTATGTATGTATGTATTCGTGTGAGTGAGAGTGGCCTTCAGTGTCTGGCGCTTGCTTTTCGCTTCATATCAGCAGGACCAAACTG